TCCATCTCTTGTCACAATTTCCTAATGCAGTATCTATTTGTTTATTCCTGTGGACTAACCCTCCACCTCTGGTACCAGCATCACTCGTCTGTGGTTCATCTTACCCACCTCCAACCCCTCCGCATTACAACCGGTAAAGAATAGTACATCGCCAAGCACTGTATGACAATGCCCCCCCCCTAAACACACGCAAGTCCAACCCCATGACCCGTCACGATCAACCGATCGACTCACCACAAAGCCCACATACTCGGGCCGGTAAGATAATTTTCTCCGCTCGTGCTTATCGAGCAGTGTGGCAGTGGCTACGGAGGTCGCACCACACTCCTCCAACAGGTAGCGGCTCACGGTGGTGATGGTGAGGGCCGTGTCGACAATGTCCTCCACCTGACGGGAGTTGGGTGAGTTGTGGTGGTGGTACGATGCCATGAAAAGGAGTAAGTTTTGAACGCGGCGCGTGAGGACCTGGACGCTTCAACCGTGGCGGCGTTTGCCTGTGGAAGGCGCTGAATCTGATGATGACGGTGACTGCCGTGTGCGGAAGGTGCGGCGGTGATGGTCTCATCTTCGGCCTGGTGTAATGGCACCAGCTATGATGTAGCACACAAGCTGAAGCAGAGGCAACCCCGCGAACTTACCAGCAGCACATGCCGCCCCTCCACCTTCTCCCGCTTGAGGTCGGTCTTCAGCTGGGGGAATAAGATTTGGGGAACGGAAGACACATATCATATGTGCAAATGATATGGTATGGAGGAGCTACACAACTAGCGAAAAAAACATGTTTGGGTGAACCCTAAAGGCATGTAAAAGCGTGGCGGCTTGAAGACCATGGATTGTCGCCAAGGCATGGGAAGTGTGCAGCAGCTCCAAGGCAAAGGATTGTGTCCATGAAGGATTAAGAAGTTTGAAGAGTAGGTGAGGCCTGGAGGAAGGGACCGGGGCTGGTCCTACCTTGACCTCGCCGGTGGACTCCGTTCCGGAGCCATAACTTGAGGCGCGAATAAAGTCGAGAGTAAGACCGCGGGGGCAAGGCTCGATGGCCCTGACGAGGTCGCTGAAAAACATAAAGCTGCCCTTCAGAACCTATGGGCAATGGACAAGCGCACAGCGAATAAAATTAACTCAACGCGACTGCACAGTACCCGGTAGAGCTTTCGCATAACTTGTTCATCCTGCATTATTATAACTTGCAACGAGTCTCAAGGAGTCTACCTCGAAAGCAATACCTGGCTTGGTTATGCGCTTTATTCTCAACCGCATTCGCAAACTACATTTTCCAGTCGCTTACCCCCAAAACCAGCGGTGCCTTTCCATGATAATCTTGCGCTATTTGTCTGAGGTGGTAAGAGATAGTATGGGCGTGTAAGAGGCAGGGGCAGCCGTTGACTCTCCTATTCCGCCGCCTCAAGCCTCACCGGCCAAGCTCAGCGACCCGATTGCTGATGGCAGCTTCGGTGAAGAGGACCTTTGCCATATCATCGTGATACGTTTGCCGGCCACTGCAGCTTGCGACCTCCTTGGCCGGCGCTGACCTGGCCGGCTGCTGGACGGTCACAGCTACACTAACCATGCTGCGGTGTGGCGGTGTAAGAGAATTGCTTGAACCACTAGCTCTCCTTTTCGCACAAGACAACTGCGCCATACGAGCAAATTGCAGCACTGACACAACAACACAATCATTTGTGAATGGACGACAGTACGGCCATTCAAAACCGGCAGAGTCAAGGTGAACGCCGTAGGGTCATAACAGTTGGCATTTACAGTCAAGGGTATTATTCATTCATTATGCAAATGAAAACGCTGGGAAAGTCGTAGCAACAAATAGTGGTTTAATATATCGCTGCGACTTTCCTGACGTAAAGTCAAACTTCCTGCTACAAACCCCATGGCCCAGCTCGATAATGACAGAAGAGGAATAATACAGTATAGCGAACCATTACGGGCTATGCCGCTTTGATGTGCTGTTCCATCACGAGGACGGAGGTTTCCCACGCTGCCACCAATCGTACGCTGAGGAAATTTGTGTTGAGATACGGTCGGAATAATGGTGAAGGACGTGAAGCGTGCGCTATAGACAATCTGAGAGAGCGGCACCGTACGACACAAGTACTACGAGTATGGAGAGTCAGTAAGTAGAGCTAAACTTTAAGCACATTCACGTAATGTATTATGGAGCTGCTTCCCTGTCAGACTGTCTCTGTCCCTGTCAGACTGCGTGTCGCATTCCAACAGGTTAGCCTCCCGGGTACGACAGCCTTTCCGATCGGCCACAGGACCGGAACCGGACTCGCAGATTCCGGACCGGAATGGTGCTGCCCAACGCCTCCAATCACGTCCTAGTGATAAAGTATGACCATAGCCAGCGTTTGGAGCTGTCAGGCTGGTCTTTGTGTATGTTTGGGTTGCTTTGAGACACACACACACACACACACCGACGGCCGGCTGGGATAACCTTTCATTAACTTGCGAGCTGCTCTATGCCATATGCTATATACAACTACTTAAGCTCGGAACGTGTCTGAATTCTTGTTACAAGCAACTAAGGAATGCGACTTCCAGCCGCCATAAAACAGGAACCAAAACACGGTTCCATAACTACGACACAGATCTCTAAAGACCAACACCAGAAAGGTCTGACCGGAATAGCGTCTAATCCACACAACACGCATGAAAGATTTGTCGCTGAATCCCAGAGATCCTTCTTGATGAAATGATTCTTGGACAGAGCGCTGCCATTTCCAAGGCGCACATCTCCCTCGACTGGGCGCCCGTATCTTCCATGCCCTAGACCAGAGCGCCGCAACACCAGCGAACCGAGGAAAGATACCTAACCTAAACTAAGAGTCGCCTCCTACCGCGATGACTCGGGGCTCATAACCTGTGGGAATGCGACAAGCCCTATGCTGTCCCGCCGCCATACAGCTGCACAGAGACAGATCTATCTCTCTGGCCTTGTAATCTCTCGGCCCCGGTATCCCTGCCTCTCTGGCTCGTTCTGTTATCCAATCTCTCTATCCGTCTGCCTGCCTTCTTGTGCTCCTCGTGTTTCCTTGTGCGGTGCATCTCCAATACCCTCTTTTCTTACCAGCGTCGTCAGAGCATCTTCTGTGTCAGTGTCGTACCTGCTGTCTTTGCCGGCTGGCTTCACTGCTGCTGGTCTCCTGCAGTGTAAGCATTATCACAGGAATTAATTATGCGCTTCTGCACACAGCAACTTACACTGTGCTGCGCGGTGCATGATATTTTCCAAGACATGGTCATTGTATGTGTTAGGTTCACGCTGCCTGCAGTCGCCAACGTCGGGTGCTGCCCTAAGAACCCCATGTTGCGTAAGCCAGAATGCGGGGCTCGAGATTTTTAAGCACCCTGGGATATACTGCAGGTGTATGCTGCGGGTGACAGGTCAAGGGTTTTTACTGCTTGTCATGTTTGCAGTGAAGCCCTCGAAGGAAAGGAGCCATGACCATGACCACATATCAATGCCCATCACATACGCAGGACCCAGATCGGGAATCCAAACCGAGTAAGCAAGCCGAGTAGACTCAGCCGTAGCAGTAGGCTCGCACACCACGTGCCATAATGTATGCCGCAGTGTCACAGTGTGTAGGCTGCTGGGTAGTGGACAGGAAGTGATGTGATCCCCTGACTGTAGACTAAAAAACCGCTAATACTAACGAATAATAATAATAATAATTTTTTTTTACTATAATATTTTTTATAAATTGTTATATATATAATAAGATAATAATAGTAATAATGTAATAAAATTGTTATGGTTACTTAACAGTAATTTCTGAGTGGCAGTGTAAGCATTGAAGCTTCTTCCACTCAATCAGTGTTACAAGTTGTGCTCTGTGGTTTATTCGTGTGGGAGCTGTTCAGTTTCTGTCATGTTATTGGTCCTCTGGGGATGTTGCCTATGCCTCCAGGCTTACGGAGAGCCACACCATCACACGAACGCGGATGTTTTTATCACCTTGCGCTTGTAACTTGTAATAATCACAAGTTATTTTACGCACTTTTGCTGAAACTGCCGGTGTTGTAAAAGTAATACCCGATGAATGGTGCTTGCCTATTTGCCATATGCTTTAGTGCCTCCGAGGCCCTGCGCCCTTTGTAAAAACAAGAAGGAAAGAAATCTCTCGCTGCTGTGACGTTACCATACTTTTAAGGCACAAGGGTTTTCGGCACGTTTTGGTCACAAGTAAAAATCTGCAAAAGACACATGCAAAAAAAGAGACATGGGTGCATCAACGCGAAAAAGTTATTGAATATGCATATAGAGATGAGCTGCAACTCTATATGATGTAACATGCACACGCGCAACTGTACACCTGCAACGGTAAACGGACAAACAAACAAACGACCACCTCCTTCCAAACTTCACCGAGTAGAGAAAATCGTGCACACGCACGTCATCACATGTATTACCGCCAAATAACAGTACAAGATTTCAACTTTTGAGTATAATGCTAGAGTTTGTTTGTTTGAGAGAGAGAGAGAGAGAGAGAGAGAGAAAGAAAGGGAGAGAAAGAAAAGTAGAGATATGCAAGCAAGGCGTGGTGTCACTGCTCAGCCACCCTCAGCCACCCATGCACCACAGCGGTTACACGCCACCCTCATAAATCGTCGTCGTCGTTGCCGCCTCACACATGCCGCCCTGGGGCACTAGAGGTCCAGGTCCATCGTTGTTACGGCGCGAGGCCGCGGCGCCGACGCCATCTCCCTCCTTCCAACACCACCACCATCCCTAGCCGAGCCCCCTCCTCCCGTTCCACCTCCCCCTCCTCCACCACCAAGCCCGTTTCGGACCGCACCCGCAACAGCCGGTGGCCCAGTGCCGCTCCGATTCCCCACGACCCCTGTTCCCGATCCTCCCCGTCCTCCCCCACTTCCAGCCGTACCGCTACCACCGCCAGGAGGGCAGGCAGAACCGCCACCTCCGCCAGGGCCATCTGCGGCGGCGGCGGCCGCGGCCACCGCGCCTGCTCCATTACCAGCACGTGCAGTTGCCGGCGCAGCAGACGCGGAGCTAACGCCTGGAACTCCCGAGCCAGGCGGGCCCCCTCCTTCACCCGCGGCGGCTGCTCCCCCCAATCGACCCGTGAGTCCACCGGGATTGTTGCTCCCGGGCGCTCCGGAACTACGTGGCCCTTGCGGCTCTTGTCGACCTCCTGTGGACGTGGGGTTGCTGCCATTGACGGGAACGGTATTGGACGGCCGTTGAGAGGGCCCCTGAGTCATTGCTACTGCTGCTGCTACTGCTGCTGCTGCGGCGGCATTTTCCGCTCCTGTAGCACCCGCGCCTGTACCCGCAGCCGCGCTGAGTACCTTCCCCGTCCCGCCGGGTCCCTGGACCGCGGTGCCAGCGGCGTCTGCAGTTGCTGCTACTGCTGCTACTGGCGGCGGCGGTGGCGGCGCGTGAGACGCCGCAGCAGTACCTACCTGCTGCTGGAGCGGCGGCAGCAGCAGCGGCGGCGGTGGGTCGACGTCCTCGTCCTCACTCTCGGAGATGATGACCGCGCGTTTCAACTTCTTCAACAAATGCCCACCTCCGGTTCCAACGGTGCCATGGCCGCCGCCACCGCCAGTGGCAGCGGCGTCATGGCCACCGCCAGGACCTGCCTCCCCAGCCGCCGCCGCCGCCGCCGTGGACCTCTTCCCTGCCGCCACCGTCGGGCCGCCGCCCGCTGGCGACGCCGACCCACCGTCCCGCGGCTCCCTGTGCTCCCTATGCCCGTTGCTGCTTCCTCCGCTGGTCTGCTTACTAAGGTGGCGCTGTACGGGTGCTGACGGGCCGCCCCCGCTGCCGCCGCGAGAACTTCCCGGTAGACCGCCGCCGTCACCTGACCGGCAATGTCCGGAGGAACCCTGAGTGAGGTTGTGGTGGTACGGCAGCTGCTGCGGCATGGAGTCTGGCGGCGCGGAGGAGCCCGTAGCGCCGGTGCACGGGACCGGAGACGCGGCTGCGGACCGACCCACGGGACCGTGGATCGCTGTCGCCATGTGCGCTCCCGTGACTCCCGCCGTCGCCGTCGCCGCGGGAGGCGTGGAGCCCAAGGTCTGCTGGCCACCGACAGCAGCGGCGCCACCGCCGCCGCCGCCGCTGTCGCCGCGAACGGTGCTATCCGGTACTATGGCCGCAGTGACCGGATCAACGGTGAAGCCCACCGGCAGCCGACCGCACTCGTACATGCCTCCTGGCAGCAGGCCCAACGTCCCTGAGCGGCATCAACCGGCGGGCAAACGTGTGACGGTGTGGGCCTTACGCGCCCTGCATCCCTTTTCTCGTCGTTTCCAGCAGCTCGCCTCGATACTCTCAACTTGCAACACACACACACACACACACACAGACCTCCCGCCTCCAGACAACTTAAGACTTAAGACTCAGAACTTTGCGCAAATTTTGAACGCAGAGAGGTGCTGCTGCTGCTGTTGGTTTCCCTTCTTTACTTGGCTTGGCATCATCACATAACTCCCCCAAACAGCCCCCCCTTCCTTCCCATAAGCTGGCGTTGGTTCATATACCCAAGTTCACTAGCCGCGGCTCCAAATCCCAGCCCCCAACCCCGCACACCTGCCGCCTGGAGCTGGCTGTAGTGCGCAATGAACCACCGCGCCAAGGGGTCGTATGTGGGATCCGGCACAGGGGCACCCCCGCCAGCGATACGGCCGTCGGCCGCGTCCTCGTCACTCGGGCTGCACCTCGTAGACGCCTGATCACACAACAGCCCACCAGGCGACTCCGCCACGTCATCTGGGGAATGCTCGCTGGCTTGCTCATCCGCATCCCCTGCTTCTGCCTGCTGCTGCCCAGCATGCGGATGAGGATGTTGGTGCTGCGGTGGCGGCGGCGCGCCGCCGTACAGCGGCTCGGCTGAGCCCGTCGCAGCCATACCTAGATCCTCCGTCGCCGCCGCGACGGCGGCGGCGCCGGCTTTACCGTAGCTCCGGGGCGGCTTGCCGTACCCGGTATCGCCGGCATCAGTCGCGCGACCCCCCGCGGCGCTAGGCTTGCTGGCGGCAGCAGCATCACACGGCCCCTCGCCGCCGCCGCCGCCGCCACCACCTCTGGACAGCGCCGCTGGTCTCGGCGACATGACCTCGTCTTCCGCCACTTTGACCTCCAAGTTCTGAGGGTGGCTGGGGCTGGCATGAGCGCTCAACCTGCCACCCCGCGTCCGGTCGCCACCGCCACGCGCGGGGGGCCCCCCGGCACTTTCACGCTGACCACCCCCGCCACCCTCAGCCGCCGCCGCGGCAGCCAACCTGTTCCCGCCTCTGCCGCCGCCGCCGCCGCTGGCGGCAGCGGCTACCGGGTCTTTCCGCCCCGTATCGCTCCCGCCGGCACCCTCCCTGCTCGACTGCTGTCGCTGCCGCGAGGCGGTCCACTGGTGATGTGAGCGCGATTTGGGTCGCTCTCCGGATGTCTCTCCGTCATCCGCTGCGTCGTAGTCGGAGTCCGAGCCACCTGCCGGGGAGGTGAGGACACACCCGTTGACCAGAAAACAGTGTCGCGGGAAATCAAACCCTTTCTTAAAAAAATGATGCCAACGCCGACATCAACAGCATTTTTGTATTTTTAAAAGAACTGCCATCGGCTGTTTTCGACATCCAGTCGGGCTGGAGAACCGACTACAGATTGGTGAAAGTACGCAGACGGAGCAAAAATGAGAGTTCTAAACACGTTTCAACAACACCAAAATCGCCTCACACATGCCCTCAGACGTGTTTTCTCTTTCCCCCCCCCCAACACACACATTTCTGTCGCAGATAACTTCGTGTCACGTATCCAAAGCCCCACTCACGGCTGTATTTTCGTGTCCGGTGTTTCTGCTGCTGTTGCTGCTGTTTTCGCGGACGTGTCCCTCCTCCACCACCTCCGCCTGCACCTCCACCACCACCACCACCGCCATTGCCGCGCTGCCTGCTTCGAGCGCTCTTGCCGCCGCCGCTGCCGCCGCCGCGCGGCGCGCGGGGCTCCCAGGCGCCCTGACCCAGGTGCCGCCAATCATGGGACTTGTAAGACCCCCTCCAGATGCGAGCTGAGGCCTTTTGCAGCCATTCCACACGTGGCTTGGATTTACCCTGCAAGGCTGAGCGTGCGGTAAAAGTGAAGTGGCGGATCAGGAAAGGGCACTCAGCGCCGTCGTCCCTCCTTTCCTTTCTCTGCGAGGAGTTTAGAGAGCTGCCCTGCATGGACTTGAAAAGGCTGGAGGCGCATCCGCAAGCAGGGCTCGACGAACCCAAAAGGGTCGTGGGAGGCAGCAACAGGACATCAGGCCAATCAGCCCATAACATGGTGGACAGCTCCCGCTGCTGCTCCTGCTCAAGATGTGTTGTTGTTGTTGGTGGTGGTGGTGGTGATACCTCAACACCACCGTCATCATTTTGTTGCGAATAATAGTCGAATCCTCCCGCTTATTTTACAGACGGGGAGGCGCCTCCCATGAGGTTTGGCTTCTTCGTGAATGATGCGCGGCTCTGTCTATCTGTCTGTCTCTCGGTCAGTATGTTCCTGTGTCTGATTGCCCGTTCCTCTGCCTGTCTGTCTGTCTGTCTATCTGTCAACCACCTGTTTACATGACCGTTTATCCAAGTGTCTGTCTTTGTTTAATGCAAGTTGTTAATAAGAGTGTGTTTGTGTTTGTGTGTGAAATGAGAGAGAACAACACAATGTCAATTTCAAATCATCACTCCATTACTAGGTATCTCCGGTCTCGAAGAGGGACACCACTGCTGCACCACCCACCATTGCCAGGATCATCCCACCCAACACCAACACCAATACCAGCAACCAACGATGGAAACAACAGCCACAGGACAATACAAACAATCTTTCCTGCCAATAGCACTGCTACCAGTTTATCACTGCAGCCAATTGATGGCTTGTAGCCCACTTACTCGGTACGGTATATGCAATTTTCACTTCATTGGCGCTTTCCTCGATGATTTGGCCCTGGTACCATACATTGGAACACGCCTTCAGCTCCACCATGGGCTTCCGGGGAAATTTGCTGGGCACCTTCGCGTTAATAAGCTCGCCCTCCTGCAGAGGTTGAGGGCGGAAAGGCGGTCGTGCCTGGCAAGGTTGTTGCCTGCTAGTGGTTGTTATTGTTGGGGTGTTACACTATGGGCGGCTCGCCCGATAAAGGACGAGCACCGGGGGCCCTGACCGGGGGCCGAAACACAGCGCAGGGTTGTTGTCGTTGTTGTTATTGTCTTTGAAGGATGCCAGCTGCAGGAGTTTATACGAGACTTGCGGGTCGTAAGTAACAAGGTCACAAGTTCCGCACAATGCGGGGGGCCGTCCGTGAAAGCCTGAGTTGGGGCTATGGACGGTCAGTAACCACTGTTGTGTAAGGGGTGGGGTAAGTTCGCTGGAAGAATTGATTGTCTACGTTTGGGAAGAGGGCGCGGGGATGATGAGTCCCAGCAGGAGTCGTCTAAGTGCCGGAGAGCGCGTAAGTGCCGGGTCCATCAAGTCAAGTCAGAGACCATGGTAAGTGGCATGCTCGGCCATGCAAGAACTGCAGTCCTCCTAGCACGGAGCGCGGAGCAAGACCAACGCACTGGATGCGGCATGCGACAAATACAAAAAGCATATATGCAGTGAGTGCGATTCGAAGTACCCTAGAAGAAACCAAGGAGGGGACGTTTTTCCTACCTGCAAGACGGCTTTACTCGTGATCGTGTTCTTAAGTTGCTTTGTGGAGGCGGATGCTCTCCCGTGGCTGTCACGCCGCTCCTTAAGGCTGTCCGACGCATCTGAGTCGCCCGACACCGAGCTGCTGCTGTACTCCCCGCTGCCTGTAGATTTCTGCCGGGGGTTCAAAGCACATGTATTCGCCATGCGAACTCCAGGTTCACCACATAGAGGGGAGAGCTTGCAGTTTCAAGGGGAGAGCTTGCAGTTTACGGACAACACTCGCGACCCTATTGGGCACGCTTTGGCTCAGCAGAGGTGCGTGACATGTTTAGTGTTGCAGTGGAAAAGTTTGGTTCACGAAACAATCGAAAGGGCCTTGAGCTATAACAGGTGTCGTTTGTGCCGCCAGAACAGCTCGAATCAATTCCATACGAGCATCGCCCCACCTCCGACGAGTAGTCCTCCTCCGTATCGCTTGCAGGCCCTTCATCGCTATCCGGCATGATTAATTTAGAATGTTGGACAAAACATGATAAGCTTTGGTCACACAGGACTTAAAGCTGATGGTTCCCGTGATGTGTGTGTCCCCTCCAGGACTACCTAAGGCCAAAGTATAAAAGGAAAGGGAATAAAGCGTGGGACTTAAGCTTGACCGGGGAGGTTTAACCCACATTTACAGCCTTGAAGCTTGGGCGCGACAATTGCAATATCTGGAAGCTAAAAATTAGCAATTTCAGAAAACAGACGACCAAGTAGCGTCAACTTTGCATGATGTTACGGCGATACGGCAGTTACCGCCATCTGCACCGTTAGCGCCATCTGCTGTCGCAAAGCTTTTACAGAAGCCCTTATTTGTACACAGCTAGATGTACATACTTAGGCTCATGCTGAACCGTGGTGGAGCACATGTGCGGTGCCCTGATTCCATCTCTGCTTGCGTTTGTTTCTCCTAAGGTTGAAGGCGAGAGGCAAGGAGCGCATCATCTGCTTACCCGCTGGTACAAACATGCATTTGAAAAAAGCAAAAAAGCAAGTAACCCATTATGCCCTTCTTGTATGAAAACTCTGAACAATATGCTGATATCCTTTTACTATTGTATACCCAAGATTACCAAGATTGCGTCGCCCACGGAATACCCACGTCAAGCAAGGGGTTCTTAGCGCAGCACCCGGACCCCGATCGGGTCGAGTGCAGCGCTGCAAGGAACGCCTCCCGCACAACATGCAGTGACTGCAAGCAGTGTAATCTTAGCCAGCACGACGATCACGTCTTTTATGCATAAGACGTGGGCTATGCGCGTCACGGCATGTCTAAATTGCTGATTGCTGGGTCAAGGAAATGTCGCTGGGAGACGCACATGTGCTGTTGTAGAACATTCGTGTTGTTAATGTGGTTACAGTCAGACCTTCTGCGTATTCTGTATCTTGTTGCTACGACAATGGATCTGTACGACATCATTTATATGTGAGTGTGACACAGGAGACTCTTTTGGTTGTGTAATGGTATGTGCGAAAGACGCTTGAGCAAACGACTCCGAAGCGGTACGCATTAAGGGTTCACAGCAATCATAGGTGACGAGTTGTAAACTACAGCTACTCTTCTTGCGTACAGCGAACGTCTGGCACTGAGAAATCAAGCAGTGTGGTTCATTAGGCCGAAGGCCGCGATTACGGCCGCGAAGGCGGGAGCGGCTCTGGTGAAAGCGCGCGATGATAAGAATGGCGCCGAACATGACATGGCGCGAGCCGTCCTCGTAAATCATCTAAGCGACGACGACTTGTACCTATTTGACGAGAACCTAGACGTCATCAATCTGTATGCGGCTCTGGACGCTCGCTACAAGGAGATGATGGTGGTCCGACAACCGACAACCGATCCTCTGGGGAGAACTCCAGAACATTCAAATGACGCCAGAGGAGACCCTGAGAAGCTACATCAGTCGTTTGAAGGAGCTTAAGCAGTGTGGAGAGACGGTATCTGACGCGAACGCTGTGAGCCAGGCTTTGAAGAGGCTGATCTACCTACAAGCCATATTGTTGGAAAGCCACATTGAAATGCTCAAATGACCCAACCGCGAGTGCCACAGTTTGGTTCCTGAGTAGGCACCGTGGAACAAGTCGGGTGTCGGCTTCCTCGAAGCCGGAAAAAGGGCGGGCCCCACCTGCATCCGTACAGGCCGGTAGCTAGCACGGCACGTGTGACAATTGATGGGTAGTGTCACTGCGGTGGGAGATGTGCTTTGTTGCAGCAGTACTGATGGTGTGGGAGCTAAGCTTGCACCGGCGGAATCGTCAGCACCGCCTGCGGGCTCCACGCGAATCGCATCTATCCCGGGTGCATGCCGCATGGACAGTGCGGCAGACCGCAAGTCGGAATGCCCGTGCGGGCAAATTGGTAACGCAAGCTGAGTGAAGTTCGGTGCTGTCTGTGATGTTTATCCCCGAAGCGCCAGCGGCCTCAGCAATCCGCCCCACAGCCGCGACCTTCATCGCGGCACACCGCAAGTCTTCGGAGGCCCCGTGCATTGGCCAAAGTAAATGTACAAACAAGCAGCTTGTGTATTTCATATAGAAATGAAAGCAAATTTGTTGGCCTGCTGGTGGCATGTCGGATTGCTCATGCCGGCAAATGGTAACACAAGCTGGGTGTTCGAGTTATCATACGCCGTCATCTCAGAATTCCATTATGAGATACGCGGCAGCTTTCGGGATGAAATTTAGCGCGAGAGGCGTTGATGTGACTTTTGAGGTCGGTGAATGGAGGCAGCTAAACTTGTTTTTGCTCATACGGTCTTTGTTAGCTACATGCGAGATACCTTGCAGTAGAGAATGCTGTATAGTACCGATAACGCGTTTCAGCCGGGTGAAATATTATGTTTGATCCGTTACACACTCAAGGCATGGGAGTTCGAGTTATCATACGCCGTCATCTAAGAATTCAAATATGAGATACGCGGTACCTTTCGGGATGAAATTTAGCGCGAGAGGCGTTGATGTGACTTTGGCCTCGGTCAATTGAGGCAGCCAAACTTGTTTGTGCTCATACGATTTTTGTTGGCTACATGCGAGATACCTTGCAATAGAGAATGCTGTATAGTACCTACAACGCGTTTCAGCCGGGCGAGATATTATGTTTGGTCCGTTACACACACACACACACGGACATGGGCAATCCTACAGGTCGGGGCCCCCTGGGGCGCTTCGCGCTGGGGCCCCGCCCAAAAATATCCTCTGCGCACACTATATAAACAGTCGTTTTGCAGTTGGCCTCAAAATACCAATCTTCCTCCTGATGAAAAACATCCATGCTGGTCCAGTGGCCAGTAAATCCGGCCCCTCTTGCCGCAAGCCAAGCTGCTTCAGGGACATGAGCCGGGAAGTCTTTCCTGGGAATAGAAAACACCTTTTATCTTAATGGTAACCAGCTCCCCCTTCCTTTCTTGTCTGTATGCATGCACAGTGACTTGGAAGACTCGATGCACAAAATCATGTCCCCATTTCCCACGGCATGTTAACAGCGGCTTCCCAGCAGCTGGAACTAGAGCAACCAGCTCATCTGGTTGATAGTCTATCATGCAGCTCTTATCAGATGACACATGATATTATGATCCCGAATCCAAAAACCACTGCCTGCCTTCTCACACAAGAGGGCATCAAGGTGCTCCAGCAACGGTTGTTCCAAGATGGTACTAGAGGAGGGTTGTGCCGCACCAATGCAATGGCTGTGCAGCACCAAGAAAATGGTTGTGCAGCACCAAGAAAATGAGCTGCAGTACAACACCTTGGAATCCTCCTATGGTTCCATCTTGGAACAACTGATGCTGGAGTTACCACTGGATGAAATCAACAAGAAGTTCCTTGACTGTGGTGATCAATTGTACTGTGAGTGGGGTATGGGTTTGGCAGATGTCACCGCAATGGTTATGCTGTATCAAGGTGCCCTCTTGAGAAGGTGGGCAGTGGCATGGTTGAGAAGCGGCTGTGGTTCGGGATTATGATATCAATGCAAGAGCTGCATGGACCTGTGTGGTCTGATGCCTCTAGAGTCACAGGGAGGGAGTCAGTATATTGCTACCTTTCTTGATGGCTATTCAGGTTTATCTGCTGTTTGTTTCCTGAAAATAAGGAGGTGGTAGCAGCAGTCCAGCAGACTCTGAATGTGCTGGAGAGACAGTCTGGGGAAAAGGTTAAAGAAGTACATACTGATAAGGGCCATGGGTATCTAAACTAAGAGCTCAGCAGTTATTATGTAGGTAAGGGCATAGAACATCAGAAGCCTGCCCCTTCCACCCCACAACAAAATGGGCATGCAGAGTGGCTGAACAGGACACTCCTGCAAAAGGTGCACACAATGCTGATCAAGTCCAAATTGCCTACAAATGTGTGGTCGTTTGCTGTAAGCACTGCGAAGGATTTGGCCGTAGTTTACAAGGTCTAGGACAGGCTAAAATCGGTGTTTGATATCCAGGACCTTGGGGAGGCTCGGGTGTATTGGGGCTATGAAATCAAGCACAACAAAACGGAGAGAACATTGAAGCTGTCGCAAAAGCTCAATGGAGCTGGTGGAGAAATTAAGGCTGATAGAAGTAAACGTCCATGGCTAAGCATGCCAAGGGAAGCCACTGGATGTACGGCAAAATTGGTATGTGAGCTGGTAGGTAGCTTGTATCTGTCAGTAAGTACAAGGCCTGATATTGCTTACTCCGTGGGAGCTTTGGTGTGTTACATGTCCAAGCCTACGGTTGAGCACTGGCAGGCTGTAAAGGGTGTTGTGCACTATTTGGCGAGTACAGCCGGTGCAGGCGTTGTGTACTCCGGAAAGTCTGGTGCAGGAGGCCCTAATGGCTACACTGGCTGTACCCACTAAAGAGCACACAACACCCTTTACAGCCTGTCAGTGCTCAACCGTAGGCTTGGATGTGTAACATACCAAAGCTCCCATACCATACCAAGCGCGTCTCCATACTGTTGTATGCAGACGATGTTAGTCTGCTAGCGACGTCACTAGAGCGAATGTCTGAGTTGCTACATCTTGTGGACTTGTTTTGTGAAGCTTTTGGGATGCGACCAAATGTCTCAAAGTGTGAAAGGCTTGTTTTTGCATGTGATGGCACCCAGCAGTCGGAGAGCAGTGAGAGATGTCAACAGTTATGGCTATCAGGCCAGGTAGTACCTGCCAAAGATAGCGCTCGCTATCTGGGCTTGGTATATGGGCCAGAATGGCCTTTTAGTGCGTGCCGTCAGCAGTTATGTGATACAGGTCGGTCCGCTATGTTTTCCTTAAGCGCAAAGTTGGACAAAATGAAGCTGTTTGCCCCCGATGTGCGAATGCGGTGCTTTGCAACCTAAGTCCGAGCAATTCTGTTGTATGACTGCCAGGCGTGGGGCCCTTTTGCGCTGGCAGAGGTCGTGGACAGGGTGGGAAGGCGGCGGGATAAAGCCAACCTTGCGGAGGGCATGTTTGAAGCCTGTTGGAAGGATAGCTCAGTCCAGCTGCAGATTTTATTCATGAGGCAGGTAGTGGGGACAGCACGGCCATCCCACAGGCTGTTGTACGCGGAGCTGGCTGAACTCCCCTTACAATACTACATGGTGAAGCAGATCCTCCGTTTCTGGAACCGCCTTCAAAAGCAAGTGGGATCCATTGCTCATGCCGTTTTTTCAGCAGGAGATAACCGATGCCCTGACCAACCCGGAATGGGAGGGTTGGGGAATCTCAATGTTACGACTGTTTTCCTTCTTGGAGTGCAACATTTGGAGCGGAATACTGCAAGAAGTCGTGGGGGTAAAGGAGCGTGTTGACTGGTTGTTGAGTAGACCTCTACCCGAAGGAGCGATGATAACGGCACTAAGAGAGCGTTTGATGAGCGGCTGGGACCATACGCGTCTGACTGTCTTGCCAGAGGAGTTCCCATCAGATGGGAAGCAACCGGGAGTGTGAATGGCGAAGTATAAGCACTGGATGGGGCTGCCCTTTCGGGAGCCGCAGCCGTCATGTGGCCAACACATGTTAAGGTCTTCATTCCTCGCTTAGCACATCGTAAACTATTGCAGTTTCGTTTATGTTGCTGGGCTTTGGAGGCAAACAGAGCACGAAGGGGCAAGTACCATGTCCCCAGGGGGCAGCGGTTTTGCCACTGTTGTGGTACTAGTAGCCGAATTGAGGATGAAAAACACGTGTTATTGGAATGCCCAGCCTATAATGATATTCGTGCTCAAGAGGGATTCGATCATCAACAGAGCATGTTGGAGGCCATGCAATGGGAACCCGCACGCCTGGTGAGGCTGTTGGAACGTATGTGGGCTCACCGAAACTCAATTACCCCCTTTGGACGCTAGCCTGGGCTGATGTGCGGTGTTTTCCTTTCCTCTGTGGCTTTAGGCGTTGTAGTATTGCCCTTGGGCCTTCGGCTCGTATGGGTAGTCTTACAGGTATGGGGTCACGCACCCCCAACCATGTAACACACACACACACAGATACAACAGGCTACCTACCAGCTCACATACCAATTTTGCCATACATCCAGTGGCTTCCCTTGGCATACATAGCCATGGACGTTTACTTCTATCAGCCCTAATTTCTCCACCAGCTCCGTTGAGGAACGCTTTTGTGACAGCTTTCAATGTTCTTTCCGCTCTATTGTGCTCGATTTCATAGCCCCAAACCACACGAGCCTCCCCAAGTGTAGTAGCTGGCCGCTGAAAAGGCCTTTCGAGATGCTGGTGGACGCGCTTAGCGTGTATTTGTAGACATTATGTGTGCCGTACCGTGTACCAGCTACTACATTAAGGTCCCGGATGTCAAACACCGATTTTAGCCTTTCCTTGACCTTATCAACTACTGCCAAATCCTTCACAGCAACCAATAAATCATCAACTTAGACCAGCACATACACACGCTCTCCAATGGTGTGGTCACTGTCTGGTACCCGCATGTACACAGTGCAGCCAAACACACACAGATTTGAAATATCGGGCACCTTCTGATGAAAACGCTGGAATGGCGTGCCCTCCATGGTGCGGACTGGTGAGTGATTCCGCACGTAATCCACAGTGCTTACAGCAAACGACCACACATTTGTAGGCAATTCGGACTCGGTCAGCATTGCGTGCACTTTTTGCAGGAGTGTCCTGTTCAGCCGCTCTGCATGCCCATTTTGTTGTGGGGTGGAAGGGGCAGACTTCTGATGTTCTATGCCCTTACATAATAACTGCTCAGCTCTTGATTTGACCGGTGCAAGACTTCATCAAAATCCCTACCCTCCACCTGGGCAAAACCTTTCACCACCAAACGTGCCTTATAGCGCACAAATTCACCATTCGCATCGTGATTCAGGGTGTAGACCCACTTCACAGGCAACGCATGAACACCTTTCGGAGGAACATCCAGCGTCCAGTTGCTCTGTTGTGCTCAATTTTATAGCCCAATGGTATCGAGAATGGTTTGGTTGTGTAACGGTATGTGTGAAGGCGCTCAAGTAAACGACTCCGAAGTGGTTCACAATAAGGGTTCACAGCTCGAGAATACAACATGGCCTCTGTGTTTGCCCCCCGGAGGACACTTCCCTACCTCCAGTAGGCCGGCTGCTAGAGGCTGTTTGTGAGGTTAGCCATAGCCTCAGGTTCTATTAGCACCACTTTTCTGGTGCTAATGTAGTGCAGATTGAGGCCAGTAAGATGTTCCTTCCAATTTCTCCCACTAAGATGGAACTAGGGTGCAGCCCCCTAATGCCATCGTAGGCTTGCTTCTTGACCGTAGCTGCCTAGTTTGTTTTGACGCACATTGAGTTATGCCCACGGTTGAAAAATGATGGTGACAAGGAGGTCGACACCGCAAAGTTTTCTGTAGGTACGACGCTAACCAATGAAGGCTGTAGCAGGCACGAATGAGAAAAGGGATGGTGGTTCCCGGAGACATCATGGTACGGAGCTGCTGCCACCTGGACTGGAGAGGACACTCCTGAAAATCTGCAACTAGCCTTACTTCGGGGGCTATAGGGGCTAATAGACGCAGCAGACATAGTCGAACGAGCCGGCACTGACATCCTGATGTCAGCAGCTGCTGAGTCATCCTGAGGGGCCCCCTACCCTACTACATTTGCGGTAGATCTGCTGCCTCGGTTGCGATAGTTTTTCTACCAGTGATAGCTCTTAGACCGAGGCGACAGTACTTTTATCCATCAGGAGGGGGGGAACGTAGTCGCTCGTGTGCGACATGGAATTCTTGCAGGAAACCATGTTGTGATAAAGGAGTTTCGAGCGATGGAGCATCCAAATGAAATAAGCAGCCGTGTGGAACAAGCCAATGCCCTAGGGTATATGAATTCGCACCGTCCGTGTGCGACGTGGGGTGTCACGGTATGGAACCGTTGAGAACCTGAGCTGCGCACTTTCTCTGCATTTCACTTCGGAGTCGCGTACTCGAGGGTCACTCGCACACATACCGTTACACACCTGAGGAATTCTTCCTCAGCTTCTATAGGGTTTTCTTTAGGGTTTTTTCTCATCTTCTATGTCTGAGTGTAGCTGACACTCAGATATAGAAGATGTCGTACAGATTTCCTGAGGTAGGGACAGGACATAAAATACTTCGAAGGTCTCCCAAACGGAAACGCAGCTTAAGGGAAGCGCATACATCAACTATTCGAATGTTTTACAACAGGGACCATTCAATCTGAATTAGTTGGGTGCCGACCCGCACATGCACACGCGGGAACGGAGCGCGCGAACAACATCTCATTAACACGCATTTGCAACGGCAAGCCTTCTGCGCGGGCCTTGACCACATTATCTGGTCAGGCCAGATCACTTCGTATCATTGGGCTGCTGTAGATGCCAGATGGCCGACTACATCCGACAATGGAAGCCAAGCTGTTGTTGTTGGGGTGTCACACTGTGGGAGGCTCGCTCCGAGAAAAGGACGAGCACCGGGGGCCCTGACCGGGCCGAAACACAGCGCAGGGATAGGCGCGCGGCTCTACGTCCGTCTGTTCCTCCGCGCGCGCCTCACTCCCTCACTCACGCCAACCGGGACACTCTCCCAGCCCCTGGCTAGGCATCACAGCGGCGCAGAAGGCTAACTAAGCGAGAGGCGCCATTTCGCCTGGCCTGCCTATTCGCGCGCTCTCGTCCTCTTTACCGCCAAAACAAGAACAAAGAGAAAACACCACCGGGGGCAGGGGTTCTACTCAGGGGGCTCCACTACACATTCAAAAACCGAGGCAAGGGAAGACCTACCCACGTGTTGTTGTATGATAACACGGACCCGTATGGATTATTCTTAATAACGGGAACTTTTTTATCTGGTTTTAATTCATATTGGGTATAATATAATAATTTGCAATCAAGCACAAACACAACGCAAGGACCAATTTCGGAAGACCTGTGACCTGTGAACAACTTTCAAAACGCAACGGCTTAGGCCCCGCAGCAGTCACCGATGCTAACCATTCGCATTACTGCACGTGTGTATAGGTTTTAGGGTTGACGCGATAGGCTTCCGAGCCAGAGTTTAAATTTTACAAATGCCAACCGGCGTGGTTGAACATATATACAGCGGTTAACGCGAAGAAGCTCTTGTCGGCCATGTTGCTTTTGCTGTTATACAACATATGATGCCTCGTATTGTGGCGTGGGCGGGTGCATTCACTGGTTGCGCGCTGGTTGCGGAAGCATCGCAGTCACGTCACCAGTCAGTTTTCGGTTGGTGCAGAGGGCTACTGACCAGTCCACTCTACAATCAGCCCAGACGCTCCTCGGGGAAGCATGAACGCATGACAAAAGACCCATGCACCCTTAATAAATATTAATTTAGCCATGGTTGTTACGCCATCGCAGGTCTGCCAATACTGCGATAAGCCAGCAAAGAAACCAAGTGGCCGTGCGTTCGCGCATCGATGTTGCATAACCGACGGCCGAGGAAATCCGAAAAATGTTGCACCAACTCAAACTGCAACGGTCATCGTTATTAAGGCATGCCTGCATCGTGCTTGTCACGCCGTACCCTGTCACTTCCTGTTGCCTTCTCACCCTAGGTTTGTCGTACTTGGACTAGCCGACGCGACACCGAGCTACGGGCTCACCTGGAAGGCAACGCTTCCTAAGGCGCGCCACCACCCGAGCGACGTGGAGCCCCACTTGTTTACCCTCCATAATCTTCCAAAAATATGCGTATTTTAGTGCTCTGTATACCACCTTGACAAGGCCACAACGCATACCCTGATCAGATTCTTGCCTCGTGTCTAGCTGTACCTGTCAGACAGGTCTTGTCACAGCTCCAAGATTTTTTCTAGGCAGGCAAACTTACTTCAGCACATAATCGCAACATCAATGGTTTAATTTCTTTACTTTTGAATACCATTGGATTGCGCACTTCAATTTACCATTTGGCCTTTTTTTTGTCCACCGCAAACCACTGCAAACAAACAAGTTACAAATATAATAGGTTTAGGATGGATTACCTATGCATCCAAGCTCAGTCTGGAAGTTAGCTGCTGGAATAGTGGCGGCAGCAGCAGCAGCAACAGCAGCTAGTTGCCGGTCGTCGCCTCTTCAGTAAGAGTGCACCTGCAGCTGCCGCAACAGCAGCGCCAGCGCCAGCATAGCAGCTTTATTCACCTTCCGTCATCTAGACGATTTACCTATATTTCCAGTGGTACGCAGCGCTGCCAGTTGCCGATCGGGTGATCTGGAAACAGGTGTCCTACGTAACCTAGCCACATTTGCAAAATCAAAGTCCCCGCCTCACGCATTGACACCATCGTCCCGAATCTTAAAGAGCACGTGCTGTACTCATTCAAGCCCAGCAGGCCGTCTTGCTTTGGCGTCCTTATGACCCCGCACGACAAGTTCGTCGGTGTCCAAAAGCAGCTCCATCTTCACCGCCCGACCTCCCCTTCTTTTGCTGCTGCTGTGGCCTACGATACCTTCCTCTTCCAGAGCCCCACCACCGGCACCGCCAACGGAACCACCGGCACCGCCAACGGAACCACCGGCACCGCCAACGGAACCACCGGCAACGCCACCTCTTCAGAGGTTGTAGCTGCTGCGGCCTTTTCAGCTGATCATATCGCAGCCGAAGCGGTGCCTGCTACCATTACCACTGCCGCCGCTGCTGCTGCTTCCGAAAACGGACCGCCGCCTGTTACCACTGAGAAGACTGCCAGTCGACCAGACGGCACAGGCGACGCGCTGATGGCGCAGACGTTCCACCACCGGCGTTTGCATTATCGGCGTTCTCAGCCTCATTTGGCCGCTCCGCCGTCGGCTGCTGCTGCTTCGGCAGAATGCATCGATACCGAAGAGGTGCAAACTAGCGGAGGAATGACAGTAGCAACAGGGCCAGCATCAGTGCCAATGGCAGAGACGGCTCCAGGAATACTAATCCAAGAACCTTCGCAGGCCGCTGCGGCGGCGGAGGCCGCGGCGGTTGTGGCCTCATCATCGCGCACCCTCTACAGGTCTAAGCTGACGCCGCACCTCCCATACGGCAGTAGCGCCGCCAGGTATCCGTCACAGCAGCGGGCGCCCACACACCAGGGCCATGCGCCCCACTGTGCACCTCGCGAGGGCTACCGGCGCCTCGAGCAGCGACCCATGGGTCGTAATTTCCGGCAACCAGAGGAGGTCAACTCCCTCGAGGTTGACCTTCAGGGGTCGGCGGGGCTCGATCCCGGGATTAACGAGCTGCGCCATACCAAGTCACAGTCCGCTGTTCGGCTCACGACAACAATTCGAAGCATCAGCACCGGGACTGCCGCCACCGCCACTGCCACCGCCACTGCCACTGCTACTGCCACTGCTACTGGCGTCCTTTGTGAGCTACTGCGTCCCTCTTTGCGCGCCCTGCTAGTAGCCCAGCCGCCTCGATTGCTCCTGCCTAAGGAACAGCCGCCACAGCAGCCGCGACAGCAGCCGCCTCCGCCGCCGCCGCCGCCGCCGCCGCCGCAGCAGCAGCAGCGGGAGCACCCTAAAAGGTGCTCGCTTTGGAGCTGGTCGCGTCGTTCGTCTTCCTCCGCCGTCTTTCCCTCGGTTTCCTCCTTTCGTTATGGGCTACGTAGCAGGCTACCAGCCCTCCAGCTTGTGTTTCTTATGACACTGCTGCTGGCGGCGACAGGGGGCTTGCTGGCAGCAGGGCGCCGAGCGCACGGCTTGAACCCGTCCACTGAGGAGGACGTGCTCCTGCAGCTGCCGCAATTACAGCCCGCAACACTACCCATCACCAACGCCGTGGCCATGGCGGAACGGCGGGCGTTAGGAGAGGTAGCTACCCCAAAAGCTTACACGACGGTCGCGCTCAAGAATGCGGCCGTCGCACCTTTGAGTGGTATGACAGCGGCTGGCGATGGCGGTGCTGGAGTACGGCAAGAGAATGTACGGGGAGTCGCTGACGAGGATGGTGCGTCACAAGGTTTACGGCTAGCGTCTGCTGGGAATGATGATTCCGCAACAGTCAAAAAACGTCGCGGGGTGTACTACAGCTCTGTGCCGCAGGCCCTGAGGTCTGCCCGGGCAAGCGGAACGGGTGGCGATGCTCATGGCCGCCGAGTCGTGCTTAAAGGAACCGCTGCCACAAACGGCACTGATATCAATAGTAGCAGCAGCAGTAGTAGCAGTAGCAGCAGCACCAACAGGAGCAGCCGGAGCAGCCGGAGCAGCGGGAGCAGCAGCAGTAGTAGCAGCAGCAGCAGTAGCACCAGCAGGAGCAGCAGGAGCAGCAAGAGCGAGAAGGGAAGTCGCGGCAGTAGCAATAGGAGTGCTAATTTTCGTGCAAGCACTACCGCCAAGCACATCAACGTCGAACACAGCGCCAACTACAACACCAGTCTTGGTAATGGTAGCAGACAAGCTAGGAGTAGCGGCAGCAACAGCAGCACCGTTCATGGGTACAGTAGCAGTAAAGACATTACTTCAGCGGCTGCTAACTCTTCGTCTCCGCTACTTAGCGGCGCAATGTTGCTGCAGCAGTGCCTAAACAAGCGATATGAGAATGTCGTCGCGGGGTGGGAGGATGTGGGGACCGCCAGAGCGACGGTCAAAGTCATCGGTAAGTTAAAACCCCAAGTAAACGAAGCATCGTGAATCTATCAAGGGCTCAAGCATCTATTACCCGCGCACTGCAACGCACCGCAACGCCATGAATTTGGCAGGAAACGCCCTTCTGCGGTCGATCGTTATGCACTGTTGGTATCCCCAAAGAGCTGCTTACGGGGTCCCCTCAGTATCTTTTTCCTCTTTACCGACTTTCAGCTCTCCTCCCACATTCCGCTCATGTTCCTCCTCCTCCCCCTACTCCTGTCGTCTCGAAATCGCTTCCCGCAGGTACTTGGTGGTCGACACGCAAGTCCACCGTGCCCCTGACCGTTGTCACCCAACTGTCCGCAAACCGACTCCAACAACTTAGAGCCATGTGTCGCGCTTGGCATGGACCCCTCAGCGCCGTAGTGTACGTGCCCGTTCAGCTGGGAGATCCGAAAGTTATCGCCGCCGCCACGGCTGCTGGCGACGATGGGGACGACGGCGGAGGTGGCTCGTCAGCGGCCGGCAGCCGTAGGTCTTCCCGGCGCCGCAACCTTGGGGGCTCGGGTACAGGCAAGGGCGACGGTAAACGCAAAGGGAATGGGAAAGGGAAGGCGAAAAGGAAGGGGGGTGGCCGGCGGCGACCCCTCAGCGAAGTAAGCTTCAACGATCATGTTGTTAGCGGCAGCAACGACTATGGCATAAAGCATGGAGGGAGCAGCGACGGGGTCGGCGGCGATGGTGGAGGCGCGTCGGCGTTCCTGGCCAACGTCACAACGCGGCGGCAGCTTCGATCGGTCCATCGCTCCGCGCCAAAAATTGGCGAGACCGGGTTTGGCTTCCTCACGGCGGTTGCACCACCGCCACCGCCGCCGCCACCCGCACCCAGCGGCTCCGAGCCCATGTTGGGTTTGGCGCAGCTGACTCTTCTGCGCGACACTGTGGACGAAGTGCGTGCATTTTGGCAGGAAATCGAGCAAAAGAGGTGACCGGGTGCAAGGGCGGCAAGTTGTCGAGGGATAGAGATTCTGTCCAAAACGTCAGATAGAGATTCTGTCCAAAACGTCAGATAGAGATTCTGTCCAAAACTTCAAACCCTCCAACTCACATGCATACTGCATTTGTGTGTTCCCTCCGGAAAGTAGTTATAGTTGAGGTCTGGACTCCGGTTTCTATTGTTCTCCATAGCTTCATCTCGTAATGTCGTAGTACATCAAAGATTATCCTTCAGCAACATACATGCACCTGCTCACGCATACCTGTTACGTAACTAGCTAAATTTTTAAAACCTAACACCCATTATTGAACCAGATGGTGTGCGCTTGACGTGATGCTGGTGTACGAGCTATACAACGAGGCGCGAGCCTTGAAGACACTCTACCCGGTCAACATGTTGAGGAATTGGGCGCGTCTGCAGGTGGGTGGACTGGCCTGCGCGCGTGTGCTGGTGTGTTTAAATGATCTGAGCCGCAATTAGTGTGTGTCTTGTTTTGTGTGGTGTAGTTGTGTGTTGTTGTGTGTTGTTGTGTGTTGTTGTATGTTGTGTGTGTTGGGGTGTGTGTTGTGTGTGTGTGAACGTTACAAGTAAACTGACCAGGCCTGACACTGGCCAGGGACTGCTGCCCATCCCAAACGGAAAGACGGCCTATGCTCTCTCCCGCGGACGGGAGAGCGGCGCGAGGGGGGCCTCTGCCCCCTCCTAAGCAGCCGAGAGCCGCAGGTCTGCTAGCTTCGCTCTCCTCCCCCGGCGGTGGGAGAAAAGTGTGTGTGTGTGTCTGTGTGTGTGTGAAGGTTACAAGTATCTGACCAGGCCTGACTGTGTGTGTTGGTGTGTGTGTTGGTGCGTGTGTTGGTGCGTGTGTTGGTGCGTGTGTTGGTGCGTGTGTTGGTGTGTGTGTTGGTGCGTGTGTTGGTGCGTGTGTTGGTGTGTGTGTTGGTGTGTGTGTTGGTGCGTGTGTTGGTGTGTGTGTTGGTGTGTGTGTTGGTGCATGTGTTGGTGTGTGTGTTGGTGTGTGTGTTGGTGCGTGTGTTGGTGCGTGTGTTGGTGCGTGTGTTGGTGCGTGTGTTGGTGCGTGTGTTGGTGCGTGTGTTGGTGCGTGTGTTGGTGCGTGTGTTGGTGCGTGTGTATTGGTGTGTGGATCTTGCATGCGTGTCCCGCTGGGGCCGTGACTTTGCCTCTTATGCGCAAACGTGCATAACGCACCAGCACGAGCCTGCATGCCACTCCTACGCAGGCCGCATGCACGGTTTGGGATAGCTCAAGGTATATAGCTGTAGGCAAACCCTCGGGTTACGGGGCGGCAAGCCTGGGGCTTTAGGGTTTACCACTTAGGACGATAGGAGGGGGAGGTATGATGACCCAATCGCTGCTTGCTGCGTGCACGAAATCCCCGATGAATGGTTACCTCACAGTGATTGGGAGGCTGGGAAGTGACCGCTAGCGGTTGGTAAGGCTGCCCATTGCAATTGCACGCAATTGCATGCGCATTGTGTGTGCATTGCATGTGATGAAGTTTAAGCTCTGGTATGCAGCTAACTTCATGAGGTTGATGATGAATGCATCTATGCTCGTCACACCTTGATTGGGGTTGATGGTCCTTGGTTGCGGAAATTGACTTGGAGCAGCGGGGCACATCTTGGTGTGCGTGCGTGCATGCTCGTGCATTCCATCTTTGCATTCAGGCGCGCACCCCCCTAATCGCCATGTTGGATGTCGACATGCTTCCCAGCCGGGATTTGCTTCGGGACATGCGCAACAAGGAGACTGCAAGGTAGGTGTCAGCTCTGCCGTACGTCGTCGTACGGCGTGTTGAAGATAATTGAGTCTCGTGTTTAATATAATATAACATATATAATATTGTATTGTACTGTATTTCATATTGTATTTTATTATATTATATTTTCATAGCATATTTATTATATTAGCTGGGTCCTGCACTGTCAACGGTGTAACGTACGATACAGAAGATCTGCAGCACCGTATGTAAAAAAATTCGTGTAGGCGTCATGTGGAGTCCTGTGTCCCTCAGGCCGCCGCCGCCGCTGTCGCCACTGCTGCGACCAGGTCCGGCTCCGCCGGCAGTAGCAGCGGCGGCGGCAGCAGTGGCAGTGGCGCGGACAGTGGCGGTGGCGGCGACTGGCGCCCGGCCGTGTACGTTCTTCCGGCCTTCCAAACCGCCAACGAAACCTCCACCGCCGAGAACATTCGCATCGCCGACAGGATGGCGAATCTGACCAAGAGCCAGCTAGAGGTGCGCAGAGTGAATTTCCTTGCTGGTGGGCGTCGTCGGGTGGGCGTCCTATCCACTTACCTTCCAACACTATTAATCGGCTGAAGTGGCTGAAGTGGCTCGAGTGGCTCGAGTGGGTCGCTGAATCAACACCGAACAGCAGCCCAATTACTGCTCCACCACTGTCTGCGCTGACACATGTTATATGAGATTCCGCTTCTGTACTCACCAATCCACCTCCGCGTTACCCGGCTAACGGCGGGCCGCTCCAGGGGGGCCCCCGAATCAATCGACCGCCCAGGGGCCGCCAAACGAAGGCTACTCTTCACCGCATGTCGCCGCATGTCCAACGCAGCAACCAACGCCGCAACGATGAAATATTCTAGAGGAGGGAATCATGATTTGGAATAACACACAAACATATACATAAATATATACAGATATACATACAGGCATAGCGTGGATGCCAGGGAATGCGGAGAAGAAAGAATGCGTGTGCCCTCCAGCTTTAATCCAGGGAAAGAGGCGCCAGGGGAGGCGGCGGGAAACTAACCCAGTATAGTGTTAGTGAATGTTCACTACTCATTCTTTCATTTTACGACATAGAAAGGCTACCGGGGGTATATGCGGGGGAGGGAGGCCTAAGCCGAGGAAGAGTATCTTCACATATACCACCCAGAACGTGTCATGTGATGTGATGTGACATGATGTGATGCAGCTAGCTTATGTGCAATCATAGGATTGCACAATGCAATCATGGGTGCTGAAATAAGCCATACGTGTGCATGTATGTATGTATGTTTGTTGTTACAGGGTAGTAAACTTCGCCAGCGGCCCCCTTTCCCGGGGCAGTCCCTGCTCTCCCCTGCTAGAGGGGCACCCTAATCCGTCACCCCATCCGACTTCAGAATGTATTCATTGGGTTCGGCAACTCACCACCGGCATCCAACCAAATCTAGCGGATCAACGGCGCATCAACTTAATTCCAGATCAGCTCGCAAGTTGAGATTATCTCGTCCTACACCTTCCATACGACGGGGGGTTCCCTCCCATCTTATCACTCCACAAACACCCGAGGAGCCGGCAGGCGGATTTGAACCCGGGTCGGCCGGGAGCAGAAGTCAGGCCTTAACATCTGCCAGCCGCCTGCCATATAATATGTATGTATGCATGTGTATATGTGTGTATTGTGATGTGTATTGTGATGTGCGTTGGGAGGTGCAGGTGGCTGTCGTGGTGGAGGCGGCGCTGCCATTCCATGTCCGCAACTTCCCCGCGGGGCACGGAGCCACCGACTACCTGCGCTGGTTCAAGGTCAGCAAGTCAACAGGCGTCACATACAGCCACACAAGAGGCATGGGATAACAACTTAGGATTTTGCGCACACATCATATGGTGGATGCGAATCCAGATCTATTATTTCTGCTCCCCAAATCCCCTCTTCGTAACTTTGCTTCGTCTTTCGAAAGGACATAAAAAAATGAATCGATGTCACCTCATCGACATGATTGATTGTCCGTCATGTTGTATGTTTTGCTTGCTGCGGGCTGAAAGGCTTCTGCGAGTGAATTATTATTGTGTGTTAAGCGCAATAAGTGTACGGCATGTACAGCAGCTAGCGGCACGTCGTTTGATGATAATGTGCGTTGTGGTATGTGTGATTCCATGCATGGTGGATCCTCCCTCTCTGGATCCCGACGGCCTCTGTCTGCAGCAAGCGAACGAGGCCTACGACATTTCATACGCGCGCAAGTTCGAACCCTGGTTCATGGCGGGCCGCCAGGTGGTTCCCTGGCATGATGTACGGCTGCGGGGATACGGCCACAACAAGATCATCCAGGTGAGGAGGCAGCGGGGCGGGGCGGGGCGCTCTTGCTGCTGGTTATCATATATGTTGTGGTGATGGCATCTGCGCGTTTCTGTGCGAACATTCATGTCTGTCCTACTGTAGCTGCTACACTTTATTGCTATTGTAACAACCACACACACACATTATTGCTGCCATAAATAAGCAAAGCTGAGTAATAGATTACTGTAGAGGCCATAATGGAAAGAGATTATTATTACTTCAAATAATTTTTTCCTGGAAATGGTTCAGGTTTTAACAGGGGCTGAATTTAGGGCTGAGCGTTTTCGGTCAAATTATACCTTATGCGTTAGGTTTTGAGGAGTCTAGGTTCCTTTGAAATTGCTTTGCCTTGCTGGAACTTGCATCCTTATGTATTGCCGCCCCCGGAGGACAGAGCGACTAATAATTAAGAGCTCTTTGTTGTGGTACTTTCTCTTTGCTTGCGTCCATCTCGTCCCCTCTACGCCCTCTAGGCATGCTGATCGTCCCGCCGCTGCCTGCGGGAACGAAAGGCTGCGGACGGCTTTCTAGCCTTCTACCCTGCCTGCCTCCATACGCGCGTCCATCGAATCATTTTGCGTGTTCTGTTAGGTTCTGTTAGGTTCTATTGGATCCCGCTTACTGCCGTCGACATGGAGCTCCCTGCTTTCTAGTATGTACAGACTGCCTCTTAGCAAAATGATTATGGTGCTATAATACAAAGTTAACACCGGAGTCCCACTTCCTTACATTATTTCTGCATTTCCCTATCTGGAAAAATTAACCGCCGACGGGATTCCACCCGCCATGCATCAGGTGGCGGCCACCAACGCAACGGGCGCGCAGTTCAAAGTGCACCCACGCGCATTCTTGATCCATCGGCCGCATTCCCGGAGCACCGCTCGCGGAGAGCTGAGCGGCGACACAGTCGAGTACAGGTAAATGTGTGAGCTAAGTGGTGCTATGTGAGCAGAATAGCTTTGCATAAGAAAGCAGCACTTCTTGTTTGTGTTCTTTTCTTACAATTTTATGTCCCAACGGCGAAATAATATATTAATTATAATATATTGTAATTTGTATATAAAAGCTAGTCAAAGTTGTTTATGTTATATGCAGTTGTTCCATGGAGGCATCGGCGTGAAGCTTCATCTATTCAAAATAAATATTTTCTTTTACTCAGCGCTCTTCACAGGAAATGTATCACATCAGGCTGCCGGGTTTACAGAGCAGCGTGTTCGAGGGCGAGCGAGGCGAGTGGCTGATCGCCATTTGTGTCGAATCCTATTACCTCTCCCTGAGGTCGCTTGGCGCCGCTTCTCTCCTGGTCTGCACGTAGAGTTTCCTCCCTAAAATTATCCATGTATGTATATATATTTATATATCCCTCTCCGTTATTACGTTTGCTTACGAAATATATACTGCAGCTACAGGAAATGTCGGCGGTAATTGCGCTAAACCAATTATAGTAGCATAAGACCATAGCTGTACTCTTCGCGACATGCATTCGTTCGGTGTCCTGGCATCACAACGCTCTCTCCTCCTGTCCGGCTATGCTACCTGCCGCATGCGCTGACCGGCTCCCGGCCGACACGCAGGCGACTACTTCGCGGAGTTATGCGGAATGTTACGGGGTCACTGCTCCAGAACCTTCCCAAGATCGAGACCTTGCTGCAGGAGTTCCAACAGCTGCAGCATCAGGGGCAGCAGGCCCCCCCGAAGCCGCCGGCCGGACAACAACGACGACAACGACAAGTTGATGCACATAATGGCGCTAGCGCTGGCGCTGGCGCTGGCGCTGGCGGTAGCCGTAGCCTCCAGCAGCAGCTGCGAGAACGTGCTTTCCGTCGCAACCTTCTACAAATGATAGTGAACGGAGCCCAGCCGACAGAAGCATCAATCAATGAAGGAGCGTCAGAAGTAATTCGGCAGCCGCAACATCAGCCGCAACAGCTTGAGGTCAAATCGCCGCCCAGATCGCCCGCTAGGCCGATTGGTCGGCGGCCATGGGATGTGACGGGTCCAGGCGCGGCGGCGGCAGCTGGCGCCAACTTCGTCACCGCCGGGACCGACTCCGTCGCCGCCGCAGGGGCCAGCTCCGTCGCCGCCGCCGGGGCCGACTCCGTCGCCGCCGCCGGGGCCGACTCCGTCACCGCCGGGGCCAGCTCCGTCGCCGCCGCCGGGGCCGACTCCGTCACCGCCGGGGCCAGCTCTGTCCCTGCCGCCGGGGCCAGCTCTGTCCCTGCCGCCGGGGCCAGCTCCGTCGCCGCCGCCGGGGCCGACTCCGTCGCCGCCGGGGCCAGCTCCGTCGCCGCCGGGGCCAGCTCCGTCGCCGCCACCGGGACCGACTCCGTCGCCGCCGGGGCCAGCTCCGTCAATGCCACTGAATCCGGGAAAATCCTTGGGGCCCCTGTCTTAGCTGGGCCTCGTCAGCGTCATGTGCACCATCAGGAGGCGGTGCTCCCGGGAAGTGAAACACCGGCCCTGGCATCTGGTCCTGCTGCTGCTGCTGCTGCTGCTGCTGTCCAGCCGCTGCTGCAAGAAGGAGAACAGTCACCATTGCTGTATCCGCTACAACAGCAGCCGCCGCCGCCGCAGCAGGAACAGCAGCAGCAGCAGCAAAAAAAGCCGCAGGAGGGACGGCAGCAACAGCCGTCAGCGCATAAAGATGAAATGAAGTCGGCGGGGAAGCCGCCGGCAGCTCCTCCAGCTGCCTTAAGTCCTGAATTGCAGGTACGGCAGCTTATCCAGAGACATGTGTATATACGGATGCGCACATGCGTCGCTTTGCCTGCTTGGTTCACCGGCGGTAGCTTTCGCGTGTGGGAAGGGTCACTCCTTCCTAACGTATGCATGTTTGGCATATGCAGTTGCTTTATGAGAACTAGTAAAGACTGTGCGCGCGGGGCGCTGCAGTGCTGCGTGTCAACTATGTAGGTCATCCGTTTCAATCAATACACTATAAAAGTCTTCCATGCAGGAGGTGATTGTGCCAGCAAAACCCATTCTTTCTAAACACCTTCAAAAACATCCTCAAAAGCAAATTTCCAGGTTGCGATTCCTTGCACGCCTGCAGCTGACCTTGTGCACTCAGAACGACTCGAAGCCTGCCTTGCTCTGCAAACTCGACCTCAGGGAGAATCTTACGTCTGTTTGACAAGATCTCTACCCCCGAGGCGAATTGAACTATTTGAATGGTTAATATTTCTATCCAGTTCCTTACCCGCCCTCTTTCACTCGCACCTCTTTTTCCCTATAAAACATATATATGTAGCAACCCGTCAACCTGCATTCACGCATAGCAAACACTAACGGAACGTGCGTGGGGGGCCACATTATTACCAAACAGCTGATCGCCCGGAGACACGCGGATTCCATCCTACAAGAGCGCTTCGCTGACAAGCTCAGGTACAACATCTTCTGGAGCAACCTCAACGTCTACAGGTCGGCCCGACAGGCAATGCGGAGTGAGGGCGGCTACGTACCAGTGCTCGACCCCGGCACGCAGCACTGCCTCGATGTCCTCCCCTGGTGGGCACCTGGCGACGGCAGCGGCGGTGTGGAGGTGTAGACGTGGGCAGTAGCAGTAGGCATTGACGGCATGGCGTAGGCAGCGGCTGTAGCCGCTGGAGTTGGTCAACTGTAGCTTGCGGCGGATGCAGGTAGGCGGTGGGTCTGGCGTTGGTGGAGTTCGCGGAATTTATTATTGATTTGTAGCGGCGCTGGTGACCATGGCGGCGGCGGCGGCGGCTGCGGCCTAGGCGGCGGCGTGGGCGTGTGGGCGTGTGGGCGTAGGCGTTGGGAAATGTTGAGGGACGTGCGGTGTAGGTGATGATTGCTTAGGCGTACCTAGCTTGGTTTGTTTGGCTGCAGAGCACGCTGCAAAGGGCTTATTAGATCGGTGCGAAGGGCTTACTAGACCGCTGCTGGCGGGCGCGGGTTGCATCTAGCCCTATTGCATCTCGCTGGGGCCCCGCCCGGGGAGGGTCATTCGATCCGTTCGTTCCAGCTGCTGCCAACGACAGCGGCGCCATCCGACGCTTTCTTCCGTACGTTTGTGTGCGTTATATAAAAAATATATGTGTCTATATGTATGTATGTATGTTGGTCATAGGAAATGTAACGTCGAAGTATCGTGATTGTGGGCAAGATTGATCTGCGGACAGAAGTACACAGCGGACAGTCAGATATGGTATGCATGGAGCAGAGCAGTAGAAGCATCCGGCCGCAGCAGCATAATAGTTCATGCTTGTGATCATAAAAATACTAAAAATTTTCTAAGAGTGACTATAGAAATCCGAGTTGGTTGGGTGAGTTGGTACGGCACTTGATGCCGGTAAAGAAGGTCGTTCTGGTTTGCTGGTGAGTGATTTGGGGGTTTCGTAGCTATTTAATGGTCGGTGCTGTGAGGCGTTAGGTGTCCAGGCCTTGTTGGTCGCCGCGTGGTAGCTGGTCTCCACCCGGCCTCCACCTACCTAGCGAACGACGACTTATTTCAGTTGCTTGCAGGTACCCTCTGTACGTTTAATGATTCCTTATGAGAACGTGTGGTATCCGCTTGATACTGTAGGCCTGTTGTAAGACACTTCTGTATAGTGATTGATGGTCTGATGAACGCATTACACCTCCAAATCTCTGTAAAGCGCTGTAATTGCAGGGCCTCTACTTAAATCATTACGCTACTGCTTTATGAGGTTTAAGGTCCTGGGCTCAATTTCTGGGTAGAACCCCGACATCCCCGGGAGCGTGACATTATTTATGACAAGCTGCTGAGATGTGGAGTTGAGGTCACAGTTGATGGACCAAGATCCGCACGCTGGATCGGTGCCGATTGCTGAACCCTCTGTCGCTGCGGATGTTCGGGTGAACGGATGAGGAGGGATCCTAGAAGGCAGGATCAACCGCCTTGGACTATCAGTTCGTATGGCGTAGTACAGTGTGGTAATATTACCATTACCACTATACTATGAATGGCGGATGGTGCTGTATGGTGATAAGTCGTCCGATGTTCAAGAGGCCCAGAAGCCTCCCACTCTGTAACAACAACAAAAAATACATATCACCCCTTATATTAATCTAGCGGAATGCGATTTGTTACAGCGGACCCCGAACGAGTGGAGTGCACCATCACAACACGGTGGGCCTTATAGCTTGCACAGTGTGTGTGTGTGTGTGTGTGTGTGTGTGTGTGTGTGTGTTACATGGTTGGGGGGTGCGTGACCCCATACCTGTAAAACTACCCATACGAGCCGAAGGCCCAAGGGCCTAAAAGCCACGGAGACAAGTCGGGTGTCGGCTTCCTCGAAGCCGGAAAAAGGGCGGGCCCCACCTGCATCCGTACAGGCCGGTAGCTAGCACGGCACGTGTGACAATTGATGGGTAGTGTCACTGCGGTGGGAGATGTGCTTTGTTGCAGCAGTACTGATGGTGTGGGAGCTAAGCTTGCACCGGCGGAATCGTCAGCACCGCCTGCGGGCTCCACGCGAATCGCATCCATCCCGGGTGCATGCCGCATGGACAGTGCGGCAGACCGCAAGTCGGAATGCCCGTGCGGGCAAATTGGTAACGCAAGCTGAGTGAAGTTCGGTGCTGTCTGTGATGTTTATCCCCGAAGCGCCAGCGGCCTCAGCAATCCGCCCCACAGCCGCGACCTTCATCGCGGCACACCGCAAGTCTTCGGAGGCCCCGTGCATTGGCCAAAGTAAATGTACAAACAAGCAGCTTGTGTATTTCATATAGAAATGAAAGCAAATTTGTTGGCCTGCTGGTGGCATGTCGGATTGCTCATGCCGGCAAATGGTAACACAAGCTGGGTGTTCGAGTTATCATACGCCGTCATCTCAGAATTCCATTATGAGATACGCGGCAGCTTTCGGGATGAAATTTAGCGCGAGAGGCGTTGATGTGACTTTTGAGGTCGGTGAATGGAGGCAGCTAAACTTGTTTTTGCTCATACGGTCTTTGTTAGCTACATGCGAGATACCTTGCAGTAGAGAATGCTGTATAGTACCGATAACGCGTTTCAGCCGGGTGAAATATTATGTTTGATCCGTTACACACTCAAGGCATGGGAGTTCGAGTTATCATACGCCGTCATCTAAGAATTCAAATATGAGATACGCGGTACCTTTCGGGATGAAATTTAGCGCGAGAGGCGTTGATGTGACTTTGGCCTCGGTCAATTGAGGCAGCCAAACTTGTTTGTGCTCATACGATTTTTGTTGGCTACATGCGAGATACCTTGCAATAGAGAATGCTGTATAGTACCTACAACGCGTTTCAGCCGGGCGAGATATTATGTTTGGTCCGTTACACACACACACACACACGGACATGGGCAATCCTACAGGTCGGGGCCCCCTGGGGCGCTTCGCGCTGGGGCCCCGCCCAAAAAGGAAACACCGCACATCAGCCCAGACTAGCGTCCCGGGTCCTGCTAGCAAAACCGGATGCGATCCTCCGCCCCAGAAAAGCCAAACGGGCCGCGACCTCCAGCAGCCAGTTTGTCGGGGGGCGCCTTACAAAAAGCTTACGAAGACTTGTCAAATCGAACATTGGTGGCTTGGGAAACTTATGTACGAATTTCACAGCAAAGTGCGACTCAGGACGGAGATGCAGGATCGAATCCTGCCGCCTGCCCCGATCTGCTATTAATTTATACGACGTCGATGCCTGGGGACCGACGGAATCAGCCTGTTGATGTTGGTAGGGTGCGGGCCGCCAGAGACAGGTATTGTATTACGACCGACACTCATACATGCAGGCGGCTGGCGGCAGGCGGCTGGCAGAGGTTAAGGCCTGACTTCTGCTCCCGGAGTGTCCGGGTTTAAATCCGCCTGCCGACCTCTCGGGTGTGGGAGAGGTGTTGAATTGGGAGGTGGTCCCCCATGTTATGGACGGTGTAGTACGTGATAATATTTCACTTGCGAGCTAACCAGGAACTAAGTTGATGCGCCGTTGTTCCGCAAGATTTGGTTGGATGCTGGTGGTGAGTTGCCGAACCCAACGAATACATTCTGAAGTCGGATGGGGTGAACGGATTAGGGTGCCCCTCTAGCAAGGGAGAGCAGGGAACTGCCTCGGGAAAGGGGGCCGCTGGTGAAGCTATACCACCCTGTAACATCATACATGCGGAATGTGAGATCCAAAACAATAGGACCCGAGGGGTCCGGGCCTAATTATCAATAATGGGGGACCCGTAAAACTGGGTTGCTCAAATTCACTAGCTGATTGCATTCCGTATTAGATGTACTCCAAAGTAATGTAACATTTCTCCCCAAATTGAACTCGCTCTGTACCCTGTGACAACGCACTAGGTAAGCTAGCTGATGACCGGCCCGACATGTCCACAAACTGACATTAATTGACCTGGAACACCTTTCATGTGCAGCTGGAGCCTGGCCTGTGCATGGCTGGAACGGAACTTTGGCCGCAGCCGCAGCCGCAGCGAAATAGGGCATTTTTATCTAGCCGCGTCAGGCCGCCGAGTCTAGCTCACCACACCAATCAAACGTCCGCGTAAAGCCGAAAAGCGAAGCTAAGCTGTAATTAAACAAGAGCATTAAGCGGGCTATATGGCTATTAGAATAATTACAGTAGATCGGTCGATGCTGTTGCTGTCGAACATTACGACACTTACGGAGGTTGGTCTGTACTGGAGGAATTGTGCACGATGCACGTATGAAATGATGTACATACGCAAAAAATCTAGCGTTATATTTCTAATATACAGAATCTGGGATTGGCCTCAGATGAACTCCGTGTCCCCCGATCCGCAAAGCCCTAGCTAACCGCAAACAGTCGTGAGGGTCTGGGACTTCGGTCGTCACGAGCTGACACTTCATCCTATCTTGCATCACATATCTTGTGGAAAAGAAAGCCTTGATGTGGAGAGCGGATCAAAGGAAGCACATTGGCAAGTTATGGTAGAGAATGAATCGCGTTGCGAGTATAACTGTAAAACCGACCGAGGGCACCAAGCGCTGGGTATAACATTAATGCACCGCATCCGGGGATCCATACGCAACACATAAGCACCGGAGCGTGCGATACCGGTAAAGTGCGATTTCAGGTCCGCCCCCATCTATACCAGAGCGGTCCCTTCACCAAAACGATGCAGATCTAAGCAACATCGACTGTGCCGCCTCGTCCTTGCCATACCCAAGTGAGTAACATCATTTTCACACGGACAAATAGACTGTCACTTATTTGTGCCATATATATCGCGCAAGAGCTACATATCATGCCTACACCCTGCATGAGGATTTGGCAGTGCGCGCGACTGAAGGCGGCTGTAGCTAGAATTGCGTTGGGGGGCTGCTCGCGCGGTAATGGTACTGTCGGGAGTCGGGGGTGGGCGTTGGCAGGTTGGAGCTGGAGGTGTGAGCCAACCTGTTGTATTGCATTGTTGCACCGTTCCCCCGTGAAGTGTGATTCGACACTGCTGCTGCTGCTGCTGCTGCCGCTGCTGCTGCACGACAGAACGGTACAATAGCGCGACGCGGAGCGACCTCAAAATGCAGTAAAGCTGGTGCTGAATATTCATACATGTCTGCACATGAAAGTCGCAGTTTTGTGCGCTCACACAGTGCGTGTGTTATGCACTCTTGGTTGGGGCCGAATACCGATGCGTCACATAATAGGGCCGCGAGCGCCTGCCTCATAACAACAACCTACATTCAAAAATAATAATTTTTAGAAACTTCTTAAGTCTGATACTTTTCCACGGTAAAGGGTTTGGGGTTACGAACTTGATGAGGCGACACAGAGAAAAGCACTTGGCGATATCGGGTAGCAAAGTGATTAACAAAGCTGTGGGGATTGTCTTCTTTAGGGCAAATAATTGGGTGGTTACTGACATGAACTGCGGTGAAGGGAAAAGCAAGCGCTTCATGGGGTGTCTGTACTGCTCTTTTCCAGGCGGGGCCTGTAGCCACCTATGCATACATTCCTATCACACTCGCGCCCATATCGATACCTTCGCGCTTTTGTAAGCCCTAGTATTTGCCGGCCAATATTCAGCCCCAGTAAAAGCCCGCTCGGTTGAGTATGCGAGAGGGCAGGTTAAGGCTGTACAGGTACCTCGCACGCGGGAAAAACAACCAATAAGTCGGATACCGAAGTGCACAAGGTTTTATCTCATGGAGATGAATATTACCACTGGCGATAAGCATCAACTGTATCACCATTCCCTGGGTGTTACTGGCATCAGGTGGACCAGGGTGCACGTACCTTCGCCGCTCTGGCGTTAGCTTCCTAAAGAAAACTGACGAAGTCTAAAGCCATCACTTATATTTTGCATATTGAAAACGCTGCCAGGAAAGCACATTAAGGTTGTCGTCCGGCATAACTTGATTTGCATTACACACTTCCCAGAAGTACGTTCGGAATAACACTGCATGGACGCAGAAGCTGTACCAAGGAAATGGTACTCCATGATTGATATGTATGTACTTAGTATAAGACGATAGCTTCTTAAAGGAATCATTTTATTGCAGACAAAGGTTATGCCGTATGGCGGTGGCTTGGCCAGATTGCCCTGCCATTTATGTAAAAAAGCCAATAACGTCTATGTACAATTATTTCAGTTCAATAATTGAATTTTAGGGGCTTTGGGGTCAACGCGTGAACCTCTGGCTGTGTCGTCCGTATGGGTGCGACGACTCAGCCAAGGCTTGAAATTGGGGTGAGTCCTTGCCAAGCTTGCGCGTTTTGCCTCATAAGCTTTGGACCTGAACCCTTTGGGTAAGAAGCTGGCTTTCATCACTCCCTGGCATCATCCGCGCTTGGTACGCACAACGTTTGCAGGGCAAGGAGCTGCGACCCCTTTGCCGAATCGGCGAGGGATCATACGCATGCGTTTTCCTGGCAAGTATGTGCCAGGGCCCGGCGAACAAGGATGAGTCCATTGTGCAACATGAGCACATGGCTGGTGGGCTCTGTGCAATCAAGGTGTTCAAGTCCAAGAGCAAAGAAGTACGTTCATAAGGCTTCAGATCACGTTAAGGCACATGTTTTCGGAGTGACGTATTTCCAATCACAGCTTTCCGTGAGCGACCCTGCCTTCGCTTGCTCGGATTTGCAACTCCCCTGGCATAACCCCGAGGGCGGTCCTGACCCGGGGTCGGTTGACAGCCCAATCCCGCATGCATGGAGCGACATGTACGAATATCCCCAGTACGGCATGCTCACCAGCCCTAAAGCCGCGACCTTCATCAGTGGGCCAGTGTCTTCAGATTTTGCTGGAGCCAAGCCTACCCGATATATCTCCCTTTCCTTTCCCTTCCAGACTCCAACTCCCTTTTACCTACATCCCTTAATCCCTACAACCATCTTTCCTCCAAGTAACTTGTTTCCATGTTCATGGTCCCCACCGCCTGCATGGCACCCTCCACACGGCATGTCGACACTCAGGTTGTGCAGCTGGCGAAGAGGGAGGTGATGGCGCACGCCGCCCTCAACGGCCACCCCAATATATTGCATCTGAGGGGCGCACATCGCAGCGGCGGCGGTCGGCCCGTCTTGGTGAGCTCTATCTATCCGCGTCATCCAGTCATCTATCCAGCAGCTGATTTCCAACACCTAGAGCCCTCCCAACCCTCCCATAGGCATGCAAGTCATCCATAGATTTACGGGCATCCGGTTTGAGAATAAAATTACAGTTGGCATGGAATTCAATTCTGACAGAAGCAAGTAACACAAACAAACACGCACGCAAACTCGCGCACAAACAAGCAAGCTAGCTAGCTAGCTAGCAAGCCCCCTACGTGCCTGCGACTAGGAAGAGTTCCAGATGTGGAAGGTATGGTATAACACAATATCAAAATGTGGATACTGTAGCCTGTTCAGGCTCCGAGCAGGGCTCAGAACAGTAGTATTGCCTAAAAAGGCCCTCGACCGGTGCTAGCCCCATACATCTTCTCGCTCTTGGTCTGCCAAGCTTGCAGCAAGCCCCTTTCCTTACATGGCCTCTCTAGCTCCACCTAGCTCTCTAGTTTCTAGATGCTTGGCATGCTAAGAAACTTCCTTGGACCTTGTAGGTCCGTTCTACAAATGTTTGCTGTTGGGATTACACAGCTTAGGGTGTAGGGGTGTGTATATGTGTGTGTTTGTTTTACACCTCGGTTGCGTTACCCAGAGATGAGTCACGAGCGCCCATACGAGCCAAGTGGAGACCCAAGAGCCTAAGAGCCACAAGCTATGTGGCTGGTGTGTGTGTGTGTATGTGTATGTGTGTGCGCCGGCCCCTTCCCACATGTCGTGGGCCCCCTCATGCTTCTGTTTGCTGACTTTGCTGACATCTTGCTGTTGCAAGAAGTTTGGACTTTTGATGTTCTGGCATTCACTTGACTAAAACATCAGGAGGACTCAGGAGGCAACATCACAAAACCGCAGCATTTTGCGTCTGTTGTCGCTTGGGTGGACGGAATAGAGCGTCCCGAAACCGGCACACATGAACCCAATCAGACGAATCTGTCGGCTGGTGCCGGTGGCCCTGTAATAGCTGCTGGCGGCTGAAAAGGTATTTATAGGTGCTGGCGGCGGAGCGCCTTAGCACGTACTTATCGATGATGTGTGTGCTGCACTATGTACAGCTACTGCAGGCCCCTACGTTTGGGATTTCCTTAGCATCTCGGATCCACTTACCCCAAGTCAACACCCATCGCCAGTCCTGAAACCGATGACGCCTAGGCGCCTGGTAATCCCTTCCTACTCCTCCGTCGCCTAATTCCACCCTTTCACACAGCTTTTGCGTAACTGCTTTTTCCATCAGCATGTCTGCCCACTCTATCCGCATCTATCCTTCTAGCCCCCATCTTAATCCCACCCCAACCCCCTCCTACCTGCACGTTCAGCTTCTGGAGTATTGTCCAAGGGATCTGCAGTCTGAGCTCCGCAAGCATCCCGCCGGACTGCCCTCCAGGAACGTCAAGCTGCTCGCCTGGGAACTGCTGCAAGCGCTCCGCTTCATGCATTCCAAGAAGGTATCACAGTGCTGTACAACGTGGAAGAGTTGTCTTGTACGGCAGTGTACGACACGGCGGACAGGAGACGTTCATCGTCCATCCACCCTGGATTGCTGTTTGTAGTATATCCTCCGTATTGCTACATGTAACCTTGCCCCTTCAAACCTGGTTTCCTTAAGCTTAGCAAATCTTTGTGGTATAACGCATAACGAGTTCTACTAGATAACTTACATCAAAAAGATACTGTTCATGCTTTTTGTACTCAAAATCAGGACACGATCAGGACACGAGAGGAAAAACACGGGATTTTGTACACGTGCCGCTAAGAAAGTCGCCATGGACAAAACGACGTTTTTTTCCGACGTTTTTTCCCCCAATTTCATCCTCGTTCTCGTCTGTAGCCCCTCCGCATAGACTGAAGCCCTTGGTCCCCCACTCTGTGTGAGCCTCCCCTCCCTCCCCTCCTCCTGCCCTTCCTTCCATAAACCCTCTGACGTCATCATCACCACAGATTCTTCACAGAGACCTCAAGCCCGCCAACCTGCTACTCAGTACAGAAGGGGTGCTGAAGGTCTGCGATTTTGGCCTAGCACGCTCCGGCCCCCTACAGAATCCGCGCATAGGCAACCCTGGTGATGCACTCAGCAGCTACGTTGTCACTCGATGGTATCGTGCGCCGGAGATACTGCTTAATAAGCCGTACGGTACGGCATCTGGTGAGCCATCTGAGGTTACCACGGAGGTGGCAGAGCAGCTGGAGGGTCTGGGCGCGTGATTAGCCGCATTTTCTGTCCTTAGCTCGATGTGTTTTTGGCAGTACTTGAAGAAGAATCCGGGATAAATCGTGTACACAGTCACCGAATGCTATCTCTGCCTCCCTATGTCGGCTAGTGTTCCGTTGCCATCCATCAGATTCACCTCCCTGGAGTTGGGCATCATGGCCTCTCGCGCGCGTTCCTTCGGGCTTTCTGACCATCAGCAGAGCTGCTGATATTTTAAAAAGTTTTTATGTCCCGTTTTAGGCGGCTTACAGTTCAAGCGGATTAAAGAGGTTTTCCATTTTTGGTTTTGCCATTTTTGGTTTTGCCATTTTTGGTTTTGGTCTGGGGATCCTGAGGGCAGATATCTGGTCCGCTGGATGCGTCATCGCGGAGATGGCCTTAGGTGCTCCGCTAATCCCTGGGAGTTCCAGCGTTGACCAGATTTTCCAGATCTGGCGGTTGTTGGGGAGCTTGCAGCAACCCAGCTGCCGGCACGGCATGTTGGCTGCCGGTGCGCCGTCACCACTGGCGCGCAGGACGTCGTCCCTTCAAACCCGACTGGGAACACATTTGGGCACACAGCTCTTAGATTTGCTGGAAGCTGCATTGCGGACTAATCCGCACGAGCGAGCCACTGCTGAGGAGTTGCTGTGCATGCCGTACTTCAAGGAGATTCCGAAGCTAGTCGCCGGTACGGTGCTGGAGGCATTGTACGACTGGAGCATTGGGGAAAGTGCTGTTGCGTCGCCGGTGGTTGCCGCCGCTCGGCTGCAGGCGGCGGAACTGGATTTGCCGGTTCCGGCCAGTGGCCTGGGGGATGTGGCGATGGCGGCAGCATCGACACAGCAACTGCCCCTGACGGCTGTACGGCACGGCGGCGCTTCACTGCGTCCTCAAGCCCAAGAAGGCGAACAATCAACCCCCTCAACCTCGCGGCTAGGACAGGAAGCAGCGGGCCACACCACGGGCCACGGAACAGGTGGCGGCACAGGTGCAAGCGCAACAGCCACTGTACTGCCGGGAAGTCCGCATGCAACAAGATCTCCGCCACCGTACGGCGGCGGCATTGACGTTGCTGACAAACAGGATGGTGGCGGAGTTGAGGGCGCAGCTGGGCACACATGCACGCAGGACTCTGGCCGTGATAATTTTGATCAACGGCTCGCAAACGCCACTTTGGCCATGGCCTGCTCCCGTGCCGGATCTGTCCCGATTCTCCACGGATCACACCCCAACGGTAACCGTGGTGCCCTATGCCGTACAACCAGTATCGTACTACCCCGAAAAGTGTACAGCGGAAAGAGCGGCACCGTTACTCACGCAACTTGCGGTACCAATGACAACGACAATGATCAAGACGGGCAACATGGCGCTGGTGGTGCCGGTGCTGGTGGCAGTGCTGGCCTGTTCAGGCATCAGGCACGTGCGAGGGCGTGGGGTCGTCCAAGCGCGTTATCTCTCCGTAACTTCTTGTTGCAGGGCTCCACGCAAACGGTGTCGAGCATTTGGGAGGAGTCGAAATGGGGACTGGCAACGGTGGTGGGCTCACCCCATAATCCGGCAGAGGTGAGGCACACGAGAGGCGGTTAGGCTCCTTCGGCCCCTACAGGTTGGGTACAGTAGCTGGCCGCTGACGATGCCTCTGATGCTGGCGGAGCGGCTTAGCACGTATTTGTAGCAGTCCTGTGTGCCGTGCTATGTACCAGCAACTACATGTGGTGTGCGGCTCATGCGGCGAAAATCCCCAGGGGATCGCTGTAACAGTACCCACTAAAAATGTGAAGAAATTTGGGCCAAAGGGGTGTCGTCTGGTTTGTGACTGTTCATGGGGTCCAGCACCTGACAGGTTGGCTGTTGCTTGTAGGTTTGCCGTTGACTGGTCAGTTGGCTTCCTTGCTGGGTTTGCAACTGCTCCTTTCCTTTGCTCGCTCTCTCCAGTGTTTCCCTGCACGCGCCGTTTCAGGGTTTCCCTGAATACGGAGGAGTGCATCCAGGCCGTGCTTCCGCTGTTCGCCGGTCCGCTTCGTATACTGCGGCTACTTCTTATTGCCCCTCCATGACCCCCCCTCCTGGCCTGCCCGTTGGCTGACATGTGCCGCAGCAGGAGCTGGTCCAGCCCGGGAATCCCTTTGCTGACAGTACCCGAGGCGCCACTACTGATGGGCCCCCTCATGCCGCGGCCACTGCTGCTCTTAATCCGAAGGATTCACCTTTCCGGGATCTCAGGCCTGGCCAACACCAGCACATGCCGCCAGTAGACCAAGACGGGCCAACTGAATTCGGCCATCTTCCGACAGCGCTTTCCGTGGCTGGGTTCCTGAAGTCAGGGGTTCCCTACCCTGGCAAATCTCAACCCCAGCAACATCATCGTCATCATCAGCATCATCATCATCAGCAGCAACTGCAACTACAACGACAACTACAGCACCAGATATTGCGTGGCGACGCCGGATTAACAGATGGCGCTGGCGTCGCCGCCGCGGCCGGTGGCTGCATGCATCACGGTTTTGTAGCCACTACCGTACGACCATCCGCCGGGATTGCATCCTTCGTGGCGTCCGCTGTCGTACCCAGTAGCGCCGGTGGTCCTCCGTTGTCGCCATCAGTGATGGCGGCGACGGCGACGGTGTCCTGCAGCATTGTGGCAAGCGGCGCAGCCCCCGTCGCCACCACTGTCATGGCTGCTACATGCAGCGGCAATGATGTGGTGAAGGGCTGCACCGACGACATCAGCTGTGGAGGTTTGCCACGTCAGGAACCTGAGTTCGATATTCCTTCGATGCTGCGAACTGAACCTCAACCCGGCATCACAGGGTCGACCAACCGGGACTTCGTCCTGAAGATAGTAAGCATAATGGCAGGAGGAGGTAGCCTGCGTGATAAGCCCCAAAAAATAATGCCGGCAGCCAGTGGCAGTGTGGGTAATAACTGCCCAGATGGTGCACAGCCCTGGCCGCCAGCGGTAGCCAAGCCAGCAGCCGGACCGCCTGTACCGACTGCGGTTGCTACGGGGCCTGCAATCACCTTGGTTTCGGAGCCTATTCCACTAGGTAACGGTACGGAATCTATGCTACATAATCCATGTTGCTCTGCCCAGGCGCCCACCGTAAGCTGTACCTTAGAGATGCCAGTGGCGGTGACGGCGACCGCGACCGCGGTGCAGGCATCAGAGGTTCCTGGCTTGATATATAACGGCCATAGGAAGCGCGAGTTGGCGTCTGAATATGATGACTACACGATGGATGAAACCTGTTATTACAACACCGCATCTGCGACCTGGACCTGGAATGGTGTAACCGGGGGTGCACCGCCGCTGTGCTCGTGTGGATGCGGTGTCTTGGGAGTGGCGGGTAGGGATTACAAGGGAGAGGGGGCCCCGGCATGCGCGTTCGGCGGAACAGCGAAGGGGTGCGCACAAGTGCGTGTAGACGGGCACCCCAAGGAAGGGCCCGAAGGCGTGCAGGCCGAGGGGCTCGGTTGTGTGAGGGCGCTGCGGGAAGGTAGCGAGGACCAGAAGGGGCCGGCACTCGTAGGATGTGTGGGCCGTGGTGATGATGCGCTGATGGCGTGCAACGATCTCGGGCGTGGACGTAAAGGCTCTTTTCCCAGGCGCGTCCTGCTGCGAATTCGCGAGATGATATCCTGCGGCGCTGAAGCTTGATGATAGCTTGATTTTTAAATTTATTGAGAGGAGACAGAGAGAATTTTTGGGAGTTAAGTGGCAGGAAGAAAAAGTGAAAGTGAGAACTTCGGGGGTGCGGCTGTCATAAATAAGATGCATATGGCATCGCAGCACATGTTGCTTAGGGCAGCAGTAGTGCGATGATCTTTGTTGCTCCCTTATTTGACGTTTTAATCTTTTCGTTTAGCAGCGGTTAGCACTGCCAAGTTGCGCTTCTTTCTTTCAATGGTGGACAAGAATGAAATAAAATGGCGTGAGGTACCGTTGTATTCATAGACAGATGAGTATGACAGGTTAGATGCGTCGCCCGGGTGCTGGCACATACACGGTAAACTCCTATCCTGGGAGCAGTGGGCCATGGAACACGAAGACGAATTATTTGAGGAGGACTAGCTAATGGTGTGCGATGGAGCTTAACGCGCGGGCAGAAAGCACGCAACGTGCTGTTGAAAATAATGCTCCCGAATATAGTTATCCCAAAAATAATGCTCCCGAATAGTGTTGCCATGTTCCGCGAACTCTGTGACAAGATATTGTGCAGGATTGAGTGACTGTGATCAAGATTGTGTTGCTGCGGGATACGGCTCATAACGATTTATGCTAACTGTGAAAATGGTCAAAATGGTAATATTAACTCAAGGACAAATGTGTATATTCAAACATGCATGCAAAATAAAATGATGTTGTGTAGACAGGGTTCGTAGGCGGGAAACGTCCTCTGTCCCGCGTGCGTGCAATGGAGCCGTAGATGGATGGTTAGACCTTGCTTGTATCCTACCTCTTGGATCCATGTTACCGGACTTAGCGCTACAGCCGGGTTGCAGGACCTGCTTGTGTTGTCTCTCGACCACCTGAGATGGTGGTGGCCTCCCGTGGCCTCTCGTAAAATCTAAGACCTGTGACTTAGCATGGTTCCGGTGCACCGTAAAGTACGGTCTGATTCGTGCTTTGCTGGTTCCGTCTACGTTCGCACGTCTCGTTTTGAGTTTTTTAAGCTGGTTGACATACACGGTTGCTGCTCAAGGTTGTTGCAGTAACGTTTTGTACCCCAAACAAAAAATATGATCTGTAATCGCACAGGCCTTGGCAGTCCTTTTCAAGCCTTTCCCTCTTAATAGCACGTCGCAATTCAATTCTCTCTGATTGCTTCCAAAGCTCCAGAGGGGCACTTCCTGGCAGTCGTCAAAGGCAACGAGCGAGCCATCCGCCGCTTTATTCAGTTTTTCTGTCTTGCTCAGCGGCAATTAAATAAAACTTTCAGGTCAATCCCAGAACCATATCAACAGGAGAAACATGCTGCGCGATGAAGGGGATACCTGGAACGCTTGCGAGTTTGCGCCTACACGACCCGCCGTCCGGCGTCGATTTAATAATGCCAGTATGAGCAACACCGACGGCCGCGCGCTGCATGCGGCCGCCAGCGCGACTGCCGCCTCTATCTCAGCGTCTATGGGCTACACTGGCGGCGGTCCCCGGTCTGTCGGGCACGGCCCCGAAACCGCAGGAGACGGCGGCGGCGGCGGTGCTGCTGCCGCCGCGCGCTGGCCCGCCGCCGTCGCCCCAGCCTGGAACCCTACTGGTAATCAAGTTGGGTCCATTGGTGATCTGGGTCAGCATCGTACGACAAATCTCGCCGCCGGCGCCGCTGCCGCCGCCCGGGGCCACGCGGCACCACAGCCGGGGGAGCCACCGCCGCAGGCGGCGGCTGCAGCTGCAGCTGCAGCAGCGGCGGGGGCGGGGGCGGGGGCGGGGGCGGGGGAGCCGCCGCACGTCATTATGGCGGCCATCTACCAGGGCACGAGCTTGGGTATCGCGGTGTACGACGCGCTCATAAATGAAGTACGCTTCTTGGCGTAGCGCGTAACCATCTTGACAGCTTTTTTGCATTGCTGTACTTGACATTTCGGCTACTTGACATGCGGCGCATGCCAGCGGCGGGTTTCGGGAGACCTGTTTCATCCGGGATAAGAGCCGCAGGCGTAGGTGATAAATGCGAGAGAGCAAATTACTGGTGTGACTGACAGCGACTGGGGGTTAATACCCTAGGGGGCAAAACCCTAAAACACGTTCATCGCTACAGGGGATCGTAATAGACGTCGGGGGGCTCTTGATCCTGAAGTAAACTTTACTTTTTATTTCAGCTATTATTTAGCAGAGTTGGTCTACATCTGGTTCAAGGTGGGTCAAGGTGGGGGTGTAGGTTTGTGCACCGACAACCTTTTTTTGAGTCCGCCGCCGCCGCCTCCTTCTAAAATCATTTTTAACGAATAGGCCGCCGCCCGCAACTAATAGGATTTCATCACTTGCTCTTTACATGATGCCTCTACATGGTCGCAGCAGTACATGCAGCATGTCGTACAGTTTATTAATATCCTGATGCCGTACTGCACAACGGGGCACTAACGCGCCAACGCACTCTTAACAGTATTCTACACTGCGCCACACTGACCTTGGGGCGTCTTGCAAGCAACAAAACATCGCAGTGCACTGCACACGGCCCGCTGGCCCGCTGGCTCTACTCTTCGCGAGTCTGGAGCCCAATGTAACAACCGCACACACATACACACATACATACATACACACATCGCTAGGAGGCAATGAGGGCATCGAGGCGTCTGTCCGAGCTCCCATATTGCCCATATTGTACTGAAATTGCGTCGTACGTGTCGTACATGCTCCTATAGGTGAAGAATTCTCCAAATGAAACAACAAAAAATGCCCCATTGATGAAATGCCGTTGTTTGCTGCATCAATGCATGCAGATCAGCGTCCTTCAGTGCCAGGATGAAGTACGGGGCCCTCTCGCATTTCAGGTACGGCATGTACGGGCGCATTTTCCTCCGTAAATTCGCCAGCATTTCAGGAGAACGATACGAAACCACTGCCCACTGCCAGCTATCCTATGGCAACCTGTATGTCGAACTGTGCGCTCTGGCTTATTAGTCACCGCTGCGGTATCGACCGTTTGGGTTTTAGTCAATAGGTGAGGATGACGTCAAGTCAGCATGCCCCTTGCGTAAGTGCAGGGAGGGAATCCTTTGACAAACCACGTTGTTATTGGCAGATGCTGCAATTAGCAAAGCTTCAAGTGGAGCCTCAGCTGCTGCTGGTCAGCAACAGGGCAGACGAAGACATGCTGATGGTTGCCCGTGCCCCGCTGGATGGGTACGAGACTGAGTACGGCAGCGAGTACGGCGTTGGCGCGGATGGGTACAGCATTGGCGGCAGCTGGGCAGACAGGAGACGCTTTGATATGCGGATGGAGCGGAGCATGGCGTTCGCGTACGACAAGGTACGACATTTGCGCTGTCCTCGGCAGTGCTCATGCTCTCCCCTGTTACAATCAAATACACATGTACGACAATCAGCAGGTAAAGCTGCTTCACCCAAAAACATTTCTTGTGTATAGGCGTTACGTCGTCTAGAGCAGCTCTACGTGAGACAGACTGGCGCCGCTGTCGCCAGCGTGGGCCTTGCGACCCATGGGTCGGCTCAAACGACCCATGGGTCAGTCGGTGGCTTCGACAGCTTCGGCATACCCTCCCAGTGCCCCGGTACCACAGCCCCTGCCGCCGCTCCCGTTCCGCAATGCATGTTGCACGTGGCGGGCCTTATGGACCTGGGCCAGCGACACGCGGTGGGGGCACTGGGGGCGCTGGTGGGGTACCTTCTCCGGGTAGGTGTGTGGGCGGGTGGGTGGATGTGGCTGGTGGCTGGTGGCTGGACCGTGTGGGTGTGTTTTTGAAAAGGAAAACCCCCATCCCGAGGGGGAAAGGGAGGTGGGGAAAGGGGGGGAGAGAAGAGAGGGCGGGGAAGCGGCTAGAGATAGGGCGTGGGGATTGTCAGTTTACACGCCCCCTTCGGCCCCCTCGTCACCCAAGGGGGGTTGCCATTCCGTGTAACCCAGCGCTAGGGGCCTGGGGTTCCTGTGGCCGATCACGTTCGCGAAATAAAAGAGGTGTCCTGTCCTGTCTTGTGTGGGGCCAAGAAGATGCGGTGGAAAGACAAACCGGATTACCAGCTCTGTCTGTATGTGTATGATTGTGTCGGGAGATGTGTAGTGACTTTTCCTGGCCAGCATCATGCGACAGTCATGAGGCCAGAAGAATAAACAAACCTCCAATTATGGTACTGAGTACGGCATTGTCGTACCAGGAGGGCCTTGCGCCCGAAGCGTCTGTGGTTAGTGGCGGCGGTTATGCAACGAGCGGCGGCGGCGGCGGCGGCGGCGGCAGGGCCAGGCGTTTGGATCCAGAGGTGGATCCGGATCCAGATTTCGATATGGATCGAAGCCACGGCGGCCCCGCCTTATCTTCATGTCCCCGCGGCGGCGCGGAGGCGCTCGTGGTGGACCGGCTGAATCAGCTCGCCGTACAAGGGTACGGCGGACCGTTGCCAACCGTTGAGGACCGTTGGAAGGTTGTACAGACGCCCCTAGCCCGATAATCTCCCCAAACCCGCGCAAAGCCGTATATGTACATATATATAGTGTGTGTATGTATGTGAGAGTGTGTGTACGTATGTGTGTGTGTTTTAACAACGTGTTGATGACGTGAACGGGCGTGTAGTTTCATCCCCTCGGTCGGTTCCTGCCCTCACCCGCGGACCACATCCCACCCCTCTTTCCCGCCTTCCTTTCTCAATCCCCTCCCCTTCCTTCTCGCCCTGTGTCGTACAGGCTTCTCCAGGTGGATCTTCCCACATTGTACGGCTTACAGATCCTGGCTTCGGAGCGGCACCCCTCCGCCATGGGGCTGGGAAAACCGAAGGAGGGTTTCAGTTTATTCGGTTTGGCCAACCGCTGCGTCACACAAATGGTGAGACGTGAGAGCGGTCGCGATGAAGAGATTCATGGAAAGGGTTTTATGGGGGATGCTGCTTTAACCGGGAGTACGACAGGTGCGAGGCACTGCGAGCTGGGATCTGATCTCCAGCGCGCACTAATTCACCTATGGCATGTTTCCACTTTACATATACTCCCGCCTAACTACCCACCTAACTACCCACCTAACTACCCACATAACTACCCACATAACTACCCGCCTAATACCTAACAACTTACCTAACTACCCACCTAACTACCTAGCTACCTACCTAATTACCACATTCCTACCTACCTACCTACCTACCTACAGACTTACAGACCTACTCACCCACCTACCTGGCTTGGCTATTCACATGCATACACACATGCACGGGCACCCCCCTCCTCCCCGTCCTCCCCCTCCCCATCTTTACGGCTTGGCATTACTGCTTTTCTTCCGCGCTTATTTTATTCTTGGCGGCTAGGTAGATAGTTTTCCGGCAATTTCTTCACTACTTCATCCCGAGGTCGACGCACTTCAAGAACGCCTTTTGGTCAGTTCCACGTCTGGTACACTCTTGCCCTGGCAGCAGCTTCACTCGTTCACGTGGTTCGTCTTTCCTCCCCCTCCCCCCGCCTCTCCGCAGGGCAAGCGGCTGCTGCGCGTCTGGTTCCTCCGGCCGTTGGTCAACTTGGACATTATTCGTGATCGGCAGGTAGTTGGCGGTTACTGTTGGGGAGTTGGCGGTTAGGCTGTTGGTTGTGCCTCCGGCGGTTCAACTGTCGGTGTCATTCATGGCGCCGCGGCGCATCCTTTATAGCTCTTCATGATTTTGTTGGAAGAGTAATTTCAGAACTAAGGTTAGATGTTTTTACTATTAAACCTAACCTCTTATTGATTTTTCAATCCAGTGCAATCCCTGGTGCATGTGCGCCCGCACGTAATGCTTGAGGTGTCACGAAGGCGACGGCAGAGAACGCCCCATTTCGTTTAGCAACATCCCGAGTTACTTAAGAGATGTAAAACACGCACATACATACTTATATACGTAGACACGCATTGCCCGCCGTCCGACCTCATTTCGACCCCTCCACTCCCATCAAGCCCTTCGGCAGCTGCTTCCTTCCCACATCAATGTCACATAGCACTTCCTCGCCACCTTCCCTTAGTCTTTAGGTTGGTTTTTTTAGGGTTTTGATTTTTTTCCGACACCTACCTATCTGTCCGGCCGCCGGGTGTGCACGTGTTTTGGGTTGTTGCCTGATCAGGATACGGTGGAGCTGCTGCTCCGGAACGGTGGCGAGCTCATTCCTGCGCTGCGAGCCGAGCTGAGAAAGGTGGGTGAGAGTAGGAGTAGCTGGTGGAGATTGAGACGAACCTAATTAGGCATCATCTATGAAGTGTGCGCTGTTAGACGCTGTGTTGCCTGTTTGTATGTCCCTCTTTTTTGCACGCTGCTGTAAGCCCGCTAAAGGATGCTGTGCAGAGTATCCTGGGGGGCCATGATCACGGGATCTGCATCCACCGATCGGTTATTTTCTGTAAAAGTCGTGATATAACACTGTACAAAGCATGCAAAGCCTGTGCCCGTGGCGATGATGTCAATGATACATAACCGGATTCGATCTGTTCGGATATTCGATCCCTCTCCCCAATCGCCTTCCCCTCTCCTTCAACGCGTTCCCCGCCATCACCACAAACTTCCAACTTCCAACTGTTAACCGCCGCCGTCATAACCACCGCCAACCGCCTCAACGAACACTCGCAGCTTCCAGACGTGCAGTCGCTGCTACAGCGGCTGGCGCTAGCACAACAGCGACCAGATCTTAAAGTGCTACAGCAGTTTCAGGTGGGTGGGGTGGAATGGGGGGGAAAGGGGAGGAGAGGAGCAGGTGCAGGGGGACGGGAAGAGGGGACCACGTAACGTCATGGCAAGTCCCGGGGGCTGAAAATAGCCTCAGTGGTGGAGAAGGGGACTCAGGAAACAGTCCGAGTAAGCCTTTGTGCCGCTGGTGCTTGTACGGCGGGAAACACCAAGATCTGCCGTACTGCGTTGTGAGGGACCGACCGACCCGGGCAGGGCCCTGCCCCGCTTCTTGAGGAGGACGGATGTTTGAGAAGGGAGGGTACGACGAAGTACAGACGATTGTACGAAAAGTACGAAAAGAAAATACAAAGACGGATGCTCCAAGGTTATCCAATAATGGAAGGTTAATGCTTCGGGACACGACAAGGGTTTTTCATCTCCCCGGTCATTGCGTCTTTTTTTCTCTTCTTTCTCTCTCTCTCTCTCTCTCTCTCTCTCTCTCTCTTTTCCCCCCTTTCTCACTGGGTTCTCACCTCGCGCGGCCTCAACTGCAGTCGTGTCTTCGCCAGCTGCTTCGTTTACGAGCCGCCTTCGAGCAGCAGCTTGCGCCGCACCTGGCCCGGGTAGAGAGGGAGGTGGCGGCTGAGGGGGGGGCACTCGCGCAGCAGGTGCGCGGAGGGGAGAAATAATGCTAAGTAACAATAATAAAAATGATGTAATTCACAGATGATAATCTTTTAATATATCATACAACCCTAAGTTAATATACGATAATAACAGGTATGATAAATATTTAATATAATATGCTCTATAATAATGTTATAATTGTTACAATATGAAATTGATTATATTTACGCTCTAGCTTCACCAGGGTGTGTGTTGAGGGGGGTGACTTCTTGGGCACTGCAGGATATGATGTGTGGAACAGGGGGGCATATCTTCACCCGTGGCAGCTACCCGGCGAAACCCTGCCTTCCCCTGCCTTCCAGAGCACCCTCATCCAGTCACCCTAGTTAACTTCTCAGTGGATCACTCAGGTTCTGCACACATCACCAGCATTCAACGGAATCTGCCGGATCAACGGCGGCACAATTCCATTCCTGGTCGGCTCGAGAGCCAACTTCACATCAGGTCACTACCATCCTTCGACAAGTGGCACTCTAAGACACTCTAAGATTTTCGGATCTGCCAGGTCTCGATCCCGGGATCTCCCGAATGATAGTGTCCGTGCCTTACCAGTAGTGCCTAACCTGTAATGGACCTGAAGATGTACATTAGCGGCGGCGGCGGACGAAATGTGGCGGCGGACGAAATGAAAGCGTGGGGCATTGTGAGGGGTGATGGGGAGTGATGCGGGGTGACCACACCACACCATACAAGCAGCACATAGATACTTACACCCCAACCCACCCTACCCCACCTCGTCGCCCGTTTGCCGACCCTCTCAAACCGACGGAATCCAGCCATACGCTTCTTTTACGTTCACACAAAACACGTTCCCAGTGGCACGCCTTCCCCCCCATATGCACACACACCGGCCTCCCACCGTCACCTCTGTTGTATCCAGTTCACCGCATCTTCCATTCTACAACTCTTTAGGGTAGCGGCTGATATTATTAAGCTTTTTTGCACTTCAAGCCCACCATAAAGCCTATGCCAAGAAGATTCAATTTTCTTTGTTTCCTTATTTATAACCTTTTTTATAATATTCCCTGAAAATTCTGTAATTGCGGAGTTAACTGCTGAGTGGTGTTAGTCAAATTATCCTGTGTTTTAGCAAAAGAAACTAACAAACTTCTTTTTTAAATACAGTACTTAGCACAACGTAACCAATTTTACATAAAATAAATTAACAAAGCTGGTCTTTTAGAATTTGTGCCACCAATAACCTCAGAATATGCTTCTATACATCCTGAGTTTTTGTGGAAATTCGAGCATAACCAATTTCCACGTTTAGTCTAATTTTCATGTTAGCCTAATTTAAGTTTTTACTAACCCTAAGATGGTAGCATATTAGAGTCGACCCATTTTACGTGGATAGTTTAAGGCCAAGCTGAATAGCGTCGGAAGTCCTGGCAGCTGGTTAAGGGTTTTTCCCCCGTTGTGAGCGTGATAATGACGCAGTTCCACACACCCGTGAGCTCGGCCCGGCGGCACGCGGGCGCGGCTGCACCGACCCACGGGTCGGTACTACGGGCCGCGGGTGCCGTACCCGGGCCGCACTGGGACGCAGTGGCCATTAGCGGCAAGGTGCTGAGTCACGTAGGGCCGGAGCTGCAGGTTGGTTGCAACGGTTATTCAATTCAGGAAAACCTTCTGAACTGCCGATGTCGAAAGGAAAAAGGAAGGGATAACGAAGGCGAGAGGGCTGATGTTCCGCCAGTAGTAGCTGGCCCCGCTGAAAAGGCCTCTCGAGATTCTGAGGTGGAGCGCTTAGCGCGCATTTGTAGTCCATACATGTGCCGTACTTTGTGCCAGGTACTACATCCCCAATGCACGGGCAGCAGTACGGCAGGCAAGTAGAGCTCGCCATTTTTGATTTCCCTCCTTATTATCAATCACTCCTGCAGACGGTCCTGGATACCTTGATGAGTTTGTTGGATACAAATCAGGTGAGAGGCGGTTGGCGTGTAGCGTGCGTTCGGCTAAACACGGGTAACGTTACGGTTCTAGAGTTTAAAACCCTAATTAGGTTTTATTATAACCCGCACTTCCCCCTCCCCGCAGCTCTCCTTGTGCATTCCTAGCTGCGCGCACCTCCTAGCTGCGCAAAGGGGCTTTGGACGCCGTTCCTGTTGGACCGTTTTTGCCCATCCGGTTAAAAAAGCAAAATGTTTTTATAACTCTTTGGTAAGATTTGCTTCCCCCGACACCTAAGGCGCAAGATGGCATGGTGGTGGCGGAGGGTGTGTGTCCCGAGCTGGACCAGCTGAAGGCGACCTACAGCGCCCTGCCGGAGCGCCTATCCCAGGTATTGTACGGATGATTGTACTACGGCACGGTTTTACGTGTCATCAACGGTCCCAGTCGCCTAGGATACATCACTTTTCGGACTCTGCCCAATTGCTCAAGCGGTCATTATTCACATGCATATGGTGTTGTACGATTGGGACGCCCAATGTCCCGAAAGCCGAAATCTGGCTAATGCAGCCGCCGACGGGAATACAACAAGAATGTGTGCTGTGTGGGATGCAGATGTAATAAGTGGTCCTCCTAGCGGCAGTCAGTGCGATGGAGAGGGGGCGACAGTTCCCGCAAGCGACAGCACACCGGGACAGGAAATCGCACATCACACCGGGACGAAATCACGGACCGGCCGTCCAGAACGCGGGAAAATTGTTGACTTTTGGGTGCGGCTATGATCTTTTTTACCGCATGAGGCAGCGAACCCACATGGATCCGCTAGCGCTCACAGACTGTTAAACACAGCAAAGCGCCGGAAACCCCAGCCGGGTCGTATTATATTACTGCTGTCGCCAGGCTCTGGTGTACGATGGAGTGTCGATCGGTCACTTTCCACGAGCACTTACGAAGGTGGTCGGTAACTTCAAACCTCTCGGGTGGATGAATTTTCAGGCACAGTTTGGTGGGATGGCTGTCTCTCCTCTGTTTTTGGCCGCACTATTACTTCTTCACATCGAGGCAACACCAGTACGCCGGCCAGTATTTGTAGGCATGTTTGTTTGTCACTCGTAGGGGGGCCATACATCGGCAAAGTCCCCCGGCTAGCACCAGCAGTGCTAGCCCGGTCTTATTAGTCGTAGAGCTGAGCTTGTTGAGGTGTTTGTGGTGTTTGTGCGTGTGCAGTACGGACCACTTGTTCTTCCTTTCCAGGCTAGGTGGGTCTGACATTACAGCGACAAGCGATGTACCCTTTGGCCGCGGTCTCTTTGCCTTACGATATAGAAATAGAAACTTGGTAGACCGCTGCAGTAATAACAATAACAACAACAATATAATCATGTATGCTTACAGATACGCTTACAGACGCACAAACAACACCGCTTTCACAAACCTCACTTTCTCCCACCCAACACATCGTCCATCTCCGTCAACATCATCTCAGGTAGTGGCTTCGGAGCTGAAACGGGTACCCAGATGCCTGGCACGACAGAACATGCGACATTTATGGTCCATACTATATCTCCCGCAGGTACGGCATGTACGGCATACATGGTACGGCAGGTCACGCCATCACGTGAACATCCGCAGCTCGCTGTGTTGTGGGTGCGATATTTAGGACGGCTCGAGAAGACTTTAGCCTACAGCTGTAGCACGACTTTAAAATATGTTAAGGGTAAATTATTGAGTACGGCAGCCGTACGGCATTGTCTACGTGGACAACCTGAACATTAAGACCCGCGCCAGCACACGTCTCACGGAGGTGCCAGAAGCAAACGAGATGTGTTCCGGCCCTCAGACATACATCCATGTTAGATAGCAAAACTGGCGAATTATGAAAATATCTCCAAGATATTATTCTGCTCTCCTAGGGTAGACTTAAACCCCCCCGGCCTAAAAACCCCTAGAAACCCTATAATTCCACCGAGGGACCTCCACCCGCCATCCACCATCCGCATAACAACTACACGAGCTCGCCGATCATAACACGGGCAAGCGCTGGATCTGATCTACCTTGTTCAACACCTTCATGTTCATCGACATGCTTTTGTGCTATCGGGGGTCTGTGGTCAAGATTTGTTTTACACTCTCTTTTTGGACGATCGATGCGCATTCTCCAGCAGCTTTAGATGCATTATGTTATATCTAAAATAATCTCTGTTCGCAATCAAGTGAGCTATTTGTAAACTTGTTCCATGTTCAATCATCATTGATATGGTCATCGCTCGCAACTCCTAGGCGTGAATGAACGGTTGGTTTGCGTCGTGGTAGACCAGATGCTTGTAAGTGTCGTACATGCTGTACGTGCTGCTGTACATGTCATGCAGGTTGGCTTCGTGATGCGGGTGCAGGGACAGCAACTGACGGGTACGACACACGCAGAGACACACATATATACATGCATACATACACACACACACACGCGCGGGTGCAGTGCATCCACACGCAGTGTTGCAGCTGGGATGAACCCATATGTTGCACAACCCACACGTGTTGTGGAAACATTGTCAGGGGATATGACGCGATGCCGACGGGAAAAGGGACCGTGTTAAAAAAGAAAGTACAGCGGTGGTTATGGTGGTTATGGTGGTTGCGCTCATTAGTTGTGGTGCGGGGTGGGCGGGTTTACAAATCGAGTTAAGGGCTCCTAAAAACCGCAAAAACCCCTAAAACCGCATACCTCGCGCTTGTCGTTTCGCCTCTTAGCGAAAACAAACGGAAATATGCAACTCCCCCGGAAATATGCACCGGAAATATGCAAAACCCACAGCGGACGTGTTGGACGAGCTACCAGATTACGAGCTGGCATTTGAGGGGGCGGTGGGACCTGACGAAGAGTGGACCAGTACGAAAGACCTGGGCGGCAGTGACCCATCAGGATCTGGATCTGGATCTGCAAACCATAACTGGGCCGCGTATTACCGTACGCGAGCGACGCGGGAATTGAACGCGCGCTTCGGCGACTTGCAGTACAGAATCCAGGATCTGGAGGTAAGGTTCATGTCGTACACCGTAAAGTACGGCAGATAAGGCCAACAAGGTCCCGATGGTGGATTGCCAGGCCCAGGGTGGTTAGGTTTATAACTTCATGGTGACGGTTGTGGGCCAAGATTTCGTTGCAACTGCCAACTAATCAGCACCTGTATGTAGGCAACGCTCGTGGCGGAGATGGTGGGTCGGCTGTTGCGGCAGTACGGCCCACGGCTACAGCGCGCGGCCACGGCAGCGGCGGAACTGGACTGTCTGGTGTCTCTGGCGGCACTAGCCGCCGACGGCGGGCCTGGCGGCTCGCCGTACTGCCGGCCGCAACTGACAACCGATAACGTACTCAGCATCGTTAACGGTATTTTAGGATATTTCAAATGCGGTTTGGGGAATGATTGAACGAGCGCTATTGCGCACCCCTTTAATGTTTGCATGGTCCAGTTTACCGCGTACATGCCAATATGCATGTATATTAAACTCTCGTTGGCCAACTTCTTTTGAACCGTCCAGGTCCTGTTAAAGTCCCCCCCAGCTGGAACCTGCTTCGTATTATGAAATACAAATTCAATCAAAAAGCTAATCAAATGCAAAAAGACAAATCCAAAAAAACGGTAATTCCTGCTAATTCAAATTGGAAACACAAATTGCACACGCACACACACACACACGCACACACACACGCGCACACACACGCACACACACACGCACACACACACGCGCACACACGCACACACACGCGCGCACACACACACGCACACACACACACGCACACGCACACGCACACGCACACACACACGCATACACACACGCATACACACACGCATACACACACGCATACACACACGCATACACACGCGCGCTCTATATTATGAAGCTACGTTCAAAGAACTCAAAACGCACGGGGGGACTGATAGCCTTGCTGAGAAACGGCGAAGGAGCTGTTTCGAACAGGATATTATCAGGGGGTGTTGTTCTTTATCATATCTCTTCTTCGCGAGCCGCGGGAACATTTAGCTTTCAGTTGAGGCCCGCGAGGCCGTTTCCTCAAGACGCAACCCGCAGCAGCAGCTGCTGTAACGCACACCGCAAAGAAATAAGTCTAAGATGTTTGAACGAACAGCCCTCCCCTCCTCTCCCCCCTCCTCTCCTCTCATCCAACTCACCATCGAAAAAACACCAACATGCCCCGCAACGCGACCCCTAACTAGACGCGTGTTATAACGCGCTCTCCGACATGCCGACATGCCCCCCCCGCACCACGCACGCTCGCCAACCCAGCCGCCCGCCGTCCAGCCGCCTGCCGTCCACACACCCACCAACACGTTCCGCCAATATGGCCACACAACCACCTCGCGCCCCCACTTGCCCACACGCCCCCAGGTCGTCACCCCCTCGCCGAGACGGTGGTGGACACCTACATCCCCTTCACCACCACCATGCATCAGGACAGCGGCAGGCTGCAGGTGGTGACAGGTGCGGATCCTATCCATTGTTCCGTTGGTTGGTTGGTTGGGGTGTTCGTTATTTGTTGGGAAGTTAATTTGGCAGTTGGACGGTTGGTGGTTGGTTACCCTGCACCAGGACCATACCCCCCAACACTCCTATTCTCCCCCCTCCACGATTGTAAATGCTCCCCATGGTGAAAGGGGTTTCGGTGTGTACGTTACATAAGCCGATTATCATCATCATCTTAAGACCACCATCACCCGGGGGTCACCCGGCCGCCCCGGCGTTCCCCTTCCCACCGCTTTGGGCCCGCTCGGGTTTTAGGGTTTTAGGGTTTTATGGGGTTTTAGGGTTTTTCCCCGACCCTGACCCGCCCGTCCTCCCCACCCGCCCTTATTCCGTCAGGTCCCAACGCCTCCGGTAAGAGCTGCTACGCCCGAGCCGTAGCCCTCATCGCCTTCCTGGCGCACCTGGGGTCGTATGTCCCCGCGGAAAGAGCCACCATCGGCCTGGCGGACCGGATAGCGGCAAGGTCCGCCGCCGCCGCCGCCGCCGCTGCACTGCCGCGGGCAATAGCGCTGCCGCCAGGCGACGTGGCGGCGGGGGTTGGAGGAGGAGGAGGAGGAGGGGGGATGATGCGGCCAAGCACTTTTATGGCGGATTTGGCACAGGTATGGAGGGAGGGGGGCATTGTGTGCGTGTATGTGTATGTATGTATGTATGTATGTACCGGTGTGTGTGTATGTGTCGGTGGTGGGGGAGGTGTTGAAGGGGGTTGAAAAGTATAGCGTACGGCATTCATCGAATGGAGGAATTGCAGATGATGTGAACAAAACGAGTGATGTAAGAGCACGTGATAATTAAGAGTACGGAACTTGCCGTACATACACAGGTGTCATCTATGCTGCGTCAAGCGACGTGCCGTACTCTGCTCATCTTGGACGAGTTCGGCAAGGTACGGTTCGGGGGTTACGGGGTTCTGTCTTTCCGATTGGCGGTTAGCGTTTAGCGGCTCGTGGTTGTGGTGTGCTGCTGATCGTACATTTTGAGTTTCTTGAACTGCCCCGGGAGTACGATAGTACGATACCTGTCTGTTTCGGACGCAGCCCCCACTTCGGCTGGCTCCCTCATCAGGGTTCCATGTATGGGCCCCCTCGTTGCACTTCAGAAGCTGGAGGTGACGCCACTCCAGAAGGTAGTCTTAACACGCCAAACTACCTACCTACTAACCTATTTTCAACAATGTTTTTGTTAGAATCTGTTGTCTCAGACTATATAGCTGCTATACCAATACCGAAGGGAAACGTGTTACGGCCAACGTTTTCAGTCTTACCTAAAAACATTTTTGATATGTTCGTTAACTGGAAACGATTCTTAATTTTTTTGCGTCTTATTTACCTACCTGTCTGTCTACTTACCTACCTACCTACCTGTCAGTCTATTTGTCTGTCCCTGTCTGTCTGTCTGTCCGTCCTCCTACCGTCCTCCTGTTCGGGTTCCTCTGTCAGGGTACTCTCACCTCGGACGGAGTGGGCCTTACTGCTGCCGTACTGAACCATTTCGCAACGACACCAACACCAACACCAACACCAACACAAGCCGCCGCTGCGCCCGCGCCAGCCGAGGTGCCCTCCGCGTCTGGGTTATCATCGTGGTGCACCGGCAGCAGCAACAACGACCCACGGGTCAGCACCGCTGCAGCCGCTGCCGACAGCCTCGCCAATGCGTCCTTGCCTCCGCGGCTAATCCTGTGCACTCACTTTCACGAGCTGTTCAGGCCGGGGGTTCTGTCCGCCGGCGGCCCGTATCTAGCATTCTATCAGATGGAGGTGCTGAGCAGCAGCGGCGGCGGCGGAAGCGGAGGCGGCGGCGGCGGCGGCATGGCAACCTGTGGCTCCGCAGCTTACACCCAAGGACCCTTAGGTCAGCAGCGCAACGCCGCGGCTGGTGCGGCTGGTGCGGCTGGCAGCTCCGAGCAAGCGACGGCGGCGGACATGGAGGCCGAGCAGCACGTGTTTTTGTACCGGCTGGTTTCGGGGCGGTGTTCCTCCAGCTTTGGAGTGTACTGCGCCCGTCTGGCCGGGCTGGACGAGGCGGTGTGCCGGAGGGCGAGGGTACGAGGGAACGAAACACACAGAAATACAAAAGAGAAACAGACACGCGGAAAGAGTTATGGTGAACCTCGCCACCGTGTTGAATGGGCAACGGCGTCTTGGTTGGTTGGTTGGTTGGTTGTATTACCATGCACCTGACTAACATGCAATTTGCACATATGCTGAATGATGTCCGTCATCATGTCTGTCATACAGTACATAACTTTAGTCCAATCCATGATATGATACATCGTCATACTTTGCCGTACGTGATGACCGTACCTCAGGAGATCATTACCGCACAGCAATCCGGACTGGCCGCGGGTCGTTCGGCCCGGGTGCTCGCCTCTCCGCTGGTGCAACACGACCTTGGGAGGCTGCGGCAGCTGCAGGTACGTCATCACGTGTGTCCGGCATCATGCAGTGCAGTGCAGTGCAGTGCCCACTTGGGGCGGGATTGCCTTAGGGGGGTGGGGGGTGGGGGTTTGGGGAAAGGTGGGGGGTTTGGGGAAGTGGGCTTTTGTTTCTTCAGGTGGGTGGGGGGTTGTCTTAAATGCGACCAAAATTCCCGAGCTTTTATTCTCTTCCTTGTTGGCGTCTTCTAAATTCTGTACCTACCTAGCCGCTCCATGCGTTGTATCTGGATCTTGGATCTTATTAGTGGCTGTTGATGGATCTTGTGGGGATTTTGGTAAGAATCACCCTTGACCCAAACCAATCCTTGCAAGTCCTGTCGTGAAACGTGTCTTCTGAACATCCTGGAGGGCATTTCTTCCCTTGCATGAGTGTACGAAAGCACGCGGAGCCAACCTTTACTTTGCTTGGTGCGTATATACGGCAGGCAAGTGCTGATCTGGCGGAACCTGACCGGGATGCGGCGCTGCGGCGGCTGCTACAGTGTGAGGCGGAGGAGGCCGAGGCCGCGGCAGTAGCAGCAGCTGGCGGTTAGGGCGGATAGTAGATGGCGATATGGAGGTGGCAGTAGAAGTAGCAGTAGAAGTAGCAGTGGCAGTAGTTGCAAAGGCGGGGGCTTGGATGCATTCACGTGTCCAAAAATCGGGGACCCCACATGTTGTATACGTTGAGTATGTGCACCTGTACAGCTGTACATGTACGATGTGGAGAGGGAACAACACAGCCGTCATCGACATGCTGGAAAACCTGCAGCTGTGGGAAGCACGACACGAAGTGACAGGGATGTGTGTTTTGGTAATGTCTGTTAATTTGCTTACATATATATGTATGTCGCACGTGTTCAAGCAGAAAGCGGACCCAATAGCCATGTAAGCATGCTGGGCGATATAGTGGTCACATCAATCCGCATGTCAAAGGAGTATATGAGGACTTCGACACATGGTGATGACCCATGCTGAGCAGATTGTAATTGTTACAGAGTGTTGGATCCCGATCGGGTCGAGTGCAGCACTCGAAGAAACACCTCCTGGAGAGCGCACATTGTAGTAGCTGCCGTACACAGTACGGCACACATGACGTGTACAAATACGCGCTAAGCGCGCTTCACCAGCATCTCGGGAGGCCTTTTCAGCAGGGCCAGCTACTACACGCACTGTGGGGAGTGGGCCAGACCGCATTCCCTTGGGCCCAATTGGGAGTGGGCCTTATTATTCAATCAGAACTCTGCTGGGGGCCGCAGTGACTGTGTACAGTTCTTGTGTCCGAGTAAACTGCATATTTCCAAGCACAAAGCCTTACTAATGGACATCGCCGACCTACTGTACGAATGCGCCCAACAGAACATAACCGTTCAGTTCCTGAAAGTGAAATCGCACACAGGCCTTGATGGTAATGACAAAGCTGACAAAGGAGCAACATCTGTCGCACGAGGTGAGAACCCAGCAACATTTACTGAAAAGGCCGACAATGCCCCGTTCGATAAAGTGTTCTGGCTGAAACAACGCGACACTGGTCTTTACGTTAGTGACCTGAACAAAGGCCTTTATAAGCGTCTCCAGCAAGGTACCTTCGCAGGCTATACCAACGACACAATACTAACTGAAAAATGGCGTAACACCGCCTCGAAGTTAGACCCCAAATCTAGCAATTCCTTCCTTAGCAACGCAAAGATGCCACACTGGCTCAAACTGCAAGTACTGAAAGCTCGATACGGGCTGCTATTCAATGCTAAACTAAAGAAACTTTACGGACGAGGCGGAGACGGCAACTGCCCTATCTGCCGCAGCTGCGGCCCGACCGGCCCCACACACGACTCAGGAGCCCACATACTCGGCGGGTGCCCCCACCCAACCATGAAGGGCATGTACATCAACCGGCATAACCAAGCGACGCGCACTATTGCCGACTGCGTCAACGGGGGCCACCACGGTGGTGGCTTCATGATTATGGACGCCGGTAAAGAAGAGGATCTCCCGCCGTACTGCAGTGGGACGCGCGTCCCCAAATGGATGCTGCCACACTTAGCGGACGAGGAAATCCGTCGCCTCCGCCCAGACATCATGTTCATCCCCGACCTCCCCGCGCACAGAACCAAGCGCAAACGGTACCAGGGGCCGGAGTGCAAATCCAAGCACGATGTATACATTGTTGAAGTGGGCTACACCAGTGACCTGCAGCACTCCGACAAACTCGAACAGAAAACCGCACAGCATACACGGCTAACAGAGGAACTCACGAAAGCAGGCTGGACGGTGCACTACACCGAGGCGCAAATTGTCACCCTGGGAAGTACTGGGACACTAACCAACACACTAAAACCGCTACTGTGCAGACTCGGCTCGTCCGCTGAGCAGGCCCAGAAGACCTGCCTGCACCTCCACCGGCAAACAATCGAAGCAGCGGGCACGATTATCCGGGCGCGGCGAGTACTGGAGGGTACAGTCAAGTAACCGGTACAACCCGAACGGTTTCCCACGGTGGTGCGGGCATACAGGAGCGGCTACGCCGCCCCTCAGTTCCCCACCCCCTTAACACACGCCAGGCCCCGGCCGGCGTACTATTATTATTATTATTACAGTTCTTGTGATGCACTATGTCCTGAAGGTGGTAGGTGGAGGCATGTAGCGCATGCGCATAACAAATAGAATAGTTGCATCATGATGTACATCGTGGACTCAGGACACAGTGCATCACAAGGGGTATGTACATGGATATGTCTGTTTCACAAAGCCGAGCTAGGAGGTAGGGGCAGGCAGGAAACTGCTGTGGCATGGCTTAATCAGGTAATGCAGCGGGTTCCAGTGGGATTCAGAAGAATCGTCGGAGGAATAGGGGGCCCCATGGGGGGTATGATGCGAGAGCATGTAGGTGGGAACTCCGGGGAAGTCTGGAAACAGGAGAGCCCCTTTCTGATAAGAGCGACATCACCCAGCGAACCAGCTCAGATGAGACTGTTGTTCAGCAGGAAAACTGTTCTGTGCTCCTGTCTCCCTTAACCGTCTTCTCGTGGCTCAGATTCTGACGTACTTGCTAACCATGCTTGGAATGGTGGAGACGGGAAGCGGGGAGACCGGCTGCCATGGCCCTTACACTGCAGAATAGTTAACTGCAAGCTGAAGCTCTACTGAGTGAAAGGCAGAATGCCTGCAACGAAGGAGCTGAAGCGTGATGTATTCGCCACTCGAATACGGTTGTACGGCAGTCGCATGGAACCAGACTTAGAGGCTCCGATCGCTTCGCTCCGTCGCATCTAAGTCATATTTTCTCTCACATATGTTGGAAGTGCTTATCATGCTCATTGTACTTTTTTTTATGTTGCTTATCTTTGTTGCATCACTTGGATGACTAAAGTTGTAACTTCTTCGCCCTCCAAAATTTTGTGCTCACATGGACGGATAAGACAGCTGTGCATGCACGTGTAGGCAGGTGAGGCTGGGACGTTGTTGTATCGCGTCTTTTCCAGGAAACCGATCGGCGGAGTCAGATACAGACAAGCCATTGACACCAGCACTTGGCCTCGCCGGGTTCGGTCAAGGAACACTTGCAAACATGGGTTACCCTGTTTGTTACCGCGCATGTATTATCCTGACCCTTTTGTTACCCCTCAGTAAGGGATTACCCCTACCCCGGGGTTAGATTACCCACCTCCTTTTGTACATAACATGTGACTTTGACCTCGGTCAATGGAGGCAGCCAAACTTGTTTGTGCTCATACGATTTTTGTTGGCTACAGGCGAGATACCTTGCAATAGAGGATGCAATATATAACCAATAACGCGTTTCAGCCGGGGCGAGATATTATGTTTGGTCCGTTACACGCACACAGCCACACACACAGCCACACGGACATGGACAATCCTACAGGGCGGGGCCCCCTTGGGCGCACAGCGCTGGGGCCCCCTTGGCCCCAAAACAGCCCTCCTGACCCCAACGCGTCGTACGACCCCACCAGCTAGTCTGTGCACTCCTGCACAAACCTGGCAAGTACCTCTATCGAGCCACTGACACTACCACCACCAGAACTCCTGTCACATGCACCTATGGCCCACAAAATGATGCACCTTTCTACTACCCGGAACTCCTCCAAAAATGCCTTTTCGCGATAACGATGATGTGATTACGTCCCACAACAACTACACTAAAACGTGGATTGAATGAAGCTGCTACATGCATGGAATGTTAAATACAGGCGATGACCTAGCTGCTCACATGCAACATCCAAAATATGACTGGGAAGGAAACTTGCACGACAGCAACGTTAACCTGGACTTTACAGCTAGCGAACAGCCCATCGCAGCAATGCCGCATGAACGAGAAATGGCAATGCACACACGCCAAGTTATAGCTGATATTGTTAGTTCGATTCAATAACTTGAAAAAGACAGAATCAACAGACAGTACATGCCTGCCAAACCGGTTGACATTCTTCAGTCCAGACTTCATGAGTGCAGCTGTGACTGCGGCCAAGCAAAATATTGAGCAGCTGCACATCCTGCCTGTCGACATACAACTAACACCACACATGTTCAAGGCACATGTACCCCCTTAAACACCATGCATCATACTGCTGTTGCTGCTGCTGCTGCTGACTGCCTGCTGGTCACAAAACTGAGCATTGCCATGACCTTAGTCTCACACCCCTGTCGCACCTCTCACCTGCAACTTCAACAACCGTCAACCCTCCAGCAGCAGCAAGTCATCAATCCCAGGCTCAAGCCATGGAGATGTCCGTTGAGCAGTACCAGAGCCTAGGGTTTCACCTCAGCATACCCCAGCAGTGCAACACCAAGACGCGGCAGCCGACACCCTGACAACGAAAGAACTCACAAACAAGAAGCCTACCTGTACAACATGTCCAACATGCCATGTGACTGGCCGCTGACAATCGGAGAATGCTCAAGACTCCGCAGCAACAGGTCAGCAGACAATGAAGACTTCAAGAACAAATACGATAAAAAAAACCTGCATCAGGCAGGCAGCGTGCAGCTCTCCACTCGCGAGGATTATCTATGGACGAAATCGACAAGCTTACCAAGAGCCAGGCCATGGCCAGCCAGCTCATGGACAGCCATGCTGCAGCAGAACAGCCCACTGCAGCACAGCTTGCCAGGCTGCAAAGGCTCAATGGATTGTGATTGGTTGGAATTTTGTGAGATGAGTGCCCACACGTCCTTCTTGGACAGTGGCTGATGCATCAGCTGTATATTGAGCCTTTGCAGCCTGGCAAGCTCTGCTGCAGTGGGCTGTCCCGCTGGCTCATGGCTGTCCATGAGCTGGCCATGGCCTGGCTTCTGGTAAGTTTGTCTATTTCTTCCATGGATAATCCCCGCGAGTGAAGGGCTGAATGTTGACTGTCTGTTGTGGGTTTGTCATTGTTGGGGTGTCACACTGTGGGCGGCTCGCCCCAAGAAAAGGACGAGCACCGGGGGCCCTGACCGGGGGCCGAAACACAGCGCAGGGGCAGGCGCGCGGCTCTACGTCCGTCTGTTCCTCCGCGCGCACCTCACTCCCTCACTCACGCCAACCGGGACGCTCTCCCAGCCCCTGGCTAGGCAACGCAGCAGTGCAGAAGACTGCAAACCGAATTAAGTGAGAGCCACACGAGAGGCGCCACACCACCTCTGGGAGACCTAAACAAGCTATCTGCCCCCACTACGCTTGGCCAGCCTAATCGCGCGCTCTCGTCCCTCTTGACCGCCAAAACAAGAACAAAGAGAAAACACCACCGGGGCAGGGGCTCTACTCAGGGGGCTCCACTACACACTCCAAAAAAAAACGGGGCAAGGGAAGACCTACCCATGTCAGGTACGGCCCCTCAGCAGACTCTCCTAGTCAAGGACCCCACGCAGCCAGCAAGGCAAGAGATACACGGAGGACCACGGGCCTGAGACGACACACCACAAAAGCTGAGACACGGTTGCACCGAGAAGGCAAACTCAACGCTGGTACTTGCACACTGGACCTTAAAAAGGCCAGCTAGGTAATCTGTGAAACTGCCTGTGGGAAAGAGTGTTGATCATGCGACTTTTTCGGCTTCGACGGTTGGTAAAGCTGAGTCAGTGGAATCCAACGAAACATGGGCATTAGGAACAGCATGAGTTGTGACATCTCCCATGACAAGGTCATTACAGCTGACTGAATTGGCGACCACATCATGTGTTGTTTCTTGTAGCAGGAGGTGTGACGTTTGGAGCACGGAGGCACAAGTGAAGATTGTATGGAATTGCTGTGGCTGTGGATGGCCAGCTTCATGGTGGTCGACAACTGCCGGAACAGGAGCTCTAGCTGCAGCTGCTTGTATTGCTGGGGCACATGTTCAGGTGCCAGCATGGGCACTCCAGCAGAAACTCGTCGGTTTTATGTGAAGTTTTGTAGGTTCGGTAGATATTGCTGGTGTTTTCAAAATATTCAACATTACAGTCATTTGGTTTCTGACAGTTTGAAAAACTCTTTTGCTTTTTGTGCTACTGGGCCGAAGTGTAGTAGCTGGTACAATACATCTACGGCATCTTCGACAACTATATGTCCCTATGGCATAAAACGAGGGGTAACCCCCCCTTAAGCATAACCCAGGGGTTAGGGTAGGGGTAAGGGTAGGGGTAAGTGGTTACCCATGTGGCTATGTACGAAGGGGGGTGGGTAACCTAACCCCGGGGTAGGGGTAACCCCTTACCAAGGGGTAACAAAGGGGTAGGGGTAACCCCTTACCAAGGGGTAACAAAGGGGTCGGGGTAATATTGTACTGAGGGGTAACAGACAGGGTAACCCGTGTTACAAGTGTTCCTTGTCCGTATGCCGGGCCATATGCTGGTGTCAATGGATTGTAAGCATGTCCCTGTCCAACCTGCCTACACATGCTATCACAGCTGTCTCATCCATCTATGTGAGCACGTATGCCTATTTCGCCTATGTAAAAAAATATTTGCATGCCTCTCTATACACTTCCATCCATGCATATGCCTGTATCAAGCTCACATGTCTACACATACAAACATACATGTTCACCAAACACTTCGAGTGTACAATTGTAAAGATTGCCTCACCAACACAAGCCTTGCAGGGCTGTAGAGCCCGCCCATGGCCCCAGGCTCGGGGTGTGTATAAACTCGCTAATTACACCAACGAATGCAAATTCTGCATGCACGTTTTCATGCTTTTAAGGAGAGCTGCTTCGACCTCCTTCCATGCCGTGCTGATCCTCTTTAGGGATAGGAGGTTGCCCTTGCCGATGGTCTTGATATGGCACAGTACAGTCATCCAGTGCGTTATGATGGTCTTGATATGAATCGGTGTCGTAGCAGGGGTGTCGTTCCGGGGTGCCAGGCCCTCGCTGATGTCGGTCCAAAGAATGCCCGCCTTGATAACCCTGAATGCGAGGGCAGAAGTACGGCCGTCATGGGGAGAAAAGCAGGGAAGGGAAGAGCGGCAGGCCTGCCCTAGGGCACACGTCCGGAATGTGACATGCCACTTAGATTTGCCTACTGCAACAAAGCTCCATGTGAACTCACTCGGTTGCCGCGAGGACATTGAACTTGCTGGCATCACTCTGTGAGTTCATGGGCTTGAAGAGTGCCGGGCTGCTTACCTAATGCGCGACTTCGACTTATTGCTCCGACAACAGGCTGTCAAGCACGCGCTTGCAGTCGATGGGCGGCAATTTAAGAACGGCCAGAAGCTTAAGTGCCCCCTCGCGACCTGCTATGTCCAGCTCTGAGCGGATCACATCTGAAATACTCCCCACATTCTCCTCATTTTAAATGCACGCTCTCCTAAGAGTGTCTAGGGTCTTCGGTGGGAGCTCCGGATGTTTGACCCCAAACGCGGTCACACCTGGTGAAGCGTAAGGCGCCCTTCCAGGCAGATTCTCGGGCGTCATTGGAAGTCTTGCAGAATTAGGTGCACCATAAGCTCGGGCCTGTGCTGCAGGAAGACGGTCAACGGTGTTCTGGTGGTGGTCGACCCGCGCCACCAGGCCAGCATTTTCACCGCCATATGCACCACTATTCCATGGAGTATTGTAAATGTTCGTTGTGTGCATAGTTTATGTGAACAATTGTGGCAGTGAATACGATCGACCGAGTTGTCGATATTGGTCGTCCCTTTGTTTAGCTTGTCCGTCTTATTAAGAGTCCAGCCAAGGGTGTGTAGTATATTTCTGTTCTCCTGGATGGTTCATATGGGAAGGCGGAACAAGTTGCCAAGGGTCCTTACACTGCAGAAAAACACAACCTCAGCCCCAAAAAACACAACCTCAGCCCCACGGCCACTATACCCCCCTCGTGCTGCCCACCAATGCCCTCAGCGGGGCAACACGCACATGACACATAAACCTATCCAAAGAACTTCGAACGACTCTCAGACTCTCATGTGGCGACATCTATAGAGGTAGCTACCTCCTGAACCCGGGAAGATCCCTGCAGGTTCAGCTGACTAGTTTCCCCCTACACCAAGCACTATCCCTTCTGAGCTCCCTAGGCCACACTACTAGGCTAAAAGACTCCGCCGGCTGTCCGGCCGCCCCTCAGCGGCCGTTTGCCACAAACCTGCAGCTGGCAAAGCCTGGCGTGGAGGCGTCTGCGATTGACCGGCGAAGAAGGGAAAGGGAAACTTGTTAATCCATGATTGATTTCTTTTCAGAACTAGCCAGAGACACAATGGATTTCAAGCTAAATTGCGTTCCCCAATCCACTTTGAACTGTATGAATGCGAATGAATAATCTTATTAGGGACAATAATACGGCACGGGAGTTTAATGCCCTCAAAGCAGGAACAAACGCTAAAACTGAATACATAGTTCTAAATCTTCTACTAAAAATTTCCTGCAGCGTTAGAGGCCTTTAATTCATATTGGCGAACGATGCTTCCCGAGCTACCGGGATACTGTAGGTTCAACATGTATATGTAACATGTACATTTACAGAAATGTACTAAAATGAATTCACGAAATGCGCAGCAAATAAGATGAGTAGCCTATAGGCCCATGTCCATAGTCCAGGGCAACGGAGGGGGTTACCCTGGGGCCGTGTTACCCCTCCTGCTGGGTAGGAACTTACAAGGGGGTTACCAATGGGCTACGGGGGGTTGAAGGTGGGTAACCGATGGGTAACCCATGGGTTACTGTAACACAGCAAAGGCGTAACCCGGGATGCTCAGATTGGCATTTGCGTCGTTACATTGCCCCCCACTTAGCAATGGACGTCCTCGGCCATTATTTCGAGCACAGGAGCCATCCCACCTCGCGCCAGTGCGCTGGTTTATCCATTACACCATGAAATCGCCAATTTGCGACTTGCTGGTTGCCAGAATCGAACCGCCGACCCGAAGTTTATTTCGGAATTCGTGCGGTCCCGTCTCGATACCATTGTAACACAGCAAAGGCGTAACCCGGGATGCTCAGATTGGCATTTGCGTCGTTACAGTTACCGACCCAATCAGTGCCTTAGGGTGTGTGCTAAGCGTGCTGGCTACTACATCTCGAAAGGCTTTTTGATTTTCAGCGGCCGGTTATTACATTTTGTATGAAGATCACGTAAATGATTATGATCCTGAAGTCATCAGTCGACCCCGACCGTCCACACGTGTTGGATATCGGGTCAGACGACTCATTGCGCGAAAAATCGTGTCAAAAGCAGCTACGATTGCCTGGCAAGACTCTGTACCTGAAAATCCTAAAGACGGTGTGGACTGTTCACCCACAGCCCACAGGCGGGTAGGCGAAGGTAGGCACAGGCTGGTGGTATACGTGGCTGTAAGGGCCCGAGACGGATCCCTTCAAAAGGGGGGAGGATGTAGTAGCTGGTACACAGTACGTCACCTTGAACGACTACATATACGCGCTAAGCGCGTCACCAGCTCGAGATGCTGGTGACGCGCTTAGTATGTATATGTACTTTTCAGCGGCCAGCTATTACACTAAGTAGCCTGAGCAGCCTCCAAGCTACACTAGGGTTATGACACCTTCACATCGAGCATATTCATCGCTGCAGGGAAGCAGTTTTGTCTTGGAGATGTGATGTTTTCATTTGGACCATAAGCTTTGCAAACACGCACAGCATGCGAAGCAGGTTGCTCGTCGCGGGTTCCCTTGGTGACTTTGCGCTGTATCATGTAACGGTTATGTGGACACTCCGTGACACCCGGCGTGTCATCGATGTGTAGCTCAGTAGACACTTCCGACCAGCACGTGTGATTTAATACCCATTTGCTGATGCTTGTCAGGTTGCCTAGATAAACAGCTGAGCACAAAGGGCACATGAATGCGTTGCCCAAGCATTGTTGCATGTGAGCTGTCAACCTATTCTTTTAGGTCTATATACATATTTAATGTCGTGGCCAGAGATTGGGCACTTCCATTCCCACTCACCTTGATCTGTTTATATGGGGGGCCAGCGCCGCCGTTGTTGTTGGTGGTGGTGTCGATGGTGCAGGCCGCATAGCCGCAGCAGCAGTTGTGGGCAGCAGCAGAAAGGACAGCCGGCGCCGCCGGTTGCGGCGCTGGCAGCGGCGATGCAGCAGCAGGGTGTTGCTGTATTAAGCTGTGGACACGCCAGCGCTTGCAGTAGCGTCCACGGCCAGCAACATGTTTACCGTAAAATCGTCGACACGTCTGCGTTTCCGCTGCTGATCTTCTCTCGTTACAGATGAACCTTTTCTGACAAGACCATCAATAAAAGCGGCTTTTTAGCAGGTATTTCAAACAAATACAAGAGCATATGCAATGGTTATTCCTACATGAGAACTACCTGCTTTAATTCGTGCTTCGAAGCAGTTACTGGAACAATGCGTTTGTAGGACACGAAAGCTACGAATCATACATTTTGAACACCGCAGACATTTTGAAAACTCACCAGTTATTAGCATGAATAAGATCAATAATCCGATGTCGACAACAGCATGTCGCTCAGCGCTGCAAAGATGATTGATGCTTTCGACCCTCTCGGTCGAGCAACGGAGTGTGATCCACCGGCTGATGCCGTTGAGTGTAAACTACCAGAGCTGCATGAGCATTTTATTAGATTACTATAAATAATTGATGATACATGACTAAATGGCATGGACTTTACGTGTTTAGTATACAGGATTGTATGGCATGGATTGACTGCGAACGAGGATCACAGGCGAATTAGAAAGCGGTTTCACCGGCAGTCATGATGATTACCATTGCAGGTCTAAACATTCTATCAGCGAAATGTGCGATTGCGTACCGCAACACCACAGATAGCTTATGGGCTTGCCAAGGAATGCAGGCTGATCACCGGGTTCTTCGATTAATTACAACTCCGGTAGAAGGAGCAAAAATAAGCTCGGCGGCTTCGTACGACCAAGATCGAGGGAGAACCTCGGATAAGTGCCTTTTACGACAGAGATCACGCAGAGACCCGGCAGCTCGAAAATGACTAACGAATCTCTCAATAGGGTGCCTGTATGACACGGATAAAAATGAATTGCGAAGGAAATAAAGGCGGGGGCAATAAGGGAAATGTAGCGTACTAGCTGCTATGGCTCCTCCCCAAGCCGTGGGGACCTCAACCGTTGGGAAGGGCCATTTGCACCGAGGCTGTCCCCCTTGGGGAGCCTGAGAATCTCCCAAACCAATTTTCCCTGGGGAGCATTTCGCCGTGGCTGAAGCGCCCTCACCCAACGCGCCCGACGAGTTAGGGAAGGTCCAGGAGTGACTCGCGCCGCCTAACGCCGTCGATTTCCCGCCCAGCACCATACCTGTTTGTACAGCATATACTTCCCAGCCCTACAGTAGAGCAAAGCTTCAAGCAAAATTTTTAATTGCATGAACTGGGCAATTAGTAAGCAAATTTGACTCTGTTGGTTAGGTGAATACAAACAATAGCTTTGCCTTACCAAATTCACTCGATCATGAAGGTCGAGGACCCCATTAAGAAGAGCATTGCCAAAGCAAATAGGAATAAAAGGCGACGGCTTAGAGCAAAGCAGCTTGAGAATGTCCAGCGCCCGAGCCTTCCGACAAACGTAGCTGTCACAACTGCCAATGCGCAACAGGAGCCGGTTAAGGTTGATAACGACAGGGCCCATGAGGCCGAAGATCTCCATCCGGTTCACCGTGACGACGCTGACGACGCGGAAGCATCGGAACATGCTGACGTTTTCACCGCAGCCGAGGAGGAACCAGATCCAATGCCCGGACCAGCGTCCACATTAACACACGCTGTGCGGGAAGCGTACGTGCGTGACTTTGCAGCCGCCGCGGAGAGCCGGACTTGCTTTCTGAGCAGCAGCGCTGGCGTACTTCGCAGCCTGGCAGGAAGCAGACCTGAGGCGTGCCCCCGGTGCGGCGTACGCTCCCCGCAAGGGGGCCGTACCTGCCCTGTGACCATCATCACTTGGGAGCAACCCATATGCGTAGATGTCCCTGTGTGCTGGTGCACACCCTGTCGGGCGTGGTACAACGTGCGCCCCACAGAGCTCGACTGCCTACCGGACACTAAGCCTGGGTGGGACCTCAACCTCCATCGAGACGGCCAGCATGTTCTCTGGTGGCACCAGCCGCTCCTGCAGCTGTTCAATCTTGTGTCATTCAGGAGCAGGAACCTGAGTGCGGTCGCGTTTTGCTCTGCTCTCCAAGACACGTGGCAACGAAATGGCATCCGCCGTCCAGCTTCCGTTTTGGCAACCACGCTTCGTAAACGCCTTCGGCAAGCACTCCTCCTGTACACGGACTGCCAGGGCGCCGTGGATGACTACCCGGAGGCACACTTAGCACCTGGCCCCGTGGAGCTCTGAATGGGTGCCCTTGTTGTGGGGACACTCTCAGGTGCAGCAGTGCAGTGAGTGGCGCGGCCGCAGCCGCCGCAGCCCCTGTGACCAGTGCAGCAGTGCCGGGGGTCGTGGAGGAAGCGGCAGCGACGGAGGGGCCGGAGCCTGGAGTGGAGCGACAGAGGTGGCCGCAGGCAGCCCTGCTGCCGCTGAGGGCAATGGTACTACACCAGCTGCCACGGCCACCATTGCTGCATCCATTGCTCCAAACCTGAGCCTGACCATCTAGTGTCCTTAATATATTACGGAATCGCTTATTGGTACTTTCCTGAAGTCGTGGTATAACAATTGGTATCGAGCCTGTATTTCAGATCTGGTCTGGGTTCGAATCTTAGCTGAAGTGGTTCTGTAACGGCTGATTATTTTATGGGTGCTGCTCCCTGATCACATTGGATTTCCATGCTTCATCGCACCAGCGTGACATGTGGCTTCATAATATAATGGACATTGTACAGATGTCATTCTTCAATTGTGCTGAAGACAGCTTGCGAAGGTGAACAGCCGGGCGGTGCACTTGAGGCCAAGACCCATGGTTCACATGCAGCCATTGATGCGTCCGAAAGTCTCTGCCCAAGAGGGATCGACAACCTTTACACCAATCCAATCCACTTGGCACCACAGTCTGATCCACAATGCTGTAAACTGCCTGGCCGCCAGCCATGCCATCGCCCCGTCCCCCACCCCCACGGTGCCATAATGCCTGTACACCAAAGCGCGGCAATTCCAACCTCCACCACGCACAACACAAACACAACGCAGACGCACTGCCCTATCCTGCCACAAACACAGTACATTTGTTTTGACAAAACCTTTAGCAAGCAATGCAGTAACTTATCTCGGATGCTGCCGGCAGCACCGTGCATTTCACCAAAATTTTCCCAGTTCCGTGTCCCGTAAATGAGCAATCCGTGAAGGACTACCGTTGGGCACTGCTTCATCAGGAGATTTTGTTAGGGCCACTAGCTGAACTATAGTTTCCACATTTTTAAAAGATAAAATGAGCCCCGTTGGAATGTAACTCAGACGGCTAAGCTGTGCATTTCCGCTGCCAAAAGGACATGCCGAACCTACCGACTTCGACTCAGAGCTCTGCTTCAGCCAAAGGAGCAAAATTGTCCAATTATTTACATGTAGTTTTCGGCTACAAACGCTTATTGCTTGCAGTCTAACGGCTGTGAGTGCAAAGTCGGCAGAGACGTCACGGAATTCTGATACGGAATTAGCACAGAAAGTCCACTTTTCCGGCACCCGTGAGGTCTGTGCTCTTTTTAGTCCGCCAATAATTATACAGTGCCCTAACAAACCGTGGGGCCACCCTTTAGAAGGACGGTGTTATGCATGTACGGCAGCAACGTTTAGATGCCGCAACGTTAGTCGGGTCTCAATCCTAAGATTGTAAGAGCTTATCCCCTGTCTGTACTATACTTCTTCTAAACATAGCTCGCTCTTTGTCCAAGCATTCAGAAAGCCCTAGAATATAACTGTCGGCAACTACATAACATACCTTACCTTTCGTCAGATACAGAAGATTCATTATGGCTGCAACGGATGCGGTGAGGTCCCAGACTGGCTTCTACTGTAGCACATCGGGAACCTATTTCGCAGACCTGCAGAGCCTTTCGGAGCACTACAAATCCGATTTTCACCGTTATAACTTAAAGCGCAAGGTTGCGGGGCTGCCTCCCGTGACAAAGGATTGGTTTGAGGCCCGCAAGGCGCAACTTAGCAGCGCGGCCGCCGGCGCAACGGCAGCACCTGTCCAACGGACATGGATTGACCCTCTCACAAAGAAAAAATTTAACACTGAGAACACGTATTTAGCCTTTGTGCGGTCCAAGAAGTACGCTGAGCTTGTACGCAAGAGCGGGCAGCCGCCACCGGAGCCCATCATTCTGACCCGCCAAGCAGCAGCTGAGAACGGACAGCCGCAACAAGGTGGGTTGAAGCTTTCTCTCTAGGTAACTTGGTACGGACAGGTGTATACAAATTTGAGAGCCTTGCCTTCCCTCGGATGTACGTTTTCCTAACTGTCGAAAACCTCCCGGCGCAAACCTTTTGCCACTTACGCATGCGCCGCTTTTTATACCACTTGTGCCATTGGGCGTGCTTTCCGGCACGTTTGCACCACCCTTTGATTAGCAGATGCTACATCAGCAGGAGCAGCTAATGGCGCAGCGCCCGCACCATCCGCAAAAGTCGCTGCTCCGGGCTTCAAGGTGGTGGCGCCATCGGGGGGTTTGCCCGGGAAGAAGGCCGAGGTTAGTTGCCCGGGGGAAGCGGGGGGAAGGGCTGGAGCTCTTCTTGTTCATCCACATTATGGCAGTACAGCTGTACAGCAGCACGGCTCCTGTTTTACCAGGCTGGCGCCGCGCGGTCGCTTAACGTCAGCAATAATACGCCACCTGCCGAGTTGTACATCGATATTCCCGTATAGGTGATACTAGTCCTAGTCATAATGCCGTGCTTCTCCCGTTGTGTGGCGTCCTCCGCATCCAGTTGCTGATGCTGATGCTGGTGGTGATGGTGATGACGATGATGCCTTGCTGTTCCATGCAAGAACATCAACAAACTTCAGATTTTTAAATTTTCCCATTGGGGTCGTGATGGTCCCCATGTTGATGGGGGCCCTCGGCGGTCTTTGATGCCCCCCGCCACATGTTCTTGTTTTCTTCCGCACACACAGGCACGGCCCCCCGGCCCTCCTCCCCTCCCCTCCACCCCTGCTACCCTGCATGATTCCCCCCTCCGTCCTCCCACCCATCCCTCGCTTCCTCACCCTCACACGTTCCCCTTGCTTCCCTTACACGCTTTCTTGATCCGTGCATGTATCCACCCTTCCCTACCCACCCCCCCATCTCTCTCCTCCACCACCTCTGCCATATCCCGCTACAGGGCGCTGTCGACGCCGTCATGGCGGATGTGGCCGGGGCAGAGAGCGACGGCGAGGACGAGAGCGATGACGAGAGCGGCTGGGAGACCGCCTCCGATGAGGAGATGGCTGAGCTGGCGGATATGGCCACAGCTGGGGCAGGGGGAAAGAAGGGCACCCATATGGCGGTGAGAGCAGTGGGGGGTGGGCGGGAAAACTTCACACGGGGCGGGTAGGTACATACATACATACACAGCTACAAGTTTATACAAGGTCAGGCACTACTGGCAAAGCGTATTTGCAAAGGGATGACTGAATATATACAGGGCCCTTGAATATTTACTCGCCCTCCTAGGTGCCGTCCCTCGGGGTTGACTCCAGGGGCACTAGGTTGGGGAAAGGAGGGGAAGGGTGTGGGGGGAAAGTTCTTGTCGCGGTCCCGGTGGACTTTGAGTAGCAAAAAGGGGAGGGAGGGAGGGGAATGCGTTCTTTGCAACGGCGGTGGGAGCAGCAGCGGTTGGGAGCAGGGAAAGCCGCCTCCTCTTCAAGGAGGTGCGGCCGCCACCGCGCTGTGACCGTAGCCCCCCTCCTCGTGCACCATTATCACCACCACTGCCGCTGTCTCAGTGGCTGCGCTCTTCTTCCCGCAAATCTTCTTCCCCCCTCGTTCTATCCTCCCTATCCTATCACCCGACCCCACCCACCCCACCCCACCCGAACACACACACATAGCACACTCTTGTTGCATATCATGTTGCTCAGTTTATTCTGACACAACCGTCCGTCTGTCTTTCGTTTTGCCCCGTCATCGGGCTCACGACCTGCCTTGCTGTGTGCTGTGTAACTAATACTGCACTCTTCTTCGTTCATTTGCCTTGTTCGCATCACAGGAAGCTTCTAGACGACGAGGCGGCGGCGGCGGCGAGGAGGAGGAGTGGCCCGAATGGGACGTCTGTCGCAGCCTGTTCGACAACCACATGAGCGAGTCCTTCCAGGCCAACTTGGAGTACATGTTCAAGAAGTTTGGGTTCTACCTGCCCGACTCGCAGTACCTGGTAGACCCGGAGGGGCTGCTGAGATACCTGGTGAGCAGCGCAACCGTCCCCGCAACCGATTTCCTGCCTGTCTGTCTGTCTGTTGTTCGTCTGTATGTCCAATACGTGTGGCGGTAGCAGTATCCTCGATCCTGGAACCGGATTCAGGAGGAGGTTGATTCTGGAGATACAGATCTGCATGTAAGCAAGTCTTCTTCTAGGTGTTTCTTTGGGATGGGAGATCAGGAGATAATGAATCAGAATAATGAAGCAAGCAAATAACGCCAACGAGGCCGTCACAATACTCGTCGCAGCCTCTCCTCTGAGATGCGGCTCTAATGTCCCAAATGGTGGCGGGCGAGGCGGCACCTTGTGTGTTTGAAGAAGAACTCGTCAGCGCTTGCATGGGTCGCGGCAAAGGGTTGTTGCGGGTTTTGCGGGCCTCCTCTTGCTGCTGCTGCTGCGGCTGCTGCTGCCGTTGTTATTCCGCGGATAGGGGGACCCATTTGTGTTTTGCGTGGGCGTAACAGTTCCGGATTGGGACACGTAGCGTCCCTGCGTAGTGGGGCTCGATAACCCCGATATCGATAACCTCGACAAGACATCAACACGCGGGAAAGGGTAGCGATGGAGCTGCGGGGTAGGCACTGGGCGTGGGACAAAGGACTGCATGATCTTGAAGGCAAAAGTATATTTTCGCGTGTACTTCATTTAAAGGCAAAAGTAACGACGAATGATCTGTGTAGTTCCTCGCTGCTCTGACCCATCGGCTGCTGTGTCCTCTCCCTCATCTTTTCCTTCCCCTCGTGTTTCCCCTTCGCCATGTGCGCCACCGATGGACGGACGGACGCATGCATTTGGTGTATGTATGTAAATATGTGTGTATGTATGTGTGCGTTGATAGGGCGCCAAGCTGCAAGTGGGCGGTGTGCCGCTGTACGTCCGAGGCGATGACAACAATGCACGGCAGTTCCGGAACCTGCATGCCGTACAACGCCACATGGTAGACAGGTGTCAGTGCAAGATGGTGTACGACGACAATGAGGAGGAGTACGAAGAGTTTTACGACTATGACGTGGGCCAGGTACGTGTGAACTTCTATTTCATCAGTTTTGCGAACTGCACTGTTGCAGATACGGCAGGTAAGTTCGGGAGTAATGGCAGTGGCGGTCAGCATTTGCATATAATCTTCAACATTTGCATGTTCTTCAAATCCTGTTGCGCGGCGCCTTGTTCCGGCTTCCCGCCTGACACAGCAGGACGCCGACGGTGCCGCCGCGACCACCAGCGACAGTGCCGGAGCTGTAGTCCTCGCGGGTGCGGTCCCGGGCACCAGCGCCGTCGCGGTAGCGGGATACGAGCTGGTGGTTGGGGGCGGGGGTGAGGACGGTGAGGGCTTCAGTGGCGGCAAGGTTCTTGGCCATCGGGAGTTTGCCCGACTCTACCGACAACGGCACCGGCCAGAAGACGACCGCCGTTCCGTGTTGGTTAACACCGTGCTGGCACGGTATCGCGCGCTGGGCGCGCCAACCAGCACCGACAGCGTGCGAGATCGCAAGGCGAAGGAGGAAGCCACGGCTAGCCATCGGCATCAGCTGGCCAGTCAACTGAAGATGAGCATGATTAAGAACAACCTTAAGAAGCTGCCGAAGAACTGCGAGTATTGAAAAGCAGCGGAATGCGCTTTTGGTGTGGGCGGGTTTGCGGGAGGACTATTATGGAGGGCTGGGGAGGACGTGCTTTTGGTGGTGCAGTTGATGGTGCGGTCTTATTTGGGTTTCGGTTTTTTCGTGCGAAGATATTATCATAGTTGTAATGTCGGTTATGTGACGAGGCGTGGCTGGCGGACTCTTGTGTTGGATTTTTCATTCTGCTGGAAGCGGCTGACGGCTTGTTTGTTAACAGTATTGCGCGCCGACATGGTGAGTAGCGTATGTTAGGAGGGGAAAATGTTTTCTTCCGTGGTCATGTTAGCTGCAGGCTAATGCTGAGGGTGAGAGGGCAAGAGAGTTCCCTAGGGCGTTTGGTGGTGAGGGGGCGGAGATATGGGGTTCTATTGATGCCGGATGGGATTGAGGTGCAAGCATTGGGCACGATGGCAGGCTTTTGAATGCCCGGCGAGCTGGAGGCTCATCAGTTCCCCCGCGCTATACTGCAAGGTACGAGTCCCACACAGACGCTGGGTGCGTCCGTAAAAGCCGGAGGGCCCCATTGACGGTCGTGGTGAATGGCTTTGGTTTTCTATTAACGTCGTGTTTAAACATGATATGGAGTTTTGAAGCATCGGACCTCCGAGGGGAACCTAGGAACCCCTCCGCGCTTTTTTAACGCTGACACTTAGTAGTTGTGCCGAATTGCAGTACGGCAATGTACACGTCTGCGAAACCGTGTCAAGCCGTGTGTACAGGTATACAGAATGAGTGCGCCCTTAAAGCTCTTATAATAACATCTTACGTCACCACCCCAGCCAGAAGCGCCATTGATACCTCGGTCCTGGACTCCTGGTGCTTATTAGTGAACCTTTTCAGTTGTACGGGATATAAAAAGGAAACGATGGAACTTGGCAAAGTCCAATGGGATTAGATCCGTATCATAGTTAAGTAATCCTATTAAACTTTGCCAAGTTTAATAGAACCGAGAACAATTGTATCTTTGCCGTGGAGCTGCAATAAGTTGCTTGAAAGACCAACTGTCATACTTTCACGAGCATGCACGTTCCTAATTGAAATTGTGTTCCATATAGCGTGCTGTTAAGCAGGATGGGCCTGGACGGCGGAACGATTGTAACTCGCTCAGATGTTCTTCGTGGCCAATCGTGGCGCGTTGCACAAAGCGACAGGTCCAGATCTACGCGAGGTGGCAACGCGTCAAGAGTACCGACGGAAACAGCTGATGAAGCGCTGCGGAGGTAAGGTACCATTAGACTTTGTCGACGCGATACGGTCGTTGTACGTCACCTGCCGATGTTGCCTCTCCATAAGCGTAGCATAGGGTCCTTGCGGGCGAGGGGTATACCTTATGGCACTTCTTGACCCCTTCGAGCCCCAAGTTGTTTCAATTTGCTTGCGAGGGGAATTGGCCTCGTGTATTCACCTGTCAAACCTCACCTCTCATCCCCTCTGACCGCATCAGTTGCGACATGCATGATTGTAGCGTACATCGTACAGCTGCCTTTGTCATGGGTCTTAGTCACTCTGCAGATCCACGTCTCTTCCTGCTCTTCCGAACTCTTGAGGTTTACACCAAGTGGGACGGACCGATTCATGAACCAATCAAAGCTAACCTTCGCAACCTCCGAAGCCATGGTGCCGTTGTTAGGTTTTCTTGTGCTATTAGGACAGTAGTGGGGGAAAGCTGCTTAAGGATCTGGGCCCCGAGTTCTGGGACTGGGTCCTCGCTTTCAAGTATGTGTACCCTTCCCCCCCCAGCTAGCTGGAGGAGGCGTCCAACACCAGTCCAGTGGCCGTCCCAATTTCCCTTGTCTCGCTTTTGGAGCGTTGACGGCCTCCCCCAAAACTTACTCGATAAGGATGCATCTGACTGTATCACTGAATGCAGCAAAGCGGTACGCAACCACGGGCATAGGTACACCATTATCGCTCCGTGCAATAAGTATATGAGCCCCAAAATTAACGTCCAAGAGTTTTAGCTGCGCCTGGCAAGCATAAACGCCCAGCTTCCGCATGTTCCTGTCAGGGTGGAAGCAATACACTGATCCTCTCCCCAGATTAGTTTTTCCCAAGACCTCCAACTCTACTTCAGCCTCCCGTTCCTCAACCTAAGTTAGCGCGGTCCTTTTTTTAACTCTTCCCATCCTGTCCTGCTGCCGTTGCCCCGCTCCGCGTCTCGCTCTTTCAGATCCACGGCCTGGTCCACTTGTGCGCTTAGCTCCCAGCCACTGCAGGCCCCCATCGTGGCGTGCAGCCTGGGCCGGTTGTACAACAAGGATGCCGTACTGCGGTTCCTATTGGCCAAAAAGGGCCACATGACCTCACACGAAGCGCTGCTCGAGTACGCTAACCAGCTGCGAGTAGCAGCTGGTGGGCTCGATCACATCAATTCCCTCAAGGACGTCCTGGAAGTACACCCCGTCCCTGCCGTACCCGCCACACCACACCAAGATAGCACCACCGGCACAGGGCTGCAGCCACAATCCTCCTCCTCGTCTGCACCAGCAGCAGCCGCAGAAAGGGCGACAAGTACAGCAACAGGGCTAGGAATAGCGGCGGCTGCAACAGGCGAGGCACCTGCAACGTCGTCCTCCGTTGGCGCCGCCACCTCCTTCGTGTGTCCCATCACACTTCTGCCTTGTGACCGGCACCCATGCTCCGCATTAAGGCCCTGTGGCCACGTCATCAGCGAACGAGCGTTGGCCAACATCCGCCGGGGCGGCAGTAGTGGTAGTGGCGATGGCGATGCCAGCTGTCCGGTTTGCGGTGCGGCGTTCACCTCCACATTACCCATCCATGGCTCGTCCGAGCAGGTGCAGGCCCTACGGGAGCAGCTGCGAACTGCTGCTGCCGCAGCCGCCGCAGCCAAGGCACAGGCCAAGGCGGGCAAGAAGCGGAAAGCGCCAGATGCACCCGCAACGGAGCCAGCGAACGGGCCCCATAAACAGCCGTAGCAGCCCGTCCACAGGCAAGAGTGATCAGTAACGCACGCCCCTTTTTCACCCTGGCAATGTCGGGCCATACACGGGGATACACCGGTCTAGGCGATAGCAAGCTTGTAAGTTCCCTCACCGCCGCGCCAGTGCTGAATCCTCTTCCTTGTGGCGATCTCTCTTACCCGCGCGCCATTTCCGCTGCAGTGGAGCCGCTACTCTTAATGCGGAGGCGGGTGAGAAGGAGGGTGTCTTGCTCCTTTAACAATCAAGACGAGGAGGCGGATGGTTCTGCCATCGCATCTCCAGCACGAATCCACCACCACCAATCCTTAACCGCAACATCAGCCAACGCAGTAGCAGCTCAGCTATTGTGACTCACATAGTTGTCGGTCCCATCCCGCTTTTCATATGCGCATATGGCACCTACTTGGCGCTCAAAGAGCCACCTAACGCAGAGCTACCTCACCTAAGCTTTCTGCCTAAGCAGCTAGTACATCTTGACCGATAGTGTATATCCTCCGTCCTCTGCCCATATGTCAGCGACGAGACTTAACTATCGACTGCAAACTAACAGCACGCCCCCTGCTGCCCACCCCTGCCACAGCCATCGACCTGCCACTACCGCCGGCAACTCCACCTACACAGCTCCAGTTTCAGGCGGGGTGCCCTTGAGTGCGCACCACATTGCACACTTCTGTCCTCAGATCTCAGCTGGGACAACAATGCCTCTTGAAGGTTTGGTATCGTGCGGTTGAGAGTGTGGGGGACACTCGGCGCCGGTTCTGCTCTAGCTACTATGGGCCCCCACAACAAGGCATTCTATCATTATTATTTTGCGTCGGCCCTCCACCAAGATTCCCAAACGAGCTGCGTCCAATACCCAATCTGGTATAATCATTCGGAGGCGCTGATGAGCAGCTGTTGACAAATGGCGCCCCGGCGTCGCCCTCCATGTGTTTTCGCATCACCATAGTGCCATGCAGTTAGCTGTATAGCCTTGGTGGCATCCTGGCCACTTCCGAGCTCCTTTGAAGTCGTGTTGTGTGTACAGCAGGAGCTCCTGCCCTCATGTGCCGCCTCTGACAAGCCAATACGGCATAATCTGCTTTCCGGCCTTGTACGACTCGATCTGAAAACGGCGATGGGAGAGTTTGTATAGGAGGGAAATGGAGGTCGGAATTAGGAAGGCTTATGTGAATTGGATCAAACATTAGAACTTGGATAAAATGGGGAACAACATGGCAGTTTGTTTGGTTGCAAGGATGTCGTAGGTAAAATGGTCAGGCTGCAACAGACGTAACGAACACGGAGGGTAGCACGCCTGATAACATTTGTATGGTAAGGTATCTGGCTGTGGCGAATAGGCCGTGGTTAATAGGCCGTGCTGTTCGGCGCAGGGTTTATGCGCATGGGCGGCAGTGGATACGTTGTGGCAGAATGTCCCCTGGCAGCCTGAAGATAAAGCACACGTGCATGCTGCATTTTCGGGGGCAGGGGACATGACGCGCAGCCGTCTGATCTGTCTCAACCTGATAGCTGCGGCCCCGCAGAACTCGCCTGCACGACTCTCATTTCCTCGGGACTGGCGATTGCATTGCCTGGTTGCGCGTAGATGCACTGGAAGTGCTGTTCACCGTCCGGCGTGTCTGATGTATCCATAGATTCCACATCAGGCTGCAAGACAGATACGCCCACGGCTGCTAGCGGTGTCGGCGGAAACAGCGTCCGAACGGGCGTAGGGAAAATTGGTGTGTTAGGGGCGACATTGCTTGGCGGAAGAGCCGAAAGGGAGGCGCCCGGAAGGGCTCCCGTAGGTTGCTGCGGACCTGTGGGCGCGCTGACCACAGCACCTGGTACCCGGTTTTGTTTCAAAGCCTGGTAGTCGCGCCACCTCAGCTCCTCCACGCTGGTGCCTGGCTCGGGATGTTTCAGGACATCAGCGCTTGGTGGGCTTGCTGTCACAGCTACAGCTTGCGTCGTTGATTCGAGGGGTCTGCTGTTCGCCGGTGCAGAGTCCGAGGCCTTTTCAGCTGCCGCTAAGTTAATTCCTTTTACAATATGATTCACCCAACTTGGAGGCGCTTGTCCTGGCTGGAGGCCTCTAAGGGCGCGCAAACTCTCAAAACGATGCTCCTCGGGGGACAGAGGACCTCGGCTTGTAAGGAGTGGATCAGCGCCGACATGCCGGAGAACGTATTCGGTAGACGCTGGTTCTGGGGCGACATTCTGAGCTCCATGTTGCGAGATGGTCCCAGTAAGATGGGCGGGAAGTCCTCCATTGCCGACTGGGTTGGTTCCCACGATATTCCCACCGGGCTGCCACTGCGTGCTAGTTTGTGCTGTTGGTTGCATCCTGCTGAAAACTATTTCCGCTGCATCCAAAGGGCATTTCCTCCGTAAGCCCTAAACTAAATCAAAATTCAAGTTTCGAAGTGTCCTATTAACCCGATAACGACGTAATTGTGATGAGAACATAGCTGCCGCATATCAGAACAGTCAATATGTGTAAGATAGTCACCTGGACCTAGACGCTAGGCCCCGAAAAATGTCCGTTTAGGAAGAGCAAAACCGGGAAGGGAATCTAATACTTGGACCAACGCTAAGGTCAAGCACATTTCTAACATCTGAGTATCATATATGTTTAGCTGGGAACGCCAAATAAGTCGCTTGATTCAATGGAAAATCGCGCTCCGACGACACGCTCGCTCGTCCAACATTTTGCGCATGTACCACCATTCAGGCAAAATCGCCAATAGCACTACAACGCAATCATGAAATCGTCTTCTACTAATCATCAATTTTTAATCACGTGCATGATTATCACGCACCATCAGCCTCTTCCGGCACTTCCCCCTTCCCACACTTGCCTCCAGCATCATCGGCCCACAGCCCTCACTCCCCATTAGCCACAACGCCACGCCTCGTGCGAACCCAAACACACCACCCCAGCACCTCACCCATCTGCACAATGTATTACTAGCTCTCCTCCGCCCTCGCCGCATTTTACCCCTGTCGCCGCCGCTCCGCCTCGTTCTGCCAAAGCAACTCCAACTCGGCTAGCGCTAGCTGCAGTCGTGCCGCATCATCAGCCGACGAAAAACGCCCTATTGACGCCACGCCGCCACGATCCCGAGCACCCACACCATTTCCCCCCTCCGCAACCTTTCCCCCCTCCACCTCACTAGCCGCCACAGCCTCCTCATGCTGCACCAGCGCCCGCCGCGCCGCCGCGGTAAGGCCCTCCAGCCACGCCTCCGACGGCGGCGCCAGTCGCATACCGGCAAAGCCCGTCGCGACGCGCATTAGCTCCTGTCCTGAGAACTCCCCCCAGCGCCGCCCACACGCCTCCGCCAGCACCCCAAGCTCTCGCCGACTCGCCTCCACAAACTTCTTCCGGTGCTTTACGAAGCTACAGGCCCAAGCCACCGCCGCCAAGCTACTCGCGCGCACTGCAGCGTCTTCGGCTGCCGCAGCCGCCGCCGCAGCCACCGCCGCGTCCGACCCCACTGACCCATGGGTCGCGATGCCGCCAGCTTCCGTGGACGCGGACGTGGGGGATGCCACCGCCGCCGCTGCCGTCGTCATCTCCTCCACGAAGCGGCCGAGGATATGCTGCGTGTACGACCGATCCAGGGGGGCGTACCGCAGCTCCCGTACGGTAGTGGCGAGAAGATCCTGGGGAGATGGGGTAAAGGCCAGGGACGGACGGGGAAGGTACGTACGTCAGCTAGTTAGTTGGCAGAGAGGCGCAACGTCCCGAGGGGGCAACGGAGGTGAAACATACGAGAAAATTCCACCTAGGGTGGAAATCCATGTGTGGTGGTGTGTCGTGGGAAAGTGTCAACTAGTTGGTGCATATATCCCCCCGGGGGCCCTGCAAATAAAACTGCTGCTTTCCTCATGCCGCCAACCCGTATAACTTCCGTACAGCCGTACCGCGTAATCGTCGGCGGCGCTGAGTTCCAGGCCCCGTCGGTGGCCTCGGCCGCCGCCGCCGCCGCCGCCGCTGCTGCTGCTGCTGTTGTTGTTGCCGAAGGCAGTAGCTCCGAAGCTCTGAGTGGGGGCCCGAGGAGGATGGACGCGGGGAACCAGAGGTGGTTGTGGTTGTGGTGGTTGTGATGTTAGTGATGGATGTGGTAGTGGTGGTAGTGGTGGTAATGGGGTGTGTATGTACACGTACCTCCTCCCCCTCCTCGCCGTCAGTCTCCTCCTCCCACGTCGACGAACCCGACGACACCAGGAACCGCTCCGCCGCATCACTGCCGTACGCATTATCGTACGCGTCGCCTCGGCCGCCGCTGCTGGCGGCGCGCACCACCTCCGCCACCGCCAAGGGATCTAGCCCCAGCAGGGGACACAGGTTTCGGAGCAACGCGGACGTGGAGGTGGCTGTGAGGGCGTAGACGGGCAGCTCTCTCTTACGCGCCGCGTTCCGGACCTGAAAGCAACACAGCGAGGAGTAGGATTGCACGGGCGGCGGCGGCGAAGAGTTTCGAAAAGAAAAAAATGCAAATGTAAGCACGTCCGGAGCTGGGGACAGAGCGGTGGCTAAAAAAAAAGCGCCTGTACGGCAGGAGGCATTAGCAGACAACGGTGGTAACCCTTAGAGAAGGTTCGCGGGAAATGTACGGCCCCAACGGGAGCCTTAAGCTCAAGTACAAATATGTTGGTGTGTATGTATGTATGTATGTTACACCTGGGGCATGTTGCATTGCTCTCTCCATCCTAGTGCACATCATCAGAAGGCACCGAGCGGCTTAACCCATAGGGCCTATAGAACAAAAGGCTCACACAGCCATCATCACCAACCGCCAACTGCCAACCGTCATACTCGCCCCGCAACCGTTCGCACCTTGGGGCTATTTCGCAGCTTGCTCTTGGTGCCAATCACCAAATCGGCCATGTCCAAATCAGGCACTAGCTCAATCAGGCTCTGCGACGCGGCAATCCCGCCGCCGCCGCCGCCAGTACTGCCAGTGCTACTGCCGCCGCCGGCGCTACTGCCACCTGCCGCCGCGATCGCCGCTTCGTAAGCCTCACGACTGAGCAATCCAAGTACGGCCCGTACTCGTGTAGCGGCATCGTCGTCCATCACGAGGTGTGCGCGAAGCCGAGGCAGCAGCTGCGGCGGCGGCGGCGGCGGCGGCCCCGCCGCCGCCGCCCTTGCACCCCCGACTACTACTCCATCATCATCCTCCGCAGCGCAACCACCGGTGTTGCGCCCAACCTTGCTGCTGCTACTGCTACTGCCCATGTTACCATTGGCGGTTATGCTGGCAGCGACGGCGGCGGTGTTTTTCGCATTCGTACGGAACGCCGCAGAGGGCACTGCCGCGGCGGCGTCGGCGGAGCCCCCTGACAAGGAAGTGGAGGAGGAGGAGGAAGTCGAAGAGGAGGAGGAAGTCGAAGAGGAGGAGGAGGGGTATGAAGGACGAGATTCCGGATCCCGTTGCGGCTCAGACCTGCCTGGGGTAGCGGCGCCAGGGACAGGACCCACGAAGGCTCTAGGCCTGGGCACTTTGGAGAGGGACCCCGACCCCGACAATGACGACGGGGAAGGGGAAGGGGAGGAGGAGGAGGAGGGGGAAGTGGAGGAGGAGGGGGAGGAGGGTTTTTTGACCACGGGCCACAGCAGGGGCTCCCCTTCGTTGCCCCCCTCATCCGCCCACCACTCCGACGTGGTGGTGGTGCCGCTGCTGTCAGTACGGCGGACTGGATAAGGGGGGCCGGGAAAGGGTGGCGGCGGGGGGTGGGGAAGGTGAATGAGGCGGGGTGGGAGAGGTGTTTGTGTGGGCGGGGCGGGGTGGGGGGTGGGGGGGAAGAATGGTGGACGTGAGTGAGGAGGGCGGCCCGGCCCCCCGGCAACGAGTGAGGAGGGGTGCAGGGAGGGAGGGAAAAACACAGACAGGTACACAGACGGCAGCACACGATGACATGCAACCGCAAGGACAAACCTGGGCACGCTAGCACATGCCCCGCCGCCGCCGCATGTACGGTCCCCCGTCATGCAAGCACCCCACCTAAACGGGGTTTCCGCCCCGCATCCCCCGCCCCAAGAAAGCCCTCCCCGGTCCTCTCCTCCCCTCCCCCCTCCCCCCTCCCCCCTCCCCCCAACAACAACAACCTCACCCGTTCCCATGTACTGAGCCCGAGTGACATGACCCGCACTGTCCAGGAGGCGAACTTGACCGGGAGCCTCACCACCTGGGGTGGGGGGGGAAGGGTATTTGGGGGGGGAAAAAGGGAGATGGGAAAAAACACACACGTGCACAACTGTCGCAGGACGCGGCGCTAAGAGGCGGGAAAGAGAGCGCGCTAAGGGCGACCTCGGGAGGGCCCATGCGGCCCAGGTAAAGCTGTAAGACCCCGCCCCAGGGAGAAAGGGTGGCTGCAGGGTGACAAAGAAGAAAGGAAAAAAGCCGCTCGGTCTCGGACTCCAGGGGAGAGGGGGGAGGGTCGAAGGGAAAGAACCCCCCCCCCACACACTCGAACCAAAACCCTTTCCGGAAACACTTGCCTCAATGATTTGTTCACCACGTGCGCAACACTGATAGGTTGCGGAGGTGTGATATAATTGGTTGGTAGTTAGGTACGTAGGTACGTAGGTACGTAGGTAGGTAAGTGGTTAGGTAGGTAGGAAGGTAGGTAGGTAGGTAGGTGGTTACGTAGGTGGTTAGGTAGGTGGTTAGGTCCTCCCCCGGCCCCCAACACACGCACTCCACCCACCCGCCAGAATCGCATCCACCGCCCCCCCCACGTCAAGGTGCACCCGCCACCTGCCCCGCTCCTCCAGCTCCACAGCCACGTCGAAGGTGGGGGGGGCGGCTCGCTCGAGGATGCTCTTCTGCACCCCCCGCCGCCTGGCCTCCTCATCGCCCAGGGTGACGGACTGAATACCGCCCACCTAGGCGGGAAGAGGGAGAGTGTGTACGTGTGTCAATCTGTCTGTCTGTCAGTCAGTCAGTCTGGTAATTCCATCCATGGTCACCCGGCTTAAACGGAAATGCAGAAACTTGTAAACCTTGTATGTATGTATGTATGTATGTATGTATATGTGTACGACGGGTTTTATACGACATCCTCGTTACCCGCCGCCCCGCCCCTCCTCCCACCATTCGGCACTAAAACCCCGTGCCCCCCCCCTTCCCCCCCTACCAGATCTGCCAGGGAGGGGTTCTTAATGACGTTCTCCAGTCGTCCCCCGTGAGCGGTGCCCACCAGCTGCACCCCCCGCTGGGCTATGGTACGAGCTGCAGTACATTCAGCCAGGGTGCTGATCTCATCAATGACAATCACCTGTACGACAAAGAGGGATGGCGCAGCGATACGGAATTATGACATGACATAATAAAGTAAACAGCTGTTTGTGTGTCTGTGTGTTCGTGTGTTTGTGTCTGTGTGTTCGTGTGTTTGTGTCTGTGTGTTCGTGTGTTTGTGTGTCTGTGTGTGAGTGGTGGGTTGAGTGTATGATGTGTGAAACAGGGGGGTATATTGTCACCCGTAGCCGCTACCCAGCAAAACCCTGCCTTCCCCGGTATTTCCGGGCACCCTCATCCAGTCACCCTAGTCAACTTCTCAGTGGATCGCTCAGGTTCCGCACCCACCACCAGCATCCAACGGAATCTGCCGGGTCGACAGCGGCGCAACTCCATTCCTGGTCGGCTCGCAGGTTAACTTTATCCCAGGTAACCACCGTCCATTAACTAGGGGCACTTTACCCTCCACCATTGGAAGGTTTCCGACCCTGACAGGTCTTGATCCCGGGATCTCCCGGGGGCATTGGTGCGTGCCTTACCAGCAGTGCCTGACCTAGCATGTATGTATGTATGTAGGTAGGTTCGGGCCTGGAAGACTCCGCACTGTGGAGGTGACATCGGATTCAGAGTCAGGATCGTTAATTTCAACTATCAACCACCAACCAACCGCCAACCGTTTCATGCCCAGTCCAGCCCGCCTAGCCCTAACCGACCTACCTGCGGCATGTGGTTCTCAACCGCCTCCACCATCACGTCGTGCTGTGCCTCGGGGCGGGGGACCTGAATGAGAGTTTGGCGGGGGAAGGGGCGGCCAGGGATGGTGATGGTGGGGAATAGTGAAGAAAGAGCTTTCTAGGGTTGTTGCTGCGGCCGGTACTCAACCAGCAGCCGTGCCGGTGGCATTACTCCCTATCCCATCCATTGCCCCTCCCGTCCCCTCCCGTCTAACGCCTTTACCACCCCCCCACATAAGTTCCCCTCTACCTCCCCCCTTCCCTATCCCCCCCCTCTACCTCCCCCCTTCCCTATCCCCCCCCTCTACCTTCCCCCCTTCCCTATCCCCCTCCCCCAAACCCCCACCTGCATACGCCTGGCGCTCCCAATGCTCGGGTGTGGCACGTCCCCATCCCCTCCAATCTCATTCGACGTGTCCACCACCACCACACGCCGCCGGGACTCGTCAGCCGCGATACGACACACCTCCCGAAGTGCCGTCGTCTTACCGACCCCTGGGTCAGTCGTATGTCAGTCAATGAGGTGCCATTTGGGTGTCAGTTGGTGTCAGTTGGGTGACGGTTGAGTGACAGTTGGGCTAGGACTCAGCGGAGTCCAGCGCGGGACGGGTCAGGATTCGGGAAAAAAAGCTGCAACCTTAAAAGTTGTTGTCAGTTGTCAGTTGGCAACAAAACGCAACAGAAGAACTCAGGATAGCCGGAAGTGCCGTACCGTTACCAGTCCTGCGCTCTAGCCGCCAATCGTCGTCGCTGTCCGCCACGGGCGCCAGGCAAACACATCCAACATTCCGCAGAGAAGGCCTCCTCCGCACATTTCCAAGTCAAATCTCAAACCCACTAACGTAACCCCTCCTCCCCTCCATCCCCCCGGACACATTTTCCCCCAACCCCCACACACTCACCGGGTCTCCCCAGCAACAGTATACTTCGCCCCGCAAGTACGAGATCCCGTACAAGCTCCGCGGCACCTGGTACGGCACGTCCTACTCGGCACGTAAGGCCCACCACGCGGCCTGCCCGGTTCCGGATGCAGGAGATGCGATGCAGGGTGGAGTCGATACCGCTTCGGTTGTCGCCATCAAACCGACCCACCTTCAGCATTAAACAACGGAAAACACACACACATCAAACCGGCAACAATGCAACCACACACTCCCCACATTCCACAGTAAGAATCGCGGGATGGGGGAGCCACACCACCAGAGAAAGCACCGGTGAAGGCGGATGTGGGACAGACGAACCCCGGCAGGCACGAGGTCAACGATGGTGGGAAATGATTTGACAACGACAACAGCTCAAGACCACCCAGAGCCGCCGCTGAAAGTCTGTCCACAGAGCCCACGGAATGTCGTACTGTGGTAGTTGTACCACAACGAATAACGGTCGAAGAACCCTCCCCTGCAAGAACCTGTAATCTCTGCTGCTCGTGCGTCGCGGGCTGCAGAAGTCAGCCTTCCACCCTTTCAACCCCCTCAATATTCCCCCGACTTGCATGCGCACAGACACACACAAACATACATACGTACACACACACACGCAGGCGCACAAACACTTTCTTCACCATTTCCACCGCACCTGCTTCACCGCCTGCTCCAGATCCTCTGCCGTCATGGCTCTGTCACTAAGCAACACATCTCCCCCCGGGAAGCGAGCTGAGGGGGGCCGGCCCAGATCCATGACCACCTCCACTAGCTGGGGGAGGTGTGACAGGGAGGGCGGTAGCGGAAGAAAGGGGGAAGAGGGGGAGGGGGAAAGGAATGTCGGTGGCTTGGATAGGGGAGAGGGAGGGCGGGTGGCAGGCGGACTAGGAAGGCGCCGGCGAGGGAGTTAAGGTGGTGGCTTAGGAAGAGCCCTTCTTTCATTTAGCGTTAGTGCGTTCCGACAAGGATGCACAAGCCATTTTTTATTTTTCAAGTAAAAGTGAACGAGCCTTATGGGATCGATAAAATTCCTCAGCGTACCGTTTCCACATCTGGGTGATTCTCCAGCACTGCTCGCACAGTGGGTGGCAGCAATCGCAGCAGCAGCTGCAGCTCCGCGTCTATGTGAGCAGCTCCAGAACTCCGCTTCAGGGCGTGAGAATCGTCCTTGGATACTTCCACGGCTCTAGAAGTGGTTGTCGTTGTGCTGCTTGTTGAAGTTCCATGGACAGCACATGGAGCTCGGCAGACCATACGGGTCTGCACCTTTCGCGGTAGACAAGCTAAAGGTTGAACCAGATGCTGAAAGACCAGAGCCTCACGATGGTTGACATGTAGCCGTGGCATGCTTCTGGAGCACTAAAAGTTGCGATGGCGTTAGACGCTAGGCTTAAAATAACAGCTCCCAAGCGTAATAATCAATCAAAAGCTTAAATAACTCCTGGCTTGTCTTTGATGACCTAATGAGCGACAGGAACGTGTCATGTAAGATGGGATAGTGCCACATCGCACCTGAGTCACCTGATGAAACTATCGATGAGGCTTAATCATGTCATCGACATGTGTTTGTGTGAGCTAAAGCGACCAGTAACACTCCATTCCAGCAGGTGATGAGAATGGCCTTCACCGCGAACGGGCGCGAAGCACATCAGGCCCATGCTGCACCCGGTACCATTAGTTAAAGCATAACATCACACAATAATATTTTGCAGGCCTAATTCCTGCTTGCATAAGCCAGCTATGGGGGACATAGCAGCTCCATGGCTTAGCATATCAGCCAGTGCTTTAGCTCTCGAGGAAGGACAATCGACATATCTTCCCGAAGCAGGTGGCCCAGAGACCACTGCTCAGATTTGGTAAAGTCCGAATCCATAAGAATCAGCTGATTCTTATGGGAAGCTGCAGCTTCCCACTGTCGCCTCGTTGGTCGTTGCTGGACAACAGTGTCAACCGCTGACAATCACATGCTTTGATGATCGTATCACAAAGTGCCCCCACGGCTTTCTAATTATCTCGTCGTGTATTGGGCAACCTTGCTAAATGCTGCTAGACGCTTCTGTGTCACTTTACTGACAATTAACGCAGGTGTAACGTTACCAAGACGCAAGAGTCATATTACGATTTCAATAGATGCGCACATGCCACTTTTAAAGTTGCATGGAATTTCTCAACCTGGAAAACGGTCGTGTCCTGACACTTAAGTTGGGAGGTTTGACGACCTTGGGCAGAGGCCCGGACAGTGGTATCTCCTCTCTCTCAGTCAGTCGGAACCACTGTACAATAATCTACGACTCAGAAATTCCCGATGCCAAAAGTATCACCAGCAGAGACGAGGATGCGCCCCATGAAACACTTGGACAAGCGCACAATGCCGTTCATGTCCGGCTGACGGTAATCCACCCCTCAGGCGCAGCTGTCATACGCGGACCATATTCTCGTCGACTTGGCTTAGAACCCCTTTCGTTCCTGCCGGCAGAGTCCACGTGCCAGGTGGGCAATAAACTCAGATTCCTAGTTCCTTCCGCCCTTGGCCTTGGCCAAAGTAAAACACTTCATGTTATCATGACAATTTTCCATTCTCTGCCTTTCCATCCCAGTCAACGGCCCTGGAAAGTCCGAAAAGCAGCGGAGTGCTCCGAAAACCAGGTTTCCTCGTTTTACCGTGTTACCTTCATCCTGCCTCGCTGCGCTTACTCGATGTGTTGGAACGGGGTACCGGCTACATCTGACGTAATCAAAATTGTTCGTGTCATTGTTTTCATGTATATCTCGTTGCTGTCCGCAGCTTTATCCCGGTGACAGGATCTACCTGGAACGGCGAGATGCGCGCCTCGTCAGTGGCTTAGAACTGCGTGCGGCGGCCGGTGGCTACAGCGGTTGCACCGCCGCCACCGCCGCCACCGCCGCCGCCGCAGCAAGGGCCGCCGGAGCAGCGTCAGCCGCCGACCTCGCATCCGCCGCAGCTGACACTACGCCAGCACACGTCGCCGCATATCACATATCCCATGACCCATGGGTCGGCGCACCACCATGCACGGCCCACGTACCTCTTCCCCCTGGGCTGCCGCAACCCGCAGCAGCTACCCAAGCAGAAGCAACCCACGGGTCGGTCGCGGCGGCGGCGGCAAATCCCGTGGATGACCACAGCGGCTCCTTCAGTGCGCAGCAGGGAAAAGCTGTAGCTGTAGTCTCGCCGGGGAAGTGGCCGCCGTCGCGTACGAGAAGCGCCTCGGCGCCTCCGCTGCCGTCGCCGTCGTCGACGAGGGCCGCGGCGGAAGGTATCACCCAAGACGGCGGCGCCGGCGGCCCAGCAACGGAGCCGACGGCTGTAGCAAAAGCTGCAAACGCTGAGGTCTCCGCCGTCACCACCTCACCAGCAGTAGCAGCGGTCGACGCGCTACTGCGAGCCCGCGGCTCCTCCGTCGAGGCGCCGGTGGCGAGGGGGCCGTCCGGATTGCCGCAGCCAAGACGTGTGCTGCCGTCATCATTCCGTCGGCACCAGCAGCAGCATGCACAGGCAGTCGTACGCACAGGCGGCGCCGCTTCGGCTGTTGCTGCTGCCGCTACCGAGTTTGCTGCAATAGCAACCGATCCTGGAGTTTCAGGTAGTGCAGGGATGGGTAGTTTAGGCAGGACCGGCGGCGGCAGATGCGGGCGGGAGGGGACAAGCCCAGCCGCGAAGCGACAGCGGCGCCTTCTGTCGCCGCCGCCGCTGCCGCTGGCGACACTGGCGGCTGCACCTCAGTCGGCGGGGTCAGATTGTCCAGCAAACGTCACCAGTGTTGCCGTCGCCAGTACGGCGACGCTAGCGGCTGTCGCCGGTGACGTACTCGCGGCTGCTGCTGCCGCACCGACCTCACGATCATCACAACCGGCACTTTCGGTGCTGCACCTGCGACAGCCGTCATCGTCACCAGTGCCATTGTCAGCATTGGCGGCGGAACAGGCGGCGACGGCGGCCGCCGTGAAAATTTATGATGATAAAACCGGATCAGACTCCGAAGGGGGACGTTCATGTCGCCGCCAGCTGGCTCGACTACACTCGTCGGAGCCACCCTCCACACCGCCGGTCGGAAAGACGCCTAATCGCCTGATCGCATTGGAAGGGCGTGCCGCCGGTGGCGGCGGCGGCGGCGGCGACGGCGGCAGTCGTAGTGGCGCCGCTGCCGTTCCGCCGCCGGTGCAGCCAGTAACCGTGGTTTCGGGGCGGATGACACCATCACCGGTGGCGGCTGTTTCCAAGGTGGACTTGTTGCGCGCACCTCCGGTCGGTGATGTCTCGCAGATGCAGACGTTGACGCCAGTGGTTTCGGCGCCAGAGGTTTCGGAGCGGCTGATAATACCCGAGGGCACGGTCGCAGCGGTTTCGGAGCGGCTGATCACGCCTGAGGAGGACACAGAGCGACTTGTGATGCCGGCGCCGGGAGTTCTTCTTGAGGCAGCGGCGATTGTTGTGGAGAGCCGAAGTGACGGCGCTGACAGGGTCTCTGCCGTACTTGCGCAATCAGCTGCTCCGAAAGCAACGCCGCCGCGGCAGCCGCCGCTACCGCCCGCCTTACCGTCGAGGCGTGGTACTGCCACTGCCACTGCCACTGGCGCTGGCGGTAGCCCTGCTACTGCTGCGCTGTCCTCAAAGCATGATACCGGCAAGATTGGCGCCGTTGACGGTGGCGGATCGGTTGGTGGTGGCGGCGGGAGATCACGAGAAGTCGGCGGTGGCGGCGGCGGCAGTGACAAAATCTTCAGCGGCTGTCGCTTCGTGTTTTGGGCGAGATCTCAATCGCGCGACCTGCTGGCCCAGGTGCGGTCGTTCGTTCCTTCGTTCGCTTGTAAGGAGTTGGATGCTTTTGGAAGGGCTGGGAAGCTTTGGCGTTTGATGGCTACGGCGGTTGGCGGTTGCGACGGTTGGGAGTCGTGGAAGTCCGACAGTTCAGCCATACCTTCGCCAAGTGTATCTCTCCCGGATGATTCGGATTGTTCTTCGTCTTTAAAAATCCAGCGTCCTCAAGTACGACTTAAGTACGGCATACACCAATAATCACACAAACTCTTCTGATGAAGAAAATCATTGTACAAACAACTGCTGCGCAGGTGAAGCAGCAGGGTGGCCAGGAGCAGTACAGCCTGGGCCCTCGTACGACACACGTGGTGGCCAGGTGGGTACGGCAGGGTATGTCTTGGTGGAGGGTGGTGTTAAGGGGTGTTTCCACTTAGGATGGACGTCATGGGTTGGGGCTTTTCAATTCGTGGCATGTGGAAACACCCGATGGATTAGTTGCCGATTGACTCGGATTTTGAATTGTCTTTTCAGCCGCGACGTTAATCCCAAAGTGGAAATACTCCCTTTGGGTGGTGCGGGGCCGCGCGGTCACATACTATCCATGGCGCCTCAACAGCGACAAGTCGTACACACCTATGTGCCGTACATCCCGCCGTGTGCATATGGCATGTGGCGACGTATATTGCAGTATTAACAGTATTAACAGTCGTACTCAAAACACACACGCCAGTGTATCGAACATGCACACCCACATGCTGTTTGTGGCCTCTGGATGCGTTCCACACGGTTGTTTTCCGTATGTACGACAGGTACGACACGTCAGCGGAAGAGGCCTCTCGACTGCTGCGCAGCTCGGACCTGCAGTACGGCAACACAGCTGCTGCCGCCGCCGCCGCCGCGTCGACGACGTCGCCATCCCCGTTCTTGCCTGTCGGGGTGCTATTCGTCACACCGGAGTATCTGCGAGATTGCCTGGCTAAGGTACGAACTGCGAGATTGCCTGACTAAGGTACGAAGAGCCGTATCCTCCTAACTAATCATGGATCGGGATTGCTATGGTTCCGTTTAGTCTCAAGGGCAAAAGAGTCTCAAGGGCCAAAGAAACGTTGTTCGACAAGGGAAGGCTGAGAGCATGCAAGAGTTGAGAGCTGGGATGCTTTGAAAGCAGCTTCTTTTTCAAATCCAGATTTGTTTCTCGGGGCTGTCGTTGTAACGTTAATGTGCATAAATCTGAGAACATGCCAAAAGAATATCTTTTTTATAAAGAACATGAAGTGAAGGCGCCACGTGTTATTGTACGACGGACGAGAGTTCTGATGATCTGCAAACTGCCCGATGGACCCGCGGCGTTAGTGTTGTCGGCGGGATCCCGACCCCGCCGCGGGGCACCTCATCCGCCTGGCGACAAGCCCGCAACCGCCGCAATCTCTGCCGCCGCCGCCGCTGCCGTCGCCGCCGCCAGAGCTGCCCCCTCAGCAAGCTCTACCACCAGCACCAGCATCGCCCTCGGCAGCAGCGGCGGTGATGGCGACCCGCTGCAATCCTGAGTCGCCGCAGCGGCCGCCTCAAGCAACCCCTGCCCCACCTGCATCCCCACAGCCGCAACTGCGATTGCAGGTACGGCAGGACGCGCAGCGTAGGCAACGCCAACAACAGCAGCAACAGCAGCAGCACCTAGATGCGGCCCGCAGCGACCCGACGGAAAGCCCAGGCGCCGCCGCCGCTGATGCCACCTTCGCGGGAATGGGTGTGGGGATTGCCTCTGAGGCAGGAGGGATGGCAGAGGGTGAGGGGGCTCGTGGTAACGCTGCTATTCCTGCTGTTGCTGCTACTGCTGGTGGTGGCGGCAGTGGTGACGCTGTTGAGGTCCGGCAGGAGCGGATTTTACCAAGTCCGGCCGATATCTGTGCAAGACCCGAGGACTGGGGCGTGGAGGGCAGGTGGGTCAGTGGGAGAGGTAGTGTGGGTCGGTAGGTCAGTGGGAGAGGTAGTGTGGGTCGGTGGGTCAGTGGGAGAGATAGTGTGGGTCGGTAGGTCAGTGGGAGAGGTAGTGTGGGTCGGTGGGTCAGTGGGAGAAGTGGTGTGGGTCGGTGGGTCAGTGGGAGAGGTAGTGTGGGTCGGTGGGTCAGTGGGAGAGGTAGTGTGGGTCGGTGGGTCAGCGAGAGATGGGAAACCCCAACATCACCGACATTTGAGCAGCGGCTGCCGAAAGATTATTTCTTCACTCGGACAGATATAATTTGCCAATCGCCGCATGCCGCGTGTTATCCGTCCGCAGATGGATTGAGCCGTGGGACCCGCAGGCGGCGTCTCGTACCTGCATGCTACTGCTTCGTCATTGGGCCAAGTAAGGGAGTCGATCAGCTCGGTGCCGCGGATCCAGGGATGGGGGTTTCAGTTGGCAGTCCACAGCAATTCATCGCACCTAAAAGACTAATCCCAAAACTATAATAATAATTAACGAACCCATTACAAAAAGACCAATTGGTGCTACAGTTGAAGAAAGAATATAATATGATATTTTTACAATATAAATATGCAGCTATACTTAAAACCAAAAATTATTCTTTCGTGATACGGCGACTGACAAGAAACAACTATTCCACAACATATTGAACACTTGCATATCATATTTGCTGCTAATTTATTTTATGGCAATTCTCTTAGAAATTTTCAATGCTATGCCAGTATCAATTGGATAGAATATTAGGGTCAATGGGCGCCGTGAAGCGGTCACGGTACTTGTTGGCAGCTGAGTTGAGCTTCCGTACCATGTCGTACATCTTTCTGCAGGCACTCCTACCAAACGGGCTGTGAGCCAGCGACCTCGGGGGCTGCTGACGGGGCTGCTGACGGGGCCGTGGCGGGAGAGCCGTACAGTCGTGGCGGCGACGACGGCAGTGGCGATGGCAACGGCAGCGTTGGGGGCCGCCGTACCGGTATTGCATATGCCCCTTCGAGGGCTGATATCAGCTTCCGAGGGCAGGTTAGCGGCGGCGGCGGCGATGGCAGCGGCTCGCGGCGGCGTCGCCGCCGCCGCCACCTCGGCGGTAGCGGCATGGCCACGAGCGACGGCGAGGAAACACCCGCGAGCTCCTCCGGCGATTGCTCCGACGGCGGCAGGACGGCAACGATGACGATAATGTCAACACTGCCGCCGCCGCCGCCGACTAAAACGGCGATGGCGGCGACGGCAGCGACGGCGACGACGGCGCCGTCAGACTCCTGTCCACCCCCTGTGGAGCCGTACCCCCTCAACACTGTTTGCAAACACCGCTGCTGCGCCGCCAGGCCCTTCTGCATCCTAGCTGAGCTCAAGCGCACTCGCGACGTGAGTGATCAAGCACAAGCTCTTTGCCGTACATATACCGTACGAGAACAATAAAAGTGTCATATTGTCGTGTAATCCCTTTTCAATATGGGCGAAACCTCATATTGTCGTCGCCTTTTGGGGCAACCTTCAAGGGTGGATGGAAACCCCAGCCAAGCATGTGCACCTAGGCGCGTACCTAGCTACAGCCAAGAACACACACATATACACACATCAACAACATCACCATCAACAACATCACCATCAACAACATCACCATCAACAACATCACCATCAACAACAACCACAATGGCAACAACGCTCCCGCCAACCTTTGCCCCCGCGTCCGCCACCTCTCTCCCCAGCTGTACATGGACCGCCGCGACCAGTTCCGTATCAAAGCCATCGACCGGGGAATGGGGGTGCTGGCGCGTGTGAGCTGGCCGCTGGAGTCCCCCGACCAGCTGAGCCAGCTGCGGCTCGGCCGCGGCACGGCCGAGAAGGTGGGGGGGGCCCAGATAGTGAGGGGGGTGCATGTGGCTATGCGGGTGCATGCGGGTGCATGCACCGTGTTGTGTGTAGTGATAAACCTGTTACGTATGTTTGTGGGGGGGGAGGGGGGAGGGGGAGGTGAGGAGGAAAGGTAATAAGGTTGGAGAGAGGTAGGAGAGGGAAGGGCGAGGGAGGGAAGGAGGATGGGGGGAAGGGAGGGAGGAGGGTTGTTGTTGCTGCTGCTGCTGCTGCTGCTGCTGCTGCTGATGATGATGATGATGATGGCGGTTCGAAAGGCTGAGTAGGTTTTCGTGGTTGAGGCGGAGCGAAGCAAGGAGAGAGGAAGATAGGGGAGAAGGGGAATCTGTTTGTAATGTACTGATTTCTGTGTGTTTGTCTGTTTGTCTGTTTGTCTGGATAAAGAAGAATGTATGGATTGCTTTTGTGACCATGCAAGCCCGCAACCAGAAATCCAACAGCAATACGTTTTTGTAATGTCGTGTTTCTGCGCCCATTGAATTGATAATCGCGAAACAGGTGTCGGAGATATTGGCCACGGGGCGCTTCAGCCGCAACGACATGTTTGAACAAGACGAGCAGCGCATGACTATGATGAAGTTCATGCAGGTTGGTTGGTTGGTTGGTTGGGTGGGTGGGTGGGTGGCGGTTAGAGTGGTGGTTGTTAGTTAGACGGCCGTGGCGGCAGGGTGCCTGCTTCCTGGGCATACATACAAACACACTCTTCCCCAAATAAAGCACACGACACACTCGAGTAATCTTTCCAGTAGCAAACTCGTGTACTTGCGTACCTTTGTTCGTACACATACCCGTACACATATTCGTATACACGCTTAGTGACACACACACGCCTTAACACCAGGCAAAGAGGACTCAGGGAGATGCCAGGGGAGCTGATCCCTTCTTACATTTTTCCCCCCTCGAGCGAACGATCTCGGGTGCCCCCGGGCACACACACACGCGTACCACCCCCCTCTCGCGTTCAGGTTTGGGGGTGTGGTGAGAGCACCGCTCGCAGCTGGTGGGCATCAGGGGCCAGGTCGTTAGACGATGTACGGCAACGTACGGACCTTACAGTACGGCAGCGTCTAGGCCTGCGGCACTTTGACGATTTCCAGGTGGGCCTTATGCGGTTGGGCTTCAAACTCATACTCTACCCTTGATTACAAATGTTTAGATGGATGCCATGCAGGTGCATGGGCAAAAATGCGCATGGTGTCTGTCTGTCTGTCTGTCTATGTGTGTGTCTCTGTCTATTGGTCTGTCTGTCTGTCTGTCTGTGGATTATCTGTCTGTCTGTCCGTCTGTCTGTATAAAGGGGGGCAAATTGCTGGGGGTTTCCGTCTTTTGGGTTTGAAAAGAGTCGTCAGCTGTACCAGTGTGCGGTGGGACCGAATGCACATAGGACGTCTGAGAGAGTGTCTGTACATACATACATACATTGACATTGACACGCACACAGGTTTTCTCCGACCCCATCGCCTAATCCCTGCCTTGCACCTATTCCCCGCCCTCGCCACTGACTTCCCATAATACCTCCCGTACTGACATGACACCGCTCCCGTCCTGCCGTACACACCCGACGTCCCCCAGCGCCGGATCCCGCGTGCTGAAATAACCCAGATAGCAGCAGTTGTACGGCAAGTCACGATTGAGACGCTGAGGGTGAGATGGGGGGGAGGCGATGGCGGCGGTGTGTGGTGGAGTAAGGGTTGGCAGGGTGAAAGATGGAGGGTGCGTGTAGTAGGGGTTAAAAGGATTGGAGGTGTTTCTTTGGGGTTAAA